GCCCCCATTCGTGCTACATGACCTGCCCACCTCATCCTCCTTGACTTGATCATTCTAATTATACTTGGAGAAGAGTACAAGTTATGAAGCTCCTCATTATGCAGTTTTCTTCAACCTCCTGTGACTTCATCTCTCTCTGGTCCAAATATTCTCCTCAACACACTGTTCTCAAACACCCTCAGTCTATGTTCCTCCCTTAATGTCAGAGACCAAGTTTCACACCCATACAGAACCGCAGGCAAAATTATTGTTTTGTATATTCTAATTTTTATGTTTTTGGGCAACAGACGAGAAGACAAAAGTTTCTGGACTGAATGGTAGCAAGCATTACCAGAGTTCAATCGCCTCTTAATTTTCCCCTGAATCAGGTTTCGATCTGTTATCGTTGTTCCCAAATATCTGAACTGTACCACATTTTCAAAACATCTGTTTCCTATCTTTATGTCATAATTTTGCCCTGCATTTTGGTGACGAGACAGTAACATAAAAGGGAAGTACCAGCCCCCTTCCAGAAACAGCTCGTTTAATTATGGCTGTCTCTGCTGTGTCTGATATCCGACTATTTCTTTGTTCGCAGTGTTACTTGGCTTGCATGATGGGACTGTCACACACAGTAAGTACACGTACAGAGTTTACATCTGGGATTTCTCTCCTCCCTCATACAATTATCTTCTTCTAAGTCTGATGAAGGCGCAACTCTTTTAATTTTACATTTCCGGAAAGTTTATGCTCACTCTGTAAGCATTTATATAAACTAACCAATGATTTTGATATCAGAACTGTAGACTTTGACAGAAATTCAAGAGATGTGAGTGGAACCAACAGAGAAGTTACTAAGTACGAAATGTTCGACCACAGTTCCGTGTAAACATACGAAAGATACAAAAATTAATTTATACTTGTACATGCAATACATGAAGCTACACTGAGAGATTCTTGGGTGCTGAGTCTTAACAGAAGACAATTGTGATACAAACCGCCCCCTAAGTAGAACACATCAGGTAAAGCATCTCAATGTAATTATAAAATAAGTTTGCAGAATATTTTTTTTCTAAGCAAGCAGCTTGTTTTCATTTACGATTAATTGTTGGCCATGCGAAACATTTCTTCTGCTGAGAAAATAGGTTATGAGATATCTTGATAGAAATGTACGGTCGATGGGGGGTAACGAGGCTGCCAGATCACAAGGAGAGAAAGAGGTGTAACAGTTAGTGATAGCTCGCGTTATGGAATTAATAATTAATTAATTTTGGAGAGTGGCGTGTGAGTGTAATTGGCTACATTCCAAAGAACAGCGGCACGGGCCACGCAGAAAGGAGTTCTACTGTTGAACAGCGGAGACCATATAGAAAACGCTAGTCTCATGCTAGCTAAACACTGTTCTCATGTGACGTCATTGCGCCTGCGCGGAAATGTGTTTACCGACCCGGTGCCTAGAAACGGATTGCATAACCCCATTGTTCCATTCTTGGTGCGTGTATTGCTTAAAAAAGCTGTTCCTGTGGCTGAACCCTTCTTGTATGGAGCAAATAACCCAAAATATTATGTTTAGTTTATATTGTATATCCTGTCTTTTCTTGGTTCTGGTGTCCGCAGTCAGGGACAGGATTTATCGATTGTGTCCAATTGAATAGGCTTTTATCTGAGGACGCAGTCCGGTTGGTCTCCGAAATATTCGTAAATAAAAGACAAAAGGTGGATATTGTCCGAAAAGTCAATAATTATATTAATGTACCATCGCCAGAAGCTTTTAGATCTTCTTCGTCATTTTTTTTTCAGAACTAATAGCATACACGTCTTGAAATATAGGTATATTTTTGTGAGTAGTAGTCTGTCATGTTTTACTGAGAGACAGATCTTGAATTCCACGTACGTATATGTCACAGCATTGTTTCGTGTGATATCAAGAATCACGTCTTCTTTGTTTTCACGTATCACCATCTTTGTCACTAGTATACTTTCATATACTGCTGAAAGGTACATCTTGAAGGCTATATGTAATGTTACTTCCAAGGTCCTTCAGTATGCTCCTGAAAGAGATACATTACCATACTTTTGACACCATTAATATTATTCTTTAATTTGAGACTGAGAGACACGTCTTGAAGACCAGAAATAATACTGAAACAAAGATCTTTCAATATATTTATTTATATGTTGTTTATATAACTACACTTTAAATGTAGTGAGGGCTAATGTGACCGCAATTTTGCAGCTGAAGAAGGGGCAATACAGAGCAGAGCTTGCAATAAGGCTTGCAGATGACATTTTGCCGGCGGAAATAAAGGACCGAGCGCGGGTCGTGGTGGAGAAATGTCGCAACGCAGCAAACGGTAAGCTAGTTCAATTCGAATCTCATCTGAGATGTCTTCCAAAATATGGATTTTCTATTACAACGCCCTTATCCTCTTGTTCCCGCTCTTTACTCTCACAGAAGGAAGAAAAGAAAAAATAAAGAAAAATAATGAATGAAGGAAAATTAGAAGGAAGAGGGAAATAGAGTTAAAGGAAAAAAAGAACTAAACACATCACACTCTATTATTACAAACTCAAATTTCGGTAGTTTGTTGTCTAGAGTTAAATTGTGTACAGATCACAGTGGCCGCACGGCATAAGGCATGAAACGTCTTCGTCCGTTGGAACACTGGGATCGTGGGTTCGAATACCACTCGAGGTATGTAAGTCTGTGTAAATGGTGTCACCGAGGGAACTGTAGACTGCAAATGGCGCCCGCAATTGGCGTGTCTAGTCTTACATACTGTCACGTGTCCGGGGTTCCGTGACAAATAATTACGGATTTGGGGAAGCGGCATATTGGAGAATTACGCCAGGCGAAACTACAGACAGTTATTACACGCGATAATTATAACAGTTAGTAACTGCGAACAATGATCACACTATAATGTTCACTGTAATTATGCCACATGAAGCTTCTATCGGTTCTGATCTTGTCTCTCTTCTGGTTATCTGTGTCACTGGACGACTCGTTTACAATTACAGTTACTCAGAAATCAAATCTTCCAGACGATACGACCTGACTAGTCCATCGCTTCTGACCTGATCTTCTCTGATCTTGGCTGATAGGGCTTCTCAGCTCTGCTCCACTCGCCACTGGGCTCTCTTCTCACCGCTCTCGGTCTGATCTCCGAACTCACTTCTCTCTTTCTGATCTGATCTGATTATACCTGAGGTTGGTTCTTGGCGTACCGAATAACAGACACCATCTCCAAAGGTTCCTGTTTCGCGTTTTCCGACGCAACGGTCTCCAGGATATTGGTTGCCGCGAGAATCGAAATAGTTCGGTAACCGTTACATAGGAAACGGCTACGCGAAGCTCCGCTCAGCAGGTGGGGGAACAGGCTTTCAGGCGTCGCGTCACAGTATATTGAGTTCTTACACTGAAGAATGGGTTTCCAAATACTCACCTACTCACCATTCAGGATTATGTTCACATTGCATTGCAGCTGAAACAGTGTGAGACTGGCCGCTCACATCTGGCTGGTGCTGATGACTAGTATGCCTTCCGCTTTCCCCCAAACGCCTATGCACCGTCATGGTTTCGTCCTTATTTAAATGACGAATTGTACGTTTAGTTAATGTGTGAAAAATTTGCTAATCTGCTTTATGTAAACAGGTCTTACTGACGAGTGTGAAATGGCCTTCGCTATCAAGAAGTGTGCCTATGCGGCTGATCCCGAGGTAAGAGAGCAGCGGGTGGTCGTAGAAACAGCTGAATTATCAGATACAATATCTAGGTGCTCTGTCTCTTCCATTTTAACGTTCAACGACTCTAGCATTGACAAGACAATACAGAATGTCCCAGGACGAAAAGTCAATATTCTGTGGGGTCATAGTATAGATTATTCTAAGCAAAAATATTTATATGTGCATATGTCCTATTCCGAACGGTTTCCGAGATAGAACCATGGATGAAGGAACAAAACGCACTCAGACAAGCACCACGCAACGTTCTCACGCGAGTTGCAAAGTGCATTGCTGTACGGTGATATTTCCGAAAATGTATTATAATAAAGGGGGCACGCGGTAATGTAGTTGGTTGAGGCACTATGCTACAACTGGGAAGGTCGCCGGTTAGATTCCCGATAAGGTTATTGGATTTTTTCAATTGACCTAATCCTTCCAGCCGCACTATGGCCTTGGGGTCGACTCAGCCTCTAACAGAAATGAGTATCAGGAATCTTCATGGAGGGTAAACGGCGGCCGGTGAGTGAGACGACAAACTCACCGCCATCTGTGAGCCGATTGTCTGGAAAATTTGGGAACCTCGACATCCAACAAACCAATGGACTTCCACGGCTTGTTAAATGGATATTTTAACATCTTTTTTTTAATACAGGGTGTCCTACAGGGAAAGTTCAATAATTTTGGAGGTCATAGTATTGGTCAGTCTAAAAAAAAAGGCATATATGTATATCTATCCTGTTCAGAATCTTTTAGGTTCTTGTTATCACCCGCTTGAAGGAACGTCAAGATGTACTCAGAGAAGCGACCCGCCGTGTCCTCACACAAGTTATAAAGTGCACTGATACAGACAGTGAAATATATGAAAATGTATTACATTAGGTAAAGTGTAAAAAAATTGTCGCTTGTACAATAACTACCGGGATTAGAAACAGTACGTAATGTTTTCTTTTCAACAATTTTGGAACTGTAGAGTGACATAACTGTGTCCCGGAAACCGTTCGGAATAGGACAAATGTATATACTGTAACCGTTCCACTGCTACGCAACTTATTTAATGTAATCAACTTTATTAATTTGAAAGCTTAGTTGTTCAAAATGAAATGCAATGAACAAGGGTAGTGAGACATAGGTCAATTTTTGTATGTAAGAGTAAGCGTTTTCCCAAGCTTACAACAAGAAACAGGAAGACACCCGTCAAAGGTTTATTAGTGAAAGTTGCGTTAAAGAATAGGGTAAAGAAATCTTTTGTAAATTCAATACTTGGCAGTTTGTGCATGCCATAACTTAAAAAGAGTGAAGTTTTTAGGGCCCAAGCGACGCTTAAGCATTTGTCACTTTCTGACAGAAATACGTTGGAGTAAAAAAAATCCTTAAACTCTTGTAAGACTTAAGCGGAGTGGAGGAATATATAATTAAGATACTCCTATTTTTCAAAAATAGCCAATCACTAAAATTTAAGGAAGTGACAGGGCAGTGACGCTGGTGAAAGCAGGAATTGAATGTCAGAGGAAGCGTCATGTTTTAGCGGCAGTCGAAAACCGGGCTCCGAAGCAAACAGAGGCAAAAGAGTCGAAAACCGGGCTCCGAAGCAAACAGACGCAAAAAGTCGAAAAGCTGCACTCGTAGACTTAGCCGCAAAAAGTTACACACCGGGCTCCGAAGCAGTTAGACATAAAAGTTACTGATATTGAAGTTGTATCAAGAAGTGGTTAAACAAGTGTTCAATAATAATTAGTCTAAACTTGATATGCGCTTTTGTGGTTTGTGTCAATTTATTCCTTCTCTGAGTTGTGGCCCGTTCAAGGCTCTGAGATAAGAGATCCTGAGCTCTACCAAATCAACGAACCCCCCCCCCTCCTTTTAAAATAACCCTGAGATAAATTTAGCAACAAGAAAGAAGAACCTACTAGTGGCGAACAGCGTGTGAGGTGGAAGAAGAAGAAGAAGAAGAAGGAAGGAGGTGAAGAAAAAGGGCGGTAAGAATACACCAGTTTTTGCCTAGAATAACCGATACTATGGCCTCCCAGAATATTTGCCTTTCCTCCTGAGACACTCTGTATAGCGTCAATGAAAATTAATGTTGAACGGTTATTGGAATGAAAACTGGCAAGGGAAACAGAAGTATCAGGAAGAAACCTTCCTCATGACCTCAACTAAGACCAAAGCCGGGTAGCTGCAACACGAAGACGCCGACTAACCGCTTGAGTTATGACACGGTCTATGAGCTGTTCTTACTTCTGCAGTAAATTTAAGTGTCTTTTATTTTAATTTCCACTTTTATTCATATGTACACGTCCACGCATACACAACCGGATGGTACATCAGTATAACTTCAGTTCATACTTGAAATGAAGGCTTCCTTATTTCACAAAGTCAATACAACAATTCAATACAACAGTACAACAATACAAAAACAATTCAAAATAGCTTCCTTATTTGTTCACTAACTCCATGTAATACAATCCCTCGTAAGTAGTTTAAAGTTGCTCAACTGGTAAAGAAAATTCCAGCCTTTAATGGAACATCAAAATACAGTACAACATTCGCAAGAGCCTGCCTCTGTTCCATATCCTAAGCCCGATAAATTTAGGACACAATTTCATATTATATTTCCTTAAAACTATCTTAAAGTTGCACTCCTAACAAACCCCCATGTACCTCAAAGTGTTCCCTTCCTGTCAAGTTTTCGCCTATATGTTTTTATGCAGCTTCCATCTGTCTCATGCTTGTCATATTACCCGCTCTTGCTAATTTTTATATATAGAAAATATTATTATTTACAGATTAGATACAGTGTAAGTATAACAATAAATCTTAAACATCGCCACAAAGGAGCACAACAATATGACTGCAACAATATGTGCACACACGAAAACCCGACTTATGCAGGCTCACCTTCAGAGCAGACCTCCTCCAACACGCTCTGTCCCTAAGATTGTTAAGAATAAAGTCAAGGATGATAAGATGGGCCAAACACGTAGCACACAGAAGTGTTGCTAATGTTGTAGATGTATACCACTTATCTGAAAAACATTAATTAATAAAGAAATGTGTTTCGTTTCAGATATATCATGTCCAGTGAATGAAGAAGGAACGACCCTATGTGTCCTTACACTAAATGCACAAGTACCTGGATTTCTGTACACACTGAATCGGAAAATAAAGAAATATGCATGCTACATGCTTGAAGCTCTTTTCCCCTCGCCAGTGTCATCAGACATGTAGAATATTTATCCACGTACATAATAATTTCGTTACATAACACTGTTCAGTAACAAATTATTTCATCATCATCTGCAATGATTGGTTGGTTAGTTCTTTCCGTCCTCAAAAATGAAGTATCTTTGAGAATTTATTTGGGGGCACGCGGCAACGTAGTTGGTTGAGGTACTATGCTACAAGCCAGAAGGTAGCGAAATCAAATCCTGATGAGGTCACTGTATTTTTTTCAGTTGACCTAATCCTTCCAGCCAGCCTGGGGTCGACTCAGCCTCTAACAGAAATGAGTACCAGGAATGTTCTTTGGGGTAAAGGGCGGCCGGTACGTAGGACTGACAACCTTACCGCCATCTATGAACCGATTGTCTAGAAAATGTGGGAAGCTCAACATCTCACAACCCTATGGGCTCCACGGCATGTTACAGGGATACCTTTACTTACTCTTTTTATTTGAGCAGGGTACAAGCCTCTAAAGAGACCCATATGTTAGAGGACCAGGGTGTCTATTGAGAATTTTCTGCCCTTAGACAGTTTGCATACCACGACTAACGATTCCGGTCTACCTGCTACGTAACCCTGGGAAGCAACTCTTACCAGGCGCTACCCACCGGCCCAGTGGGACCTGACGCTCTCATGCTTGTAATGCAGGGTCGCCAATTCCTGTAGTTGGACCATTTCTTATGAGAGTTACACCTTGCTACCTGCACTTCTTTTATCATGTTTTGCTTCCGTAGTTTGTAACTCGTGATTCCAAATTGTTACGTACAATTTTCTACCATCCACGGTATTGAAATACATATTTAATGTTATTTTATTCATGAACATAGAAGAAAATGCATAATGCAGGCCTATATACTTGATCTGAGGTTATTACGCTATGTTTACGGGGAATGTTACCTTCTGGAAAGTTGCCTCTGTAGTCTGTTAGGTGTTATCACTGATTCGGAGAAACACGTTGCATCCATCTTCAGGGTAGAAAAGTCAAAATAAATTCTTCTTTTTGGAATGTCGTTAGATTCATCAGTCTCTTTATTCCCATTGGTTCGCTCAGAATCCTTCCACGGCCGCCCCTCTTTCTGTATCAGAACCATGCTCGGCCTACTCTTCTAAGTATAAGAGGCTTAAACTTGGCGGCGGTTAGACCGACGACCGTTCAGCTGAATATCTGCAGTTTCAGAATGGTTACATAAGTTAAGGCATAACCCGCTGCACAAGCCTGCATTGACAATAAATATCTGCATATCTCGTGTACATCTGCCATGACAAAGGATGCAAGTCCACAGTGACCGGGGCGACGTGACAAGGCGATGTACTTGTGCTGAAACAACGCTGCAATAAAAATAGCGCCTACATAGAACGGCCGATCCTCTTTCGTCGAAGAAGAGGACCCACTTCGAAACACATATATGTCTAGGAGAGAATGAAAGTTTTGTTCATTGATCTCGAGGAGTCTGAAGCCAGGAATGACTGTGCTGGTGAAGGCCAGCAGGAATTTTATCGACTGACCGAAAGTCTTGAGACGGCGGAGTTAGTAGCGATATAGCGGCCTCCGTAGTCTAGGGGTAATGTTCCCACCTCATGACTCAAGGTACGCGGGTTCAAACCCGTCGGAGGTCGTGGAATTTTTAAGGGCGGAAAAATTCAGGGAACAAGTCCTCCGGGAGGGACTTTAAGCCGTGGGTCCCGTGTAAAAGAACCTCATGTCCCAAGGGGACCTCTGAGCGAAATTCAGGACATTTCCCGCCCAACAGTAGTCTCTAACGCCTCTGGTAGATGGGGGAAGCATCTAGATACCGCTGAGCCAGTAGAGGCCGAACTCGCTGGCTAAGTCGGGACAGATGGTACGCNATAATAATAGCGATATAGGCGACAGCTAGCGAGAACAGATGCCGCTGAACATGGAAACTGAGGGATCTACGGTGTTGGGAGCCGTTATCAGACAACAGGTGAAGACACAGCAGGCTGAGAAGACTTAAGTGTGTACTATAGTTAGCTGCAGAGTGTGTGAACAAGCGATAGCACTGTAGTCCTGATAGTTAGGAGATTTGAGTCGCATAAATCAGATTACCAATCCAAACTCCGTGCCTATTCACTTAACGATTGATAGTATACACCTCAATCCTCAAATCGGTGGGTAATGGAAAGATTCAGATATGATTTTCGTATACTCACTCACTCATGGAGCTGAGCCCTTCTTGAGAAACTTCCAATTGTGCAGATACTCAAGAATTTCCCAACATTTTACGGAACCCGAAGGTTCATTACCGTGTTCACAAAACCCCTATCAATGGTCCCTATCCTTAGCCAGGTCAATCCAGCCCATACTATCTCATACCTATCTCCCTGAGATTCATTTAATATTGTTCACCCACCTACGTCTTGCTCTTCCCAGTGGTCTCCTTCCTTCTAGCTTTCCCATCAATAACCTATATGCATTCATCCTTTCCCAATTCGTGCTACATGCCCTGCCTATCCCACCCTCCTTGACTTGATCATTCTAATTATACTTGGAGAAGAGTATAAGTTATGAAGCTCCTCATTGTGCAGTTTTTTAATTTTATTATTGTACAGACAAAAATATACGAGAAATATATACAATTGCAACGGAAATATACAAATTTAAGATTTGTTCGAGGATGAAATATAGACGGTTTACAGCGGATTATCAATGTTAAGGACTAATTTAAAAGGAGTTTTAGAGATTTCTTTCTTTCTCTTCCCTTCTACTTCTCATTTTCAATTTCCTATATTTCTTCCTTCGTTTTTTTCTTTATGTTTTATCTTTCTTTCATTACTGAATCGTTCGTTTGTCTTCATCCCTGTTTATCTTACTTGGTTCTTCCTCTTTATCCCTTGCTTTTATTCGTCATTTCTTTCCTTCGTTCTTTTTTCTTGCATTCCTTCTTACTTTTCGTTCTGTCATTCTCTCATCTTCAGGCCTCTCTGAGATGGTACGAGTTGCCTGGCTTGAACTTTTTGGTCAGGTCTGCATGAAACAGATAAGTCATAGAGCAAAGTTTTATTGGTGACGGTGGCAGATCGTGCATCCACGTCTCTAGTACAATTGATGTAAAATATGACGTAGCTNGTCGGTTAACACCACATATACACGGTGCCAAATCCCAGAAGACTGCTTTCTTCATAGCTAATAAAAGTTTCATTCTTAGAAATGGATGCTCTTAACAGATGTTACAGCGAAATATCTTAAAAATCCTACCTATTGGAGAGTGCGGGTTTCCTTACGACAGCGATCTCGATAGATTTGGCCGCTCGGGCCGACTCATAACTCATGAGTAATGTTCAAGTAATTAAGCACCTTTTCATCTTACCTATAATGTAAGCTTATACAGAAGACCCCTAGACCTAGATCGAATACTGCTTTTTGCAATCTTAACATGTTAGTGCGGTCTCTATTGGCCCACACCTGGTTTACACGTCAAGGGAACCGCGGAAGCGTCGACCTACGACAAACCGCTACTTGGGACTTTTATCATGCCTAACTGCAATATCTGAAAAACCAAAAATGTTTAGCTCTACCGATCAGGCTATTTAGGCTATTTTCTGACGAAGTTCAGCTGAAGAGGTTATACGTCGAACAAGATATGATGATGATTATGAATGATGAGCAGAGTAAGGTTTAGCACCAGCAATCATGATCTGCTCTAAGGTACAACCATGGATAACCAACATAGCTCAAGAAAATCACTAAAACTTCATCAAATGTTTTACCGACCTTTCCACCGGTCACTTTCCAGGTACAAATAGGACGTTTTACAGTCTTCCCAACTGGTTCAACGTCTTCGTTTCCCTCTATATGGAAATACAACTCTTTAGTAGGCTGCTTCTTAATCCTGTACACAGGAGGTAGTATTCCCTGGACGAGGAATCAGCCAGTCGCAAGGCCTCTACTTACACACAGAATAAAAGTACACAGAAACATCCATGCCTTTCAGTGAGATTCGAGCTAATTACCCCAGGGTTTGAGCGGGCGAAGACTAGTCATACCTTAGACCGTGTGGTCACTGTGATCGGCCTCTTCGTTTCTACCGCGCTGAAAACTCACATAAATTCGTGTGACCTAAAAACTGGATATAATCATGGGATCATTGAACCCTTCGTCAGAGAGCAGAACCTGAAGATGACGGAAGCAAATTCTTGAGATCAACAAACACAGAAGACACGGCGTCACAATCCATAAGATAGGAATAACTGAGCAAGAGAATAATTAGTGAATAATTAATTGGAACAATGTGGAAGAAAGCGGGCATTTAACAATTTGAAATATTACTCCGTTACAAATATTGGGAATTAGGTCAGCTAGGAAAGTAGGTTTCCAGTTCGAGGCGCGAACCCGGATCCTCCCGTAAGATGCTGATTATTTATCCACTCGACCACGAATTTTGGTGAACTCAATAAATTTCAGTACTTCTTTTGGCTTGTTTNCTTGTTTTGGATTTCATCCATCGTCTGGTATGTAAAAGACAAAAGACCACGACGTTTCGGAGACTGGATCTGTCTCCGTCTTCAGGTGGACTGGACCCAGTGATTGAGACTAGCTCTTTCTAACGGGCCCAACTGAGTAGGTTTAACCTTCCCCACCCACCTGAAGACGGAGACAGATCCAGTCTCCGAAACGTCGTGGTCTTTTGTCTTTTACATACCAGACGATGGATGAAATCCAAAACAAGCCAAAAGAAGTACAGTATACGCTCTCGTCAGAATCCTTTCAAGTCTATCTCAATAAATTTCATTTCCGAGTAGTAGAAGAAGATCACAAAGGTGCCTTGTTGTTTCGCAATAATTTCTTAAAGGTTTCTCAAGTTGTGTAGTGCTGAATGCGGTGTCAACGTTGCACATTTACGTCGTAATTTGTTATTCTTAAGGCTTGGTGACCTCTTTCTACCATCCACGTCTCGAAAAGACGTCAAACTTAAATCAGGTATTCCAGAGTAGGTCAACCAGTCTGACCCTTGCATGCACAGTTGGAGAAGGGCATAGGAAACCTCATTTATATATGTAACCGTCCTACAGGGCTAAATGCTGGGCCGCCGCTTCAAGTACTTTTTGCCCTCAGAGAGTAGATACGCCCAAAGCGTGTCTGAGGTCCAGTCTTCGCCATGGTCAGCGTCGATAGCAAACGTATCCACAGACTATGTGGAAGTAAAGAGGAGGGGATAGGCGGTAGTGTGGTTGAGGCACTGTGCTACAAGCCGGAAGGTCTCTGGTTCGAATCCCGATTAGATTATTTAAATTTTTTTTAATTTACCTAATCAAGCTTCACTATGTTTCTGAGAACAACTCAGCCTCTAAAAGAAATGAGTACCAGGAATTTTCCTGGGAACAAAGGGCGGCCGGCGTGTAAGGCTGACACCCTAACCACCATCTGTGAGCCAATTGTCTAGAAAATATGGGAGCCTCGACGTCTCACAACCCTATGGGCCTCCACGGCCTGTTACAGGGATAGCTTTAACTTTTGTGTGGAAGCTAAACGAACCAATAAGGAGTGTCGCCTCTGGGTGCCACTGCTATTCTGAGGCATTATCGTGCCCTGGTTCCTTTTAATCAGAGTTGTCAACTTAGCATGGCACCGTCTATGTCGACAAAGACAAGGTCCATCTGACAACAGTACATGAAACCTGCACGAGTATTGGAGAGCGATAGACCCTTCTTATGAATATCTCCTCCTGTTTATTTCTTTACTGTGTTTTCATTATCTAGACCTAGATAGAGGGTGTTTTGAGTACAGACCTGAAGAGAATGTTTCGGCCTCTGAGTGAGAGAAAGAGAGGAAGTAACTAGATAATGGAGAAAAGTACACAGCGACGAGCTTCACAAAGTGCTGACCTACTCTTTACCAGATGTTATTAGAGTGAACAGATCGAGATTTGAGGGAGGTTAGCCTCCATGACGCACTCAAGGAATGCAAACACGTTTCTATTCGGAATATCTGAAGATTTCTTGCAGATGGCTCAGGACAGGGACCGAAAGTGGGCACTTGTAAACACGGTAATGAACCTTCGAGTTCCATAAAAGGCAATAAATTTCTTGACTGACTAACTAATTAACTAAATGAACTCCATGGAGCCGAATCCTTCTTGAGAAGTCTACAGTTGATCAACAATTCCAGAATTTCCAAATTTTATGGAATCAGAAGTTTCATTACCGTATTCAAAAGAGCCATCCACTGGTCCCTATCCTGAGCCATCTTAATATTATCCTCTTACCTACCTCTAGGTTTTCCTAGTAGCTCCTTTCTTTCGTGACCACCTCAGTCACTACTAGCTTCTCATATACAATGTTCCATGAAGTGACTGAATGAGTGAGTGAGTTCTTTTTTAATCCACATAGTTGAATTTGAGGTTATCACAGCGGTGACAATTAAGAGTACTTTTTCCTAGGATGTAATACTGTGTAGCTCGGTATAAGTCCATTGAGNTTCTTGAGTAGCTGAGTGAATGTTGACTTCTCAAGAAGAACTTAGCTCTGTGGAGTTAGTTAGTTAGTTCGTTATTGGAGAGGATGGGTTTCCCCATGCACTGAGACCAGTATTGGTCCATTGTGCTTCCCTCTATGATATTCTACCAGTCTCTATACCCTACCGATATTGGTGCGTACCATCAGTCCCGACCGAGCCAGTGAGTTCGGCCTCTACTGGCTTGGCGGTATCTATAATAATGTTTTCCCCATCTATCAGAGGCGTTAGAGACTACTGTTGGGCGGGAAATGTCCTTGAATTTAGCTCAGTGACCTCCTTTGGATATATGAGGTTCTTTTACGTGCCGTAAAGCTACGACAAGGGACCCACGGCTTAAAGTCCCTCCCTGAGGACTTGTTCCCTGAATTTTTCCGCCCTTAAAAATTCTACGACCTCCGCCGGGTTTGAACCCGCGTACCTTGAGTCATGAGGTGGGGACGTTACCTCTAGACTACGGAGGCCGCTGTTAGCTAGGTAAGAAGCAGGGGATTAGATTTTTTTCTTGCCTTACCCTTCTATCCTGATGATGGAAGCAGATATTACTTTCCATAAAACTTGTTACAGACTGACTAAGTGAATATCTTCCTGGCTGACTGAGTGCTCAGGTAGGTAACTCACTGACCACATACTTGTATGATTCCTCTGTAATCCAAATTTTAGAGATCTGATTGCAAACGTAAGAACTTGGCTTATCACATTCACATGATCAGCAAAACTGTATTTCTCCCAGTCGCTATGTTCCTATTTTACATTGTACACAATTATTGTCTTCCAAAATGTTGCACAACACTGCACCAACTCGCGGTATTTTACTGTTACGTGTAAGGGGTACGCGTGACGAAAATGATGGGTTCTAGTTCGGATGATTGGATTTATTGGCACTTCGGTTACTCACTCTCTCTCAATTACAATTAAAACAGAACCATCGCTGATTTACACAATTAACAGTTCACCTTAGCACAGGCACTAGGATTCTCAGTTTCCACTATTCGTCTCTTAGCAACGGATCTCAATACAAATTGTCACTTCAAATCACTATGAAGTGGTCTTGTCTTCAATCACTCTGCATTCCTGCCCTAATCTGTACTCAACTAATCTTCACAATTCACTAAGGCCATGCCCCATTCTTGTCCTTGTACATTCATCTGCTCCTAGCTTCTGAATTCACTTCTTCTATAAGCCCTCTGCGCAGACACCACGGAAAACACAGTTCGTATTATTGATGACGTCATCGCGTTGCATAGTACGGTCAAGTACGCGGAGATGTGTTTACCGAGCCGTTGTCTAGAAACGGATTGCATAACCATGTTGTTATATTGTTGCGTGCGTGTATTACTTTGCAACGGCTGTTCCTGTGGCTCAACAATTCTTACATGGAGTAAATACTCAGCCATACTAACGATACTACAGTCGCTCCGAAATCAGAATTTCGGACGGCAGCCGTGTTGTTATCAATAACATGAATTCTGACGCAAGAATATAAGACACAACATTGGTATCAAGTTTCATGACGTCAGCTGGTTCAAAATATATCAAGATAAACGGAAAGATGTTACTATAAGACAGTTTCCATGTAGACTGTATACAAAAATAATAAAGTGACAATATGTCTCCATTATTATTACGTCATCTGCAGCAGAGTCTTTCTGAGAGCTGCCGTTACGTCACAACGCTAATTGAGATACGTTTCTGAATTCTCATAGTCCAGCAATTTCTGAAAGCACTGAAGCTCTAATGTGCGTTATTAATCTTGTAATAAGCAAGAGTCAGTCATGGGCAGGTACAAGGGATTACCCCGCTTCCAGTTTCACAGTTCAGTGATAATATTCCTCAGCAAAAAAACGGAAGAGCTGCGGATTAGGAGGGGGGCATATAACCATTTATTTAGGGTACGGAGACGCTTGGATAGCGAAAAGACGCCTTATTTTTACCTTGTATTTTTGTATCAGTCTCTAATTTGAGAATTTTTATGATAATTATTTGTCGGCCTTGTCGATTTCAACAAGTACAAATCAATTCTCTGTACTTAATATTGGAAGGATTAGAGCGGTTCCCTGATGCTATATAAATACGGCGCTATGACATTCTAAGGACATTATTAAGTGGGCTGTTAATTAAGGCATAGAAGAAATATGGATCGGTCTGCATTCGTGTATGTGGCTATGGCACTTCTGGCCAGCGTACTAATGGGAAATTCCGATGTAAGTATCAGAAAAATCTGTTCGTAAAGTGCCTAATCGCCTACCTAATTGAGCAAGGAACATTCTAATTAGAGAATTCAATAGTTTAGCGTAGCCAATACGAAATCAATCAGTTAAGAATTTAATTACTTTATAACAAAATTGAGACCTCTGCCTATGCTCGAATCACACCGTTCAGAGTCTTCATGTTTCATTGACTTTGCGAATTTATTGTGACTTAGAAACAAAATTATTGCTGTGTTGTTAATCACGCTAAAATTATTGGACTGCATTAACACAATGGACCTTCTTGGAAAGCTAAGAACTAAGTCTTATATATTTTACGATGATGTGATTTATTGTTCAATACTATTGTTTTGGAGCTTGCCCATTGTTCAAATGTATTAAGGCGCGTCAACATTACTCGTGCTCGTGCTCGTGTGACTCGCTATGCTCGCGAGTAATATGGAAGATATGACAAGTCACGAGACAAGCAAATTTTTAATTTTTAATTAAAAAGCTATAGACAATAAATTAAACTACGAGTAAATATATGGATCCTCATGCACCGAAGCCTGGAGAGCAACTGAAGTAGTGTGGACGAAGATTTACGAGCACAAGTAAAAGCCAGACGAGTCTCCCGACGAGCACAAGCCTGGGGAGCACGAGCACGACAATGAGTAATATGGACGCGCCTTTAAAGCCATTTCTTTTCGGAAATTGATTCTGTTTCTTTCATTAGGTGAACAGGACATGAAAGAAAACGCATTATGTTAAATATTTAAATGATGATAGGGGGGCCCAACAGGGTAGTTTGTTTCTAATATTCTGTTCTGCTGAACAAGAAACCAAACCAATTCATGAAATCAGATAATGGACAATTTCCAAAATAATGGCTTTAAACAGCCGATAGATGCTAGAGGGTAGAGAAATTTGTTTCTCTTTTGGAATATTAAAATATTCATTACAATGTTTGGAAAGGTCACTGGACCCACCGAGATAGACGAAACTTCAAACTCTCTCCTATTGTCAAACTCAGTCTCTAATATTACTCTTAATACTATTCTCTCATCCATTTTCATGGTTTCCATTCAGATTTTCCAGTTATGATTTTACTATGAATTTATCTCCGTTTGCATGATTGATAAATTCTCTGTCCATCCCCTAATTCTTGTTTCGATCACCTGTATTGTATTTGGTGACGACTATTATTAAGCATATCTTCATTATACAGCACGTTATGGATCATTCTACTTCATCTTCCTGATGTTCAACTTTCTCCCCACGCACTTTATTCTCAAACACCTTCATTTCGCGCTCTTCCCTTGATGTAAGAGACCAAGTTTCACAGTCATACAAAACATCAGTTAAAATGTCACTTATTATCACACTACTGAGAGTAAAAAATAATTTCCCCCCTAATTCGTCTAATAATCGTCACATCGAAAGTTGTTTCAAAACTTAAATGAAGACGTTAACCAAATCTATATTTATATCACACACAGTTAATATTCCTACGTCGCTCAGTTCTTTATGTGACTGCGCAAGTTCAAGAAGGGCAAATATTTAAAATGACGGATCAAAATTAACCTCACCCTTCACTCTGGTGTGCAGATGAAACATAAAAGTTTATCTTTTTGAAGTGACACATGGAATCAGACGGAAAGTATCGCTTGTACACGCTTCCGGCTGGTGCAGCTTCTGTGCAGTTCTGAGGGAAATACTCGTGTCTTAGAGAAAGGAAGAATCAGAACAATCAAGATAATTAGATAATGAGATGCTCCATAATATACACTCTTAACCACAATATTGTCAAGATTTAGGAGTCTGTGCATGACTGACAAGACGGGTTATGGATTGGATGATTCGATTTATTGACACCTTGTACATTCAGCTCGGGACTACAGGAATACAGCGCTATCGTTATTCTACACACTTTCAATTTCACTAGGGTTCTCAGTCTTCACTAGTCGTTTCCTGGCAACGGATTTATAAGAGTCCCATTGTAACTTCAAATAATATATGAAGCCTTCTTTTCACAGTCTAATTCTTTTCTTGTTATTATTCCACAACTGCCAACTCAATTCCATTCCTCTGCTACCAAGTTCATAACTTGGCAGACTGACGCCTCGAAGCTCGACTCGACTCTACTCTCTTCTATAGTGCCCTATGCTGCCGGACACTTCTTTATAACCACTTCGCACGGATAAGGAAGAAAACAGAGCCTTTATTGTTAAGGAGGGGTGTTTACTTACCTGTTGCCTAGCAATGGGCTTCCTACTGTTGCGCGCATTTGCCTCTACAGGAATGTGTTTACCGAGTAGTTACCGAGCAATGGGTATACACGTCACAGTATTACTAGGTATACTAAAACATGAATAAGATTGGTGTGGCTTGTAGCAAGCATCAATATGTGGAAAGGTAAATGCATACACAATTTTATTCATGAAACTTGCAGGGCTGGGACCGCTTAGAGAACCTAAATATAAGTGGTAAGATAAAATTAAATTTAATATTAAAAATAGTCTTATTATGACGATTGTTTTCAGTTTGCTCGTAATCGAAAAATGTGATTGTAGCAACGAAGTTATGAGTCTTATAAAAGTCTTGGCTATCTGAAGGACTGCTAATTCTCAATGGAGTTAGTTTCTTGACGCAATTTATACCGGCTTCTTTGGTTTAGCATAGTTTATATGTTGCTGGTAATTATGGCCAACTTTGCTTTCAGGCAATGACCATGGACCAAGTGCGACAAGCGGGGAAATTGATGAGGAACATGTGCCAGCCAAAATCAGGAGTCAGTATGGGTATGTATACCTAGCACCGGGGCACGGCGTTGAAAGAGTACTTCTATTATTACTGACATGTATGACACGCCACTAAAAAAAATATATATAATAATTAATTGAAATGACAAACTTAGAATAGCACAGTTTAAGAAATGTCACTCGCCTTGAGTAGGCAGCAATACGAAACATGGAACTTCACATATAATAGCCTCTTCCTCCACGTACAGTATTTCTTTTATAATTCCTTCTTCTTATACTAGAATTTTTCGATTTTAAATCAGTTTCAGAGTTTAGAAACTAAATTAAATCTTTCCGTTTATATCCCTTTGTCATTTTGGATGTAATGTTTCTTCTATTATAAGGCTCCTGTGGTCACTATTGTGTGTGCTTGGGCCAACAGTAAGGGGGCCCATACACGTACGAGTCTGGCTTGCGAGTCCGACTCGGCTCGGGTTCCATTGAGCCAAACTCGTCCGTGTGTGGGTCACCACGCTCATACGTGTGTGATGAAATTAATTCGAGCCCGGCTCCTCGCCGAGCGGGACTCGCGAGCCAGACTCGTACGTGTATGGACCACCTAACCATCATCGCGTCACGCTACCAAACACGTCTCCACATTTTAGCCCGCCTATTTGTTGATCCTGCAATCTATCTCTACTGTCTAATTATTTTGCTGTCTTCTGCTATCAGCATTTTTCAAACTCCATGTTTCATAGTCAAGTAAATAATATGATTTTATTTTCGGTTGTTTACTGTCCACCGTGCAACAATATAAAGACTTAAAATAAAATAATTTTAAAATTGGGCTCGACCATCGTCAGATGCGTCAAAATTCGGGGGAACTGCCGTGCCTTCCGCGCTACTGCGATCCGTGTTTTCATATTTACAAAATTTTTAAATTAAGTCAGTGTAGTTCCTCCTTCTGTGCCACATATACTGTCTCTTGTGTGTCCGTTGCCTATCACGGGCGCCTCAACATCACATTGCACATTTGATAAGCAATAGACAAACAAAAAGACAATACATGTAGCACACAGGAGCTACACTGACTTAATTTAAGAATATTGTAAATACGAAAACACGTGCAGTGACGAATTTTAAAAGGCTTCATTTCTAAATCTTCATATTGTTGCGTGAAGGATGGTAAACAATTGAAAATAAATTCTACAACAGGACCCTGATCTTAGATACGGTTCACGATACTTACTATTCAGTTAGGTCGCGCCATAGCTCAAGCGGTTAGTCGCTGGATTCCCACCGCGGCGGCTTGGGTTCGATGCCGGGGTCTGGTCAATTGGGATTTGTGGTGGACAAAGTGACGCTGGGGCAGGTTTTATCCGAGTATTTCGGTTTCCCCTGCCAATATTAATTCCACCAATTGCTTCACAATCACCCTCACCTATCATCTGAGGCTGGTACAATAGGCCATAAGGGGCCGCAGTACAAGGGGCTTAGTCCCACCCCAGTAGCAAAAAAAAAAAAACACTATTCAGTTAGGGAATGTATGCCAGTCAATTATTTACGTGATAATAAGCGAAAAATGTTCAATTTTCAGACATTTTGGAAGCAGCTTCTAACGGCCAGTTTGCCGCTGATGACAGAAATCTTAAGGTGAGATAATAATCAAATTTCCTTGGTTTATTACGAAACAAGACCCATAAGATCTTCCTATACATGTATCAACCCATCAACCTTGGACTCCTTGCATGGATTTGAATGAACTAAGCAGAAAGGAAGTGCCCTTCAGGGAACATATAACACTGTGGCATATAGACACGTTGCTACAAAACAACAGTGATGCAAATAATGAGGCAACGGCCATCGTTATGCAACCTCTTCGTAAATATGCAACAGTGCTGGAGCTGTTGGTAGGCAGCAGCCTGCGCGCAAGAATGGAAATACTGTTGAAAGCGGTGTTTTCTATACAGTCTCCTTCGAGGCTATATGACTCGACCGACCGAGTTTAGTTAGCGCAGTGCAGTGCAGTGCAGTGGAGAAAGTTGGTTGGTGAGTGAGTGAAGAGTAGGTGAGTTGGAGAACTGCCGCTCTTCAGTCCTTGTGAGCCGTTTCCATTAGAAATTTGTAGCTGAGGAACCGGGATAGTTCGGGAACCCAGAGTAAGGGAATGTTCGCCGTAGAAAACCATTTAACATTTTAACATTTAAAACTTCTAAATGTTTTAAAAATCAAGTTACATATGAGACGGATAATGAGTAACAGGAATACGTAAGTGATGTGCAACGGGGTGCTACGACACAATATTATTTCTTGCTGCTGTTGTTTGTATTCGTGCTGATTATGTAATTGGATGCTGACTGTTGAGCTCAGCACATAAGCAATTAATTAATTTATTATTATTAGTTTTTCGCCAAAAATTGTAGCTGGAGTACCAGAAATTATCGGCTGTGCGCGACTGCTTAATTACTCATAATACATTTATATTAGAAGCTATGTTACGATAACTCAGCCATTCCTATAGGCTACCTAATATCGCTAAAGTCTGTGATGGACTGAGTTTGTGGTTAAGATGGAGTGATGAAGATTTACGTAAAGACTTTCCGTTGAGAAGCTCCGACTAGAGCAGAAGCCAGCTCGCATCCCACAAAGGACAGAAGACACTTCACCGAGGTCATCGGTACCAGTAATTATAAGAGTGAAGAGAAAAGTCTAAAGGACGTTATAAGTTTATAATAATTGTAAGTGCGAGTGTAAAAGTGATTGTCCAATAAACGTCTTAGCCAAATCCCGTGTGAATTTACTTGTCGCGTTACATAGGCAACACGCGACAATATGTACATATGGCGTTTTAGCTTTATAGGGCCAGCTTCAGGCTGGAGCCTACTGCACTGTGAACTTGGTCAAATAATATTGATTAAGGCATGTCTTTTTTTATTTTTATTATTAACTTCTTTGAATTCTGATTCTGTAGGGTGAACTTATAGGATGATTTTCTTCTTCGGCTGTTTTCGTGTCCCATTGGGTGTGCCGCTCGCTTAGTTGTGTGTATCTAGTTCTGTTAATATAGGAAGAAAATCATCCTACAACATCAGAATTCAAAGAAGTTTATAACAACAGCACCGATGTGACTTAATGAATACAATTTGACCAAGTGCAGAGTGCAGTAGACTCCGTTAAGATGTGTTGCCTGAAGATGGCCCTGTGCGGCCCAAACATGTAGCATAAAACCGAATGTACATGTATTTTAATAATGTTAATGATATTTTAAACGTTTAAAGAACATCTAGTGAATTAAATGTGAACTAATACTGTTGCATTACAGACGGAAGAAATCCTATAAGTTATATCTCAATGCAACAGGATGCTGAAATATAATATTAATTATCAAAATTTATTTTGTTTCATTTTTCATGGCGAGAAGTTCATTCTATAACGACGATTTGAATGGCAGTAGCTTACAGATTTTGCATTGAATATTTAATTAATTTCATATACTGCCAGAATTTCTTGGATTGCTAGTCGACAAGTATTTCTCCCTGTTTAAGAAACACGGGAATTTTAAACACGCGAGAGGATGGAGTTCTGACTCAATTTTAAAAACTGTTCATCGTACAGGAATACACAAATTTATATTAGATTTTCAAACATCTGTAAAATAACCCACTTCTCTCGACTGGAATTATTAACGCATAGAGCTATACCGAATGAAACACAACTAGTGCATATGATTACTCCTAACGTAACTAGAAACATATCAAATTTTCTATCATCTGAAATATAACACCGTGTAGTCCGTTGAAAATGAAATGACGTTTCTGAGGAACACGTCGCCTCCAGCTTCAGGATGGAATAGTATATCAAGGAAGAAACCAGATGAGGCAGGAAGGAAGAGCCTTCAGGCATGTTTTGCGGCATGTTCTTCCGTATATAAGGGCTGGCTTTAACCAAAGTCAAAGTCAAAGTTACTTTACGAGTAGAGTTTTACCGCCAATCAGTTCGTCTTAGCGTCAAGCCTCTTGAGACTCTTGATCACAAATATTTTTTTAACTGAAGCCTTGCGGTAATAATCCCTATGTAACATCATCTCTGGCGAGAAGACGGTTGTGTGTCTTCTGAATATGTTTGGCCTTTCGACAAGTTTGCGCATCGCACATATAGCGTGTTATTCAAAATTCTTCCTTCTGCACTATACGAGTATATAAGTCCTCTGTCGGTACAGGCTTTGGAACGCATCATGCCTATGTTACGTATCTTATGCTACAACGGCAGCTTAGTCACGTTAACTGTCGTAAATTGGACCATATCCAAGTTTCATCCTCTAGGGTTGGTTATAAACGGACTGTACGACGTTATATACCAGAAGATAGACGTCTTCGTAATGATCGCTGCTAGAACCTTAAATCCTACATAGAAACATGTTTATATCTGTTTTTGTTTTCAGTGCTACATGAAATGTATCCTGGGGAAGATGCAGTCGGTAAGTTGTACATAACATTCATATAGATGCACATACATATAGACAATAGCGCAGCCTGTACAGGGTAAAGGAGAACACTTTGCGACTGAGAAGAAAGTTACCTGACATGGGACCTATATAAGCCCTTGGAAAGACCAATAATCTTTCAGCTACCTAAGTAATTTACTGCTCTTGTAGAATTTGAAAGGTCATTACAGGTTTTACAAGATCCCCTATCCTGAGGTAGATGAATGCAATTCACATAATTTCTCTTAGGATCTATTTAAGACCGCGCCATAGCTCAAGCGGTTAGTAGCTGGCTTCCCATCGCGGCGGGAGGGTTCAATCCCGGGTCTGGTCAAGTGGAATTTGTGGTGGACAAAGTGGCACTGAGGCAGGTTTTCTCCGAGTACTTTGGTTTCTCCTGCCAATCTTCATTCCACCAATTACTCCACAATCACCCTCACCTATCCGGGGCTGGTACAATAGGCCAGAAGTGGCCGAAATTCAAGTGATTGAGTTCCATCCCACTAGCAATAAAAAAATAGGATCTCTTTTAACGGTATCCCGTACTCTAACCGCAAGACTTAGTAGCATAACAAAATAAAGGAAAACGATATTTGTGGGAAATTTGTCACGGAGGGGTGAGGTTAGAAATGCATCAAAATTTTGGTCCAAATCCTGCAAAGAATAGATCATATGGGAGATTTATCTTAACGGATTTGCATGGAAAGTAGTGACTAAGGGCATGTACCAGTGGCGAAGCACAAGAACCTACTGTAACTGATTTACTCACAGCACTAATAGGGAACGGCTTGGTTAACATATTCCAGCGCGCAACAATGGAAACTATGTCTCAGTGAACGAATACTATAGCTCGTTGCTAGGCAGTAGTCAGCACGCCAATAAACTAGCTGGGTAGCAATCACGTTACTTCTGTTTTCTGTGTAGTCCGCGCGGAGCCTATATAACGAAGATCTGTTGTAGCTAAGGTTAGTTTAGTTGAAAGTATCAGGACGAGAGTGGAGCATGTCCTTAGTGAATTGAGAAGATTAGTTGAGTAAATATTATGACAGAGGAGTGCAGAGTGACCGAAGACGAAATAACGAGGTAAAAATTAATGTCATCCCTGTGATAGGACGTGAAGGCCCATAGGGTTATGAGACGTCGAGGCTCCCACATTTTCTCTAGACAATAGGCTCACAGATGGCGATAAGGTTGTCAAACTTAAGCGCCGACCACCATTTACTCCCAGAAGGTTCCTGTTACTCGTTTCTGTTAGAAGCTGAGTCGAACCCACGGCCATAATGTGGCTGGAAGGATTAGGCCAATTGAAAACAATCCACCTCATCGGGACTCGAGCTCGCGACCTTCCGGCTTGTGACACAGTGCCCCAACCAACTACGTTACCGCGTGTTCCTCGAAATAATAAAATGACTTAGTGGGATTTGAAGCTGGTTTCTATGTTGGAGCCGTTGCCAGGAGACGACTAGTGAAGACAAAGAATCCTAGTGCGAGTGCAACGGCTAACAGAAAGTGTGCAGAACATCGATAGCGTTATAATTGAGTGTGATTAAGAGAACTGGTAACAGAAGTGCCAATAAATCCAATCATCCCATTTAGAACCCGTTATTTTCGTCAAGCGTAACCCCCCCTCCCCACATGTGACAGTAATAATTAACTTTCGGGTTCCATAAAATGTGGGGATATCTTGACAAGGTGGGCAACTACAATTCTGCAAAAATATGAGAAATTCTACTGGATTGAGTCAGTAAATTTAGAGTCTCCTATAAGTCTGTAGCAACACGAAAGAATGAATGTGCATATACACATCCCACACAGAGGCTACGTCATGTCAGCAGTCATCTGTTTCCTTTTGCATCTGTGAGCTTGCATGTTTCATCACTGAGAGACACAGAATGAAGTTACACAATGAAGGGAACAAATCTGTTCTTTTAGTTATTAATTAAATTTCGAAAGAACCTAGTAAGCGTACTGAGTAAGAGCTAGAGTAACTAAAGAATTAATCAGATTACCTGTTAACTATGTATTTACAACTTTGAACAGCTGAAGAACGGAAAGTACATTCCAGACGCCGCCATTTCAATGGCAAAAAGGATGTTGCCGGACGGTGTTGGTGACAGAACAGGCGCAGCAATAGACAAGTGCCGCGTTGAATGGGACAGTGAGTACATATTAACATTGTAGTTGTAAATGCTCCTGAGAAGTGAAGGCTGTTTTTCATAACGAACATCATGTCACTAGAAGACATCCATTTTTTTCAGTTTGAATGAGTCTACAAAAACCAAAATATGCCGTCGAGTATTCAGCTCTCCTAGATCCTTTGTTTGGATCTTGATCCGGAAGCCATTAATCTTCTCTCCTACTCAACAGGCATAGATGAAATTAGATGTTTTGGGCCTACACTAAAAATTTTGTAGTTGAATTTAATTTCTGTCTCATGTAGGCTATGTTGAAGTTTGATCCGTCGTTTGTTTTTTATTTAATTATAATATTCATCAATAATTTCATGGTTATAATTACTATGGAATTCTAATTTTCCTTTCTATTTTGCCTGCAATGACTGCTTTTCTATTTTGACGCTACAACTCACGTAGACTTTTTGTCTTCTCAACCACACCTCTCAACTTGGTCCTGTCCTGGACTGTTATCTTCCAATTTGTTATCTTTATCTTCTTAATGTCAGCCTTAACATCGTATTTCCGGTCTGCCCATTGGGCTTGTACTTAATGGTTTCCATGGGTACAGGCTTTTAACTGATCAGTTGGTTGGAATTCGCTCTACGTGACCAAGATATGAGTCTCTTTGTGCACGTATAAAATTGATTATATTTTCATAGTTGATTAACTGATTTAATTATTGATTTGTTTCCATTCGCCAGCTATCATTTTTCTTTATTTGGGCAAAAAAAAATCTTTGAATTTTCTTCTCAATAACCAGTAATTTATTGACTTCAGCCTGTGATGACTAAGAGTGATACAATGCCTCTCTCTTCTCTGCTACATACAGGCACTAGTGGGACAGATTTCTGAATTCTGCTCATAAAAATATAAATCAGGTCTCCTTGCTTTAACTATATTAAGCCTGAATAAAACTACGCAATTTTTCTCAATAGTGGCTTACTGTAGATAAGCACCGCAGTATCTAGAGCTTCTACATGAGACAATCTAGAATATGGTACAGTTATTTGCAACGAAGTACAACTAAAACTAATTTGTGGTTTTAAGTAATCTCATACCTCTATTGTGATGATTTTAATGCAAATAAATTTGAAATAACAATAGATGGATGCCAAGGACAGGGACGTAATACCCTTTTAACTACTGTCATTAATAATCTGGTAGTGACTGCTTCACACCAAGTGTTTTCATTTGTTTGCGCTGTAGCCTCTGTAACAATGACACATCATTTTGCAGAATACGAAGACGCTTGTGATGCTTCCTATGCTGTGACAGTCTGCACTTATGAAGCCGATCCCGAGGTAAGAAACTGCCTTCAGTTCAGAATAAATGCAAACAATGAGGCTTGGGCTTACTCCGAAACTGTAAGACGTACACTGACATAGTTCAGTCAATATTTCGGAAAAAGAAAATAACTACTTTTGCCAGGAGTAGTTGTAGTTATTATCATTGCAACGAAATTGAAGAAGTAATTTCTAAACAGCATATTTAACATTTCTAAGTTGTTAACTGAACAAGAACGGGGCAAATGCAAAAGACAATTTCTTAGACACGTTTCTGGCAGAAAGTTGTGCCATATTTCAGTCGACTTGGCAATAATACCGGCTGAACTAGCGATAGAGTAACAGCCAATAATTCAAGCACATTTAGCCCTCTTGCATCGTATCATCTCCATTTTTATTTCTGTCCATCATTTGGTTTCACTATGATATACCCAAGTTATATACGTCCTCTAATTCACTTAGAGCAACATGTTTCGATGAAAGGACATCATCAGATTATTTTTATTCACAATTATCTTGTATAGCTACTAAAACTTTATAATTCCTCATTAGAATTTAATGTAATTTATTAACAATAACTTTACCTTAATATTACAATTTAATGCTTGTAAATTAAAAGTATATACAGGAAATTGTTACTAACTCTGCGTCTTACTTCTCGGTGTGTAAGGTGACGTCATTTTCACACCACAGTACATTTTACCTATACAGGGGGCAGCACTATGTACGAGTACGTAACTGAATAATCTGAAGGCTGAAGACGTAATTCTTATTAATATGGAGAGGAAGAATTATACAAAGGCATGAAGGGGTTAATGAAAACAGAAAAGAGAGAAGCACAGGCTTGTATATGAAAGAAACAGTTCCCCTTTTCATTTCAACGTGCTTCACACAAGTTTATAAATTACTGTTATTAAAGAATATGATTGATGTGCAAGAGACATTGCAAGCTATGTAATGAAATAGAAAATGCAGTGATAATGGCACTTTCTTATTTCCAACTCGATGTCAGTCAGTTATACTGAGTCAGTGGTTTAGGTTGAGGGCGAAAGTGGAGTATAGCAAAAGAGAACATGTGTATTGTGTTATAATGGCTGAAGGCCATAATAGTGGAGTCAAGAGAAATGGCCGTCATTAGGTCATGGCTGGTGAAAACGTTCCCGCGGCATCATTTGCGATATCCGCTGCTAGGCAATGACACAGTAATTATTGTCCTACGTCATCAGACAAACGATCCCATTGCTAGGCCACGAATAAACACGCAACAATAGAAGAAATATGGGAGACGGTGTATTCTTATGTGGGCAGACCGGAGGCTACGTAAACAGAACTGAGGTACTCTGTATGTATTCGTGTGGAAGCGAGGGAGAATTAGTGAGTGAACACTCGAGTCACTCCAAGTAGAAGGGGAGTGACCAGTAGTGGTCAGATTCCTCTTCTAGAAGAGGAGGCCCCATTTGAAAACACGTAAAATATCTTGGGTCTCGGCGGGATTCGAAACCAAGAACTACTGAGCTGGCGAGGGCCAGCATCAATTTAACCGACCGATTGTACAGAATTATAGATAATATTTAGTATTCCGAAAAATGTTCAAATAAAGGAGGCTTCAGATCCAGGTGAAAAACTAACAGCACGTGAGCCGTTTCAAAGTCTCGTCGCAAAACTTGTATCGCAAAATATCCATATTCGTTCTTCTAATAAAACTGATAAAGCAGCACGTGACTTAACAGCTTCTATAACTTCAGCATGCAGGCTATCGTCTACAAAACTACGAATCTAGATCAGAAATACGAAATACCTTGCTTAGATTGATTATTGCATCATAACAGGAAGCTCAGAAAATTATGGCACGAAACCAGGTAAAGCGGCAGTAAATTGCGTTACTTAAAATATCAGAAGAATGGCAAGGAAAAGACAGTTAACAAATGGGAAACCAGGTTGGCAAATTGAGAAGTCACATCTCAAGCAATATGGCTTATTGTGAAATTCCTCACAAAAAGGGGTAGACCAAAGACACCATTAGCAATTCATTGTACCATAGGCCTCTCAAACGCAGCACGGATTCTCGCCACTTGTTCCTCCGAGACTCGTGGTCGTCCTGAACATTTTCCTTTACACAGACACCCACTCTCTTGAAACTGTCGAAACCACCGTCGAATGTTCTTAGGACAGGGCGGATTAATGCCGAATCGCCTTCGAAAAGCACTCTGCAACGCGACAACCGAATTTGTTTTCGCGAACTCGAGAACACAGAACGCCTTTTGCTGAGGACTCGCCATTCCGAGGGTAAACGAACAACTGAACGTTGCCGGAAGAACGACGCGACTTCAGCGCCACTGTGGCAGCCATTCACAACTTAGATAACTCCTCTTTCAAATGGTCACTGACTCATTCCATGATGATGCTTGAGAACTGAAGCAATGCGTCATGAAATCGGTTCATTCTTTTTGAATAACCCTGTATTTCTAATTTCTGCAACGTAATTGCAGAATGCTTAGAAAACCAGTTCAGAACGCATGACTGGTGAGACTGTGATCATAGACGTTTTGTGGAAGCTAAATCTGAAGCCCTGCTGGCTACCGTCGATGAAGATATCTCTGTTAAGTTCCGAATTTATGAAGTCTCAAAAGAAATAAAACCTTTGGCATCAGGAGAAGCCTGTGATTTTGATGGCATTCCAAATTATATTTCCGGAGTATTCCAAGAGGACCTCTTATGCATGTTATGAAACAAGACCTCGAGGGATGTATTCCTTTTTCGACATATTTTGATGCCGAAACCCGGGTTTCTTGTCCAGTGAGTTCGACTCTTCTTCACACTGGACATTCTTGCAGACTTGCCACGTTTGCCGAAGCAGTTGTTTCACTGGTCGCCGTGGCTGTTGAGCTTGATGTAATGTGAAGTCCTCGAAACTCTGTTAACAAATCTATCTGGTTACTCATTGTGAAATCCATCTTCACAGCCGAACTACTGTATTCTGCGGAAAACGCAGTCATTCTTTATATCTCACTGTATCCCGTAATGCCTTGCTGAAATGTCGAGTAAACTTGTTGCTTCAGTCCTTGCCTCCGTGCTGTCTGTCAACACCACAAAAATGTCCTCCTTTCTCTCGAAGTCTTGAAGTATAAGTCTATCGTATATATATATCTCTCCCACTTTTTCGGATGTTGTTTTGTTTATTCAATTCTCAGAGTATATCCGGACACGTCTAAACTATTCGAGGTTTGACTTTTGTGTATACCACTCTCGGACACGTCTACCCTATTCAATGCCCCACTTTTGTGTGTCTGCGTGGCGTCAGCTTCGCCAAAGCGTGGTGAAGCCAACCCACGCAAATTCCATCTCATAGTTTCACTACTTGGGTAGTGCTAGCTGATTGGTTAAAATAAACTAATTATTTTGAATTTGACCAATAAGGTCTTGACTTGCTTGCCCTTAAGGAAAAATGCAACCAAAATTCTTGGGATTGCCACTGACCTGATACTGTACGTCATCATTCGTGTGGGGAAGTCCCTTAGTTTATTGCGCACAAGTTATAGCGTGCATTCCTGGGTAAGAGAGGTCCTAAATTGGGTTACCTAAGGGCAGTGCTAAGCTCCGTTCGGCTTCACAGCAGCAATTTAACCGATAGACTGATAGAAGTATTTGTGCTACCCAGCCCGAGAATTTGGGGAAGATACCCACCCCTTGACATTACGGCGCTTGCAAATAAGTTCCACAACACCACTGGTACCGCGAGTCGAGCATGACTTTGCACGTACCATATACGAGTACTGTATATATGATTTCATAACGCAACTGTGCAGACAGCAAGAAGAGGCCAAGGAACCGGCCTCTCGACAACTGACTAAGTAAAATGGCGACATGTAACATTGTAAAAGTAGATCACCTATTACCATGGTAAATGACAGACTCGTCTTCTCTCCAGAGAGGGCACTCGATCTAGACAAGACCGCAAATGACACTAACAAAAATATGGTCTTGGCTCCGAGACGTGATTTGACACCAAGACCGGCTGGCCGACTGACCGTCGGTCCTAACGTGACTTCGGCTTTGACCATAAGTTTTATTCTGATTAATAGAAGTTATCACGAGGAGATGAATACAAAGCGTTTCTTTGTATCACATTATGCGTACTTCTGTTAAAATATATATGCTTAATTTCAGCTAGACAGATTCATACTTATTGCGAGGCATCGCTGTAATGTACGGCGCATAAGATGATTATTCGCATAATTCTTAAATCAAGACGAAATTTTTACATTTGTAATTGTTTTTATTTCAGGTTTTCTTCTTGCCATGAATGACGCCATGGGACAACAAAATGCATGAATTCTAAGAAGCTGTAGTCTTATTTTAATATTCTTTACATACATATTGTCATATTTCTAATATGCAATACGTCGCAATTTACTTACCAATCACCTTATGGAGTATTTTCCGATTCAGTATCACAAGTAACTTGTTTGTCAACCTAATAAATTGTGTGATGCGTGAGATTTATAAGATTCTAGATACTTATGTCAATTACATTTATTTATAGCAAGCCCTTCATACAACGCAAGTAGCAGCTTGATCCTTCTACTCTGGTGGTAACTTGTGATCATTCTTGGTATATAAACCGAAGTTTTCAATTCCTGAGTTTATGGATTTTTAAACAATAAAATAATAATAAATTGGTAATTAATTTCAAAGTATGTGAAAGGAAGCAAAAAAAAAACTCCGTGGTTTTTAGTCCACAAGCGAACTATATCGACCCAAGCGACCGCCGCTTGTCGGCGAAGTTTAGTGTCAATTTTTGCCGATAGAGGGTGTTAATTTCGGTTTTCTAGACCGGAGCCGCTATTTCCTTGAAATAGCTCCTCTGTTATCATCATCACGATGCTGGGTGGACCCCGTTCCAGACCAACTACTTCTCAGAAAAAAAAATCTGGTACCGCCGGGATTCGAGCCCGGATCTCTGGATCTGTAGTCAGGAACGCTGACCACTAGATCACAGAGGCGGCCGAAAGGAAGCAATACTGACCTAATTTAAGATCCCATCCCGACACTTTGTCTGACGAACTGCGAAAAACCAATAAAAGCTTCACTCAGGATATCCGGTTTTCGGTCACATGTTTCAACACCTGATCCCGGAATACGAGGCAACAGTAATGGCGGTTCGACACGAAAGCTAGAAGAAACTGATGATTATTTATTTGAACGATGATGATGACCCAGGACAACAATGATTCTATCAAAGCCATGTGGACGTTAGATCAAATTAATAAAATATTACTAAGCATTCCTCAAAGCAATAACAAATTAAGAACCAAGCGTTTAAAATGGTTGACTTGATTGAGCCTTAATCTACGGCACCATGCTGAAAGGTGGTTATACTCGGAGAAGAGTACAGGTTATGAAGCACCTCATTTTATAGTTTTCTCCAACTTCCTGTCACTTCATCTCTCTTCGGTCCAAATATTCTCCTCAACTCCATGTTCTCAAACACCCTCAGTCTATGTTCTTCCCTTAATGTCAGAGACCAAGTTTCACACCCATACAGAACCACAGGCAAAATTATAGTTTTGTATATTCTAATTTTTAAGTTTTTGGACAGCAGACGATAAGACAAGAGTATCTGGACTGAAGGGTAGCAAGCATTACCAGAGTTCAATCGCCTCTTAATTTCCTCCTCAATAGGTTTTGATTTGTTCTGGTCGTTTAATATTACTCTTCAATCTCCTCTTAGTGGTTTTGCACCTTCAGATTTCCCACTAATATTATTTATGCAATATTCATCTGTTCCCTGCATTACATGTTTATGGCCCATCTCATTATCCGTCACTTGAACATTCTTATGTTATTTGGTGAAGAGCAAGCGTTATGAAAGAGCCGGTCACTGTAGCCGAGCGGTCTAAGGCATGTACTGTCTTCGCTCGCTTGGAAGCCAGTATCGTGAGTTCGGATCTCACTCAGGGCATGGATATTTAGTTTGTGTGTGTGCGTCTTTCTGTGTTTGTGTACAGGTAGAGGCCTTGCGTCGAACTGATCACCCTCCCAAGGAGTCCTACTGAATGTGTAAGATCCAGTAAACCGAAGTGGAACATAGAGTTTCATGGAAGTAGGCCATCACCCTTCCGATAAAGCAAACGCAATTTCTGACTATTTGGAAATTCAGTTCATCCCGCATGATCTGTGTGACAATAACCATGAACGGTGGATGGAGGCTAGAGTTCAAGCTCTGCTGGAAATCGTAGACGATAAACCCCCTCAAAGAATCAAACCATGTGACGTACAGAAATTAATAAAATCTCTGAAACTAAAAAAGGCCTGCGGAATTGACGGCATCCCAAATGAATGCCTCAGGCACCTTCCAAGGCGACCACTGGTTCATGTAACCCATTTATTCAATCATTGTTTTCGGCTCTCTCATTTTCCAAATACTTGGAAGGAAACAAAAGCAATAACTTTACCCAAACCCGGTAAAGACCCGAAATTTCCTCAAAATTTACGTCCGATCAGCCTCCTGTCCACGATAGGAAAACTATTCGAAAAAGTAATTTTGAAATTCCTCAGTAAACATATTGAAGAAAGAGGCCTGCTCAACGCAAGTCAGTTTGGTTTTCGTGCACTTCACAGCACGACATTGCAATGTATGAGGCTGGCGGACCACGTAACCCTTAATTTCAACAATAAAATGACTACGGCTGAGGTGTTCTTGGACTTGGAAAAAGCCTTTGATACCACGTGGCACTCAGGCTTGCTGTATAAGTTATCAGAATTGGAATTCTCGAACAGTTTGACCAAACTTATTGGGTTCTTTTTTCTAAACGTATATTCAGGGTCTCGGTTGAAGGCGAAATGTCAACGCCAAGGGAAATGCAAGCAGGAGTGCCACAAGGTTCTGTCCTTTCCCCTAATATTTTCAACCTGTATATAAATGATGCCCCCCAGACTCATGATGTTCACATGGCCCTCTTTGCGGACGACACCTGTCTGTATGCGACAGATGGCAAGGAGGACTTTATTGTTAGAAAACTCCAGCGCGGTCTCAGCTCAATAGAGACCTGGTGTGAGAGCTGGAATATAACAATTAATGAAGATAAGACTCAAGGGGTCTACTTCTCTCGTCGTCGCCCGCCTGAGTCTTGTCTTGCTCTAAATGGAAGAAATATTCCATTTGTTAATAATGCAAAATATCTAGGTGTAATCTTCGATAAGAGAGTGACATGGAGATTACACATAGAAATGATCGAAGCCAAGGCCTTCAGAACATTCATTAGAGTATATTCCCTATTTAAAAGTGAGCGATTGAGCGCTTACATTAAAAAGACCCTCCAAAAAGCTCTCATTAGATCCGTAATGACTTATGCTAGTCCCTCCCGGGAGTTTGCGGCAGACTCTCATCTAGTGAAATTGCAGCGCCTACAAAACAAGGTTCTCCGCACGATTGGCAATTTTCCGAGGCGCACACCGGTCCGCGATTTGCACATGGAATTCAAAATCCCGTAATTATATAACTATATAACAAAATTATGCAGGCAACAAGCAGAAGTCATACAAAATCATGATAATGAGAATGTTCGCAACATCGGACAAGGCGAAGCCCGCCACAGAAAGTATAAGAGGCTTAAACTTGGCGGCGGTCAGGCATGCGACCGTTCAAGTGACTAGACTGCCGTGGTAGCGAATACTGGTAGAAATAGGACAAAATCTGCTGTATTGAGCATGGACTGACAGAGGCCTTCTGTATATTGTACATAGAAATAGGAATTAAGATTAAATTTGTAAAAATATGTAAATACTGACAATGGACTTATTGACACAGACTATGACTGACAAATGACAGACCCGACCTCTCGTCAGAGAGGGCGCCCCACATTGACAGGACTGTAACTTTCACTTAAAAAGTAATATCTGGTCATGAGCACCAGCCGGGGCTCGACACCAAGACAGACAGACTGACTGACCGTCAGTCGCAACATGACTTTGACTCTGAATTTGACTTTGAATTTGCGGCAATGTGATATTGACTAGGAGTGAGTGTTGTCTGTTAGACAGGCGAAACCGCGTGTTAGTATGTGGGATGTTCCCACACGTCAATTAATGGCCGATGTACCAAGTGGACTTAGTCTCACCCCACCCTACGAAACTAAAAAGCATACAATGCGAAATCAGTACAGAACATGGCCATCAAGCTTATGTGTTACTGATGCATTTTTAACAGAATTGGGATATGATGCTCTCATATTAAAACGCTATTAAACTGACATGCGTGGACAGGATAGCAGGAGCTTCTTCATGAAAACAGAGCCCTATCATGCAAGTTCCGGTCCAGCCCACACACATCACACTTGTTTAATAACAGGAAGTTCTGCTATTTTATGCCGCGTTAATGCGATCACTGCCAATACACAGGAAGAAGGACGTAAGTACCGATAGTGTAACACATCAAAATCACTTTCAAGGAAAGCAGTAAAAATACTTCTTCTGTGAGAGGTGCATTTTAGAGTTCAGAAGGATCACAAATTATAGTTACTAACTTCAATTTTAAACAAGCAGAAGCATCTGTTCTAACGATAGTGCAAAGCTCTCAGAATAACTGGGGGTTTGAACTTTGCCCAAAGTCTGGTGTTCTAAGAACTATAGAACACAACGTTTCGGAAGCTAGATATGTTTCCGTCCTCAAGTTAGGGTGGAGACACCTACTCTTTTGGGTCCCTTAGAAAGAGCTAACTTCAATCACTGGACAACCAATGAAAAGTTGAAAAAGTTAAAGTTGTCCCTGTGCTTAACTACATAAGCACTATGAACCTAAGGCGTATGGCGCAGTGGTTGGGGCGGGGGGCAACCAACAAAATAAATTAAAATTGTGCTAAATATAGACAGACCTGAAACTAAGACAGAAATAGGAGGCCGCGCCATGGCTCAAGCGGTTAGTCGCTGGCTTCCCACCGCGGCGACCCGGGTTCGATCTCGGGTCTGTTCAAGTGGGATTTGTGGTGGACAAAATGGCGCTGGTGCAGGTTTTCTCCGAGTACTTCGGTTTCCCCTGCCAATCTTCATTCCATCAATTGCTCCACAATCACCCTCACTTATCATCTGGGGCTGGTACAATAGGCCAGAAGTGGCCGCAGTACAAGGGACTTAGTCCCACCCCACTAGCAACAAAAAAAAAACCTAGCCAACAAACCAAGTCCATGAAAACAAACGCATACGATTAAATGGAGCATCTTGGGATGCATTTTCTTCCTACCGCAAGAGTCATCTGGAGTAAATACTGAGCACTTGGGAGTGAATCCTAATAGAAACCCACTAAGAACAGTGATCTTTTCTGTGAGTTGGTAACCTCTTTGCTTCCAAGTGGAAGAAACGCCGAAACCGGGTTGGACGGTCAGAGTCCCTTTTATGTCTTCATAAAGCTATAACTTAAGAACCTGCGATGACTCAGTTATGATCATACTAAATATTTCCCGCAGTCCTATATTCCACTTTCCACGTCTCTGACAACTTCGTATTTTTAAAAATTCAGTCCCACTAAAAAAAATTTCAAGCTCATGCATGAAATGACGTTAGCGTCCTCTGATTTTACCAGCTCGCACGGAGCCACATTGTTATTGGGGGAACCAGAAGCTGATAACTTATGCGGTCTATGTGAAGATATCAAAGGAGGAACTCATAAATATGCAGCGACTAAAGGTCATTTGGTAAGAAAGGATTATCGTAACAAGAGCTGTAACATGCACAAAGACAGAAGTAAGAAAAAGAGTTCACAGCAAGATATATCTGTGAGAAGAGATTAACTAAGCCATGCAGCAGAGACTCTCCTGAGAAACTAACAGTTCTTAGTTAGTATGGAAATTCTCGGCCTTCGGATCTCGGAAATTATTATCTTTGTCCCGAAGTCATTGGTTCGTACCCTAGACCAGATGGCTCCAGCTCATACACTTTATTCGAGATGGATTAAAGTATTTTCCTACTTATGTTTATTGAGTATTGAGTATTGACGGGGTGGGTTTCCCCATGCACCGCGACCAGTTTGATCTATTGTGCGTCCCCCTTTGAATTTCTACTCTCTCCATACCCTACCGGTACTGGTGCTTGCTATCGTTCCCTTCTGCCAGCGAGGTTTCGGCCTTCTACTGGCAGTGGTATCTAATAGTTAGTCCCTTTCTGTCAGTGAGGTCGTCCCTCCTCTGGCAGTGGTACCTAATCTCCCCCATCTACCGGAGGCATTGGAAACTACTTGGGCGGGAAATTTGCCTAATTTAGCTCAGAGGTCTCCTAGAGACATGAGGTTCTTTTACGTGCCGTAAATCTACGACACGGGACCCACGGCTTAAAGTCCCTCCCGGAGGACTTGTTCCCTGAATTTTTCCGCCCTTAAAAATTCCACGACCTCCGCCGGGTTTGAACTTTCAGACTGAATCTGTGTACACACTTCCCTTCCCCTCCATAACCGGCGCTTCTCCCACTCTAGCAATCCTCCCTGCTTTGAATACCCTAATTACATTTCGCTGAGTGTACAAATGACAATGATATTTCAGCCCAGTCTTGCTCAAAAGCCCGTAAACAGACGTACATAACCTTGAAGATTATGCACCTATAAACACATTCAACTACTAATTCAGTGCGAAGAGGACACAATTATTCATTAGGCACAGACAGAACTGGGGCAGTTCGGTACACAGCTGCTCGCACAATTATGCTTTATGCTTGTATGCTGTGACATAAGAATGGACGACTTCTGAGTTTACAACAATCAATTACTGTTTTTGTAATACCCGTATTTCCCACCTACAAAGGACAATTTTGTAAAAGCGGAAATGTTTTACGTTGTGGTTTTATATTATATATGTGAGTTGTGGTCTCCCGTAAGTCACTCTCGATGTTACTAGAGGCAAGATGGGCCACGTTGCGATCTCTGCTCTGTGTCTGCTGTTCCTGGCTGCCTTCCTACAGGGAGCATGCGCCGCGGTGAGTTCTGACAAGCACTACTTCACTCAGTGCTCAAGTAAAAGTAAAATTAAAGGCATCCCTGTAACAGGCAGTGGAGGGCCATAGGGTTGTGAGATGTCGAGGTTCCCACATTTTATAGACAATCGGCTCATAGATGGCGGCAAGGTTGTCAGCCTTACGCTTCCGCCGCCCTTTACCCCCAAGAATATTCCTGATACTCATTTCTCTTAGAGGCTGAGTCGACCCTAGGGCCATAGTACTGCTGGAAGGATTAAGTAATTAAAAAAAATCCAATGATCTCATCGGGATTCGATCCCGCGACCTTCCGGCTTGTAGCATAGTGTCTCAACCAACTACGCTACCGTGTGCCCTTATTCAGTGCTTAAGACTTCCATAAATCTTACCTTCCTAGGCATCCAATGTCAAGTAACGTCTCTCTAATGGGCACTTTAAGGATTTAACCATCCGTTGTTTTATCACAAGTTTGTAAATAGGCTGGACCGGATGTGTAACATAATAGAATTATTATAATTTGATTTGTCTCATTTTGGTCCGTACTGTACAAATGACACAGCACGCACATAAACTACACGACTAATAATAAGAATATAAAATCAAGAGAAACAAACGACATCTCCCAACATCAGGAGGAAAACAACATGACCCAATGTCGGCTCACGATATTTTAACATAATAACTAATTTTTTACATGCGAAAGAAAATTTTAATACAATTTTAAATACATTGGGAGGCTAATGTATGAAAAAGCGAATATCATATCGCGTGCAGTGGAAAATCCCAGTCAGAATACCCAGCAAATACGCTTAAAAGAAACAGCATCATACGTAAGCCTGCTCTTCAAGAAGCGCCATCGCGAATGCCTGGGACAAACACCAAAACCCACCGTGATAATAACAAAATTTATATAGTGAGCATTATTCATAGCTTAAGTGCATATGGTTAAAACATCTTATGTGACAGTGTTCCCTGATCGTAGTGGTGCGCCTCTGAGGATGATTCTTTCGAATCGAAACATGTAAGGTGAAAAAGACTGAAGTGTTGTAAACTTGTATGTCACGCTGGACTGAAAATTATCCACTCTAGAATTATTATAGTTCGACCTGGGGCAGGGATCAATTAACTCCAAGAATCAGGTCGTCATTACGAAACTTCTTGAATCAAAGTTGAATTATGTGCTCGTTAACTGTTTTATTAATATTTCGTGCAGTTTGCCCTGCGCTTCGTGCAACTTTTTTTTTCGCTTGGCACTACAGCCCCAGTGGGCCTAGGCCTACCTCCATGAACTTCTCCGTTCACTTCGGTTTTTCTAGATCTTACACATTCGGTAGGACTCCTTGGGCGTGTGATCAGCTCAGCAAGGCCTCTACCTATACACAAACATCCATACCCTGAGTGGGATTAACCCATGATCCCGGCTTCCAAGCGAGCGAAGACAGTGCATGCCTTAGACCGCTCGGCTACAGTGACCGGCTTCGTGCAACTTTAAACTAGTACAAATAAATTACATCAATTTCCTCTTTTTATTTCCGTCCGGTAGCCTAAATTGAAGAAAAACAGAAAATAAAATGAAACCGTTATTACAGTCAAATAGAGCGAAATATGCGCTACAGAATTTTATATAACATGGACCCAATTTTATAACAATTTATTTTGCATCAAGCTTCAAAATTTCAAGTAACAACACTAGGATTTTTTTTCCAACATAAATTGTTTGATTATGGACAACTGGGTGAATGTTGCAGCTTACAATGGACACCATATGAATTTTTCTTGCGAAAATATGTGAGTTCGAAATCACATTATAAACACCTCAACAGCTTGTATTCCCAAACCAAAATAATTTGAAGCACAATAATTGGGCCATCCTTTCTCAGAAACATAAATATAACTTATAAATTATTGTCGTGTAAAATAGGCTCCCTTTATTCATTCTCAAACCTCTAATTAGCATAATACTCGAACCCATTTGCAGCATTTTAAATTCTTCGACGCTGAAAACAGATTCTATTTTGTGTTTTATGGTAATGAGAAAGCAATAACTAAATAATTGTGAATAATTTAAAATTCTTATGGGCAAATAAAATCCCTTCTGAGGGCACCAATATACCCAGCGGCATGTAATTGGCGATTTCTGGTCTAGAGTCTTGTAGGTATGGTCTAATGTTATATTTTGTTGTTGATGTTCATTGTGCATATAAATTTTAGAGTTGATTTTCTCATAGCATCCTTACAGAATGAAATAGTACGCTCGTTGTCTGGTCCATTATATAAGAACATTTGTTATTTTGCGACTTAGGTTTGGGAGAATTAAATATTTTTAAATGAAAGATTTCCATTCATGAGCGTCCTCTGAGCCCATATATTGCAGCACGAAATCATTAATATAATAAGCAGCAGTATTACTGCTAGACTCGAGAGGTTGGGCTCCACCTAGTTCGCTGGGTTCAGGGTATGATTGCAAGTAGGGCTCAGCACCACCATGGAATAATATTATTATCATATTAATCTTATGGTTTAAGTGACCATGCTCTGTGTTGCTTAGCAACACGCTAATAAAATCCCCTTTCTTTCCCTGGGATATGGCTACTTTCATTATCGGTATCACAGTAGATTTTTTTATTGCTAGTGGGGTGGGACTAAGTCCCTTGTACTGCGGCCACTTCCGGCCTATTGTACCAGTCCCAGGTGATAGGTGAGGGTGATTGTGAAGCATTTGGTGGAATGAAGATTGGCAGGGGAAAACGAAGTACTCGGAGAAAACCTGCCCCGGCGTCACTTTGTCAACCACAAATCCCATTTGATCAGACCTGGGATCGAACCCGGGTCTCCGCGGTGGAAAGCCAGCGACTAACCGCTTGAGCTATGGCGCGGCCTATGATCCGACTATTGTCTCGATGTCATTGTTGTCACGATCCCAGTAGCTTTCTTACAGCAGAAGTAGAACTGACTTGGACTCAATCCCATGCATGATTTCAAGACTATAAAAGCCTCCACAGGTAGGTCCTCTACCATGTGCCACATCTAGTCGAAAAATTGTGAGGTGTGCGAATGTGTAGAGAACAAACAAGCAAACAGATAAATGAATGCACGTTTTTCTTTACGTAGCGAGAGTTCGTCTATTTTTTACTTCCATCTAATGACGAACATCATCAGTTTCTGTGCACATTGATGGGGAAACAAAGATACCGGGTTGCATGCAGTTTGTGGACATAGTGAGCTCTAAACACGGGGTTTGTAGAACAACAAAGCTTCGTGTATGGGCAAAGTCTTTGTAGGATATAAGGTACAAAGAAGAGTGAGTTGGAACAGAAGGATACTTCGTGTATGGGCAAATTCTTTGTTGGATATACGGTACAAAGAAGAGCGAGTTGGAACAGAAGGATACTTCGTGTATGGGCAAATTCTTTGTTGGATATACGGTACAAAGAAGAGCGAGTTGGAACAGAAGGATACTTCGTGTATGGGCAAATTCTTTGTTGGATATACGGTACAAAGAAGAGCGAGTTGGAACAGAAGGATACTTCGTGTATGGGCAAATTCTTTGTTGGATATACGGTACAAAGAAGAGTGAGTTGGAACAGGAGGATGCTGTTGCTACCGTAGCATATGAAATTATGTAAAGAAGGTGCGTAGATGTATGGACAATTGCAGTGACGAGATACTTAAGCAGATACCGCAGTTTAACAGACTCGGATTTTACAGAGAGGTTTCCTTCGAGCGCCCAAGTAAATGGATGGGTCGAGCCACCCAAACATTGCGAGCCCCGAGTTGCTACAAGACCCACTACTCTACTCCAGTAGGCTTGTGCCATAAGCATTCAGTCGGTCACGTTGTTCCCTATATCGAAATAGCACACGTGCGCTATTTTTCGGAACAACGAGTGGTCCGCTAATTAATTAATTAAGCAGTACGGCATGAAGAGTAGAATTATAGCTCTAACACTCTTGACCTCAGCACTAAATTGAGGCGAGTGGTCAGTTTCACGCCCCGAACGCTCTACCCCCAGGGAAACAGACCGCAGTACCCGTCATAGATAAGACTGGTTGAGCCCCAGATCCTGTCTGGACGTTATGAAGAAGAGAAAATCCTCACCCCTTAAACAAACAAAACTCCTTGGCTTTATTCCGCAAACCGACCGAGCGACCCTCTCTTGTCGGCGAAGTTAGTGCCAACTTTAGCGGATAGAGAGTGTTGCGTGCTCAGCACAACGAATCCCTACGGCAGTTAATTTCAGTTTTCTAGACCGGAACCGCTATGCCCTTGAAATAGCTCCTCAATTATCCTCAGGAGGCTGAGCGGACGCCGTTTCAGATGCACTACTTCTCAGAAAATCTGGTAGCGCCGGGAATCGAACCCGGAACTTTGGATGTCTAACCAGGAACTCTGACCACTAGACCACAGAGGCGGTCCTCTCCCGGGGTATATATGGTAATGAACTCTCGTGTTACATGAGAGGCGAGAAATATGAATATAGTTAAGTTGTTGTTTGGCTTCCCAAGAAGGACTATGCTTCGTTGAGCCAGGATCATTTTAAATAGCGAGGAACTGATGCTGTGTTTCAGGGACCGAGCAAATCCCAGATGAAACAAGCACTCAGAATGGTGCGTAACATATGTCAGCCGAAAACTGGAGCCTCCACAGGTAATGGTTTTGCTAAGCACAATATCGTGGCAGATATACAAAGTTAAGAAGGTACATAAAACGGAAGAATTAAGCATATTATATCTAGGGAATCATAATTATGTAACAAAATTTTGGCTGCTACCGGGGACTGAAAGCTGTGCAAACGAAGCGTAAAATTCACAGCTTACAGCAACTGTTGAAATGTGACAAGTGCTTACGTACCCCTGTAATGGCACTTTAATACGACTGGCGAATTCGGAGTGTGGAACCAGTAGAAGCTGAAAATAGTTTGCAAATTTGCCAAAGTTCAGATTATTTAAAATAGAAGACAGTACTTAATGTCAAATAGTGAGTCTTAAAATTTTGGAATATAGTAAACATTCCCCCGACCCCAAGGCTTGTAAACACTTGATCATCTTTAAAATAATAATAATTAGTAATATCATAGTTTTCTTTGTTTTATTTTAACATGATTTTAATTTATGAATATATTTTGTAATCATATTATCGCGTTTTTCCTAGGCAACGAGGTAAGAAATTGTGTGAATCTCGGATTTTGACGAATAGTTATTGGACAATCAGTCTTTTACACTCACAAATACAATTATCCATACTTATAACGTCTTCGGGCGTTCCCTCTTCAGTGGTATAAATTCTCGCACCGCTATTCTCGGTGAAGTGTCTTCTGCTCTGCTCGGAGCTCAACTGTCCTTCCTTGGCTCTCGTCGAATACGCACTCACTGGTCTGACGATGTCTTCGGGCTCCCACGCTGGACCAAGTGAGCACGCCTGGCTTGGGTATACGATCTTCCTGCCTGAAGTCTCTCCAAGAACTGTCCGAACTGGTCTCTTGCCGAGGTTGGACTGTTATAACCTGCCCTCGGGCTGACTAGGGAACACCTTGTCGAAGGGTTTAGTTCCGCCCGCTGACATACAAATGACTCTTTTGTTGCCTCGAACAATTCGTTACAAATATACAAATAACGGTGGAAGCCCCATTGTTAGACTTTCATCTTCGGGGCAAGGATTTCCTAGACTTCGCTGCCTAGGGATAGCCGTTGACCAGTGATGGACATCTTATCGTCCGGCTTTCCTGGAGGTACGTCATAATATCAATATTTCAATACGGAGGAACTAAATTGTCCCCTTAAGGTCGTTTATTCATCCTTTCCCTCACCCCTACAACTTCCCCTTCTTTATTATATTACACAAAGATTCCAGAGTTAAAGAAATTATTAAATTTTATGGTTTGTTCTTAGCAATAGAACCAACCACATTAAGCCAATTTTGCAGGTGGAGGAACAAGAAGATGGGCCGCAGAGCTGCTCCACATTATAAAATGACAACTTTATTTATGTAACAGTTTTCCATATTAAATGATAGCACTACAATGCACAAGACAATTGACAATATCCGGTACCTAAGTAGTCCCAAGTGTAACACATCATTATCAGAAGCCCTTAGAGCTGATAAAACTAGCGCAGTGCTACTTGATCTGGCTCAGGGATAAGTGACAGATTGTTTTGTAAAGAGGAGTGAAACTTGCTATTCCGTAGGCTGTGAATTTCTTAACTAGCCAAGCGACTATTGGCCACTAAAAAGAGAGTTGCTTCATGGAGTAAGCAAGCCTATTAGACAATCTCGTGCTCTTTCAGCTAATATAAACTAAAAAATAATGCATTAATAGTGTTAATTAATAACTTGATATATCTGTAAATACATCTACAGACCTGTGGGAACAGATATTACCTCATTATGCAGTTATGATAAAGGCGATTAGCTTAAATAATGAACGTGTACAAAGAAGAGATGATATAATTAGGCACGCAAGATTTCTGGTGGAATATACGAGGGTAAGAAATATGCCGGCTGGCTGTTACACCTGCTGAACTGATATTAAAACTAAACTGGCAGAAATATACTGTAAAAACACGAACTCGTTTGATCGGCCTGTAGTAGGCTAGCGAACACGGCCGTGAGTCTTCGTGTTTCATAAAGACGAGAATTTTTTTTGGCTGTTAAACAACTCTCAGTTGTTGCAGGCAGGCCACATTTAAAGCAGTTAGTTAGTAATTAAATCGTTAAGCAGTTAAGAATTAATCAAGGTTTCGCTTGCTTTGCAGCTGCCATCGACGGGATTATGAAAGGAAGGTTCCCCGATGATGACAGACTTAAGGTGAGTTAAAGCAATCTGATTTCCGTAGCTGATTTCAACTATTTATTTAATTTGTTTGTGAAGATTTTAATGGCATAATATTATATAATGTCAGATGGTTAGTGACTAGTGACAAAAATTAAGTTCATAATGACGTTAAATTAAAATTAATTTATATATACATACTTAACCCGTTCTTCTTATACCTTTACGGTGTCGAGGTTGTTTTCAAATATGATTATTTTTACAGACGGTAGGACTCCTTGGACGGGTGATCAGCTCGTCGCAAGGCCTTTACCTAAACACAGGACAACAAAAACACAGAATAAACACATACATATACTAAACATCCATGCCTTGTGTGGGATTCGAACCCACGATCCCGGTTTCCGAGCGAGCGAAGACAGTACATGCTTTAGACCGCTCAGCAATTGTGACCGGCTAAAATTAATATATAACTAAAAATACGCAAGATTTTTAGAAGTTAGCTAAGTAAATCTTCAAGTCCGCTTCACTTCTTAAAAGCTTAATTGTCCCTTTGGGAACATATATCGTGGAAGCATATATTCAGCTCTTCTAGACTTGAACATGAATGATGAATTTAGTCATCAGATTTCTTTATCACTGAGGCAACGGTTCCCGGTAATGAAATGAATACAAAGCTTGCTGCATTTCGGAGAAGAAAAAATTATCTGTTCCTAGCGGAAATTGAACTCATGTACCGCCCGCCATTTTAATGAGGTGTTCCATTCGCACTGTGACTCCTCACTGTAATTTCTCCACAAGAAGTTCAGTAAAGCGACCGGATAATCAGGTGGCCGGAAGCGACGGGCATATGTGACTCCTTCCTTAATCACAGATCGCTGAATCTGCGGCCCATCCAACCTGCAGACAATGTCTGCCAGAAATTGAAGATTTCCATTCTCATCTGCCTATTGCCGAGCTGATAATGGATGCAACTGTAACTCCACGTCTCTTGTGTACTTCCCGGCACGATGTTCACACACAGACACCTTAGCTTCTGTCCCCTTATCGACAAGCAGTAATCAGGAGTGTAAACAAGTGACTCTTTCAAACGCTTCCGTCGACAGATGTCCGGTTGCTACAGTCCATTCGCGGAGACGAGACAGTCAGCGTAAACAAAGCAAGCCTCGCGTCGCCACAGCTGACAGCAAGGAGTGGACAAAGCGCGCAGTTACTTCAGTGTACTCACTTCATTCGGACGCACGTTAACCTGCATTCAGATTGAAGAGTGAACTTTGGACGCGCCTGTAACGGTACACATATCACGTGATCGCTGCATGATTTCATTCAAAGAGCGAAGGAGATACCGCGTGCATTTGTTGACGAGGACTCTCTCGTCTCCGTGAATGGACTATAGACTTAACAGTCTACGGCAAGCCGTGTCGGAATTTTATTTTACACGCAGACTATAATATCAAAGGCATGTTTACAGGACAACTGTTTATTAAAGAGTTTTGGATTAAATTGCATGTCCTGCATACAGTACAGAAAATAGTCTAAAGGAATGTAACACATTCACAGTGTCACTTTACACTCTGCCTTCCACATGAATAAGGCGAAAGCCTAATGAAATGAACCAAACTGTATCACAGTCTTGAATCAAGAATACAAAAATTAAAGTGAGATACTTAAACATCATTCATTAAATTCCAAAATTTAATCAGAAAAGGAGCACGCGGTAGCGTAGTTGGTTGAAGCACTACGCTACAAGCCAGAAGGTGGATGTTTGGCTTCCCGATGAGGTCATCGGACTTTTCAATTGATCTAAACCTTCCAGTCGCACCATGGCCCTGGGGTTAACTAAGCTTCTAGAAGAAGCGAGTACCAGGAATCTTCTTTGGGGGTAAATGGGGGCTGTAGCGCGAGGCTGAAATCCTCACCGTCATCTGTGAGCCGACTGTCTGGAAAATGTGAAAGTCTCGATATCTCACAACCCTATAAGCCTTCACGGCCTGTTACAGGGATATCTTTATCTTTAACCAGTAACAAAAAAAAAGAACAAGATTGCCTACTTCTGTAAATTCTATATTTAGAGTCCGGGAATTACTTTAAGCCATCCTATAAAACTAAAATGAGAAGTTTGATTTGTTTCATTCTGGTCCGTCACACTAACAATTACAAATATAAATCACTCCATCCAACGTGACCTGTAAGTTTTTTACTACGTGAAAACTTAACACCCTTACATGTTTCGGTCTCTGTGGACCATCTTCAGAGGGCAAACATCACTACAAATAGGAAACCACCATCACATAAGTTGTTTAGACGTAAAGTACGTACACTTATATGCTACAATACATAGTACACAAAATAGAACACTTCACAAACACAGCAGTTTCCTGGGAATCTAAAGTTTTTTATAAAATTGTATAAAATTTCTTGATGCCAATTAAAATTTTTTTGGATTGTCAATAATTAAAATTCGTAAACCATGCAGGCTCGTGTTCGTCCTCCCATCGTCCCTCTTATATGGGGCAGATATTGTGCCACCTGGCTATCTTGATGTGGAGGTTCTTTATATCGTCCAGGCTTTGCTCGTGGCTGCTGTGCTGTTTTCACTGTAGTAAAAAACTTACAGGTCACATTGGACGGAGTGATTTATATTTGTAAAATGAGAAGCTTGGAGAAATCAGTAAATTCAAACCACTGTTGCACAGGGTACTTAAATCACTGATTTCATAATATTCCATTATATTCCCCTAAAAGCAACGAAGTCAATGGTCTAGAAGAATGCACGATATTTACAAAATTGCGTTTTCCTCAGTAATCAAGTGAACATGATGTCTAGGAGCATTGCATAGGGGGATATATTGTAAGTACAGGTTAGGGAAGAGAGACGTTCCAAGCACGGATGCGTTTTCTCTTCTTGTCCTAAATAAGCTGGTTCCTTCTCTGAAATATTAACATTTCTGAACGTCATGCCACCCAATTCTTCTTACTTTCCCTTTTAACCAGCTTAGGCTTATGGTGTAATGGACGCGGGGTGAATAATTTTCGAAATAATGAAACATTTTCGTGTTACTTTATAAGAATGTTACGTTATTGGACAAATACATACGTCGTAATTTATAATTCCTTGCATCAAATAATATCATTTCGACTTTGTTAGGTTGTGAGATTGGATTCATACGAGTGCTAATGCAGAGGCCTGAAATATTGTGTTATAAAACACATTAAAGCTGTTCAGCTTTTATTAAGGCAATCTTTGTACAATGTAAAACAATATGGAAGTCCGCAAATTTTAAATTCAATCTTCAATCCCAGTTCAATAATTAGGAAATTATTGCTGTTACGAATATGCGACAGAAGGCTAAGTACAGATGGATCGTATCTCTATCTTAAAATTCTGTACGAAATTGATGTATCTTTAGATTAATAAGAATGACGGTTGAACAAGTTTTGAGGTTATGTCCCGAAAGTTTCACGCACAGCCAACATATGCAGATACACGGTGCGTTAAATTGTGGAAGTACTCATTTAAACGTTTTGTTGCCACTGTAGACGAAATGTCTACAGGAAAGCAAACGTCATGCGTCATCGACAGAGCTCATTTTTATGATACAACTTTCATAAATTAGTTCCTCCTTCCTCTTTCTATTCGCTTCCTTTAAGAAATGGCAGTGGTGATCAGAATTGCTGGATGATAATGCAGCATTTCTATATTTTTGTGATTTGCACAAGGCGGTGAGAGTGAGAGAAGGCGAGAACATGTCATGTATAAAATCACGACAGAAGAGAGAACTGGAAATACCTGCATTTGCAGCTTTAAACTAAATAAATACATTTAAACAAACTGCCACAATCGCTTACCGGACAAAGCTATTGCTCCATTAAAAGACATTGCTTCGTGTAGTTGGTGTTCAGGGGCAGTCACTGTAGTCTGGCCTGGATTTAAAATTCTGGACTAGAAATAAGGTCGTAGGCAAGGATACCAAATGTACGTTTAATGCGAACTTTTACATGTTTCCGATTTATATAGCCCGACAAATGTTTTAGAGAAAACGAGGGTGTAAATTCTAATTTTAAGCAAACGATACACGCTGTTCTAGCATATTTTTCTAATATGTTTCAGGAATACTGCAACTGCATTCTTGGCCTCATGAAACTTGTGAGTATTCGTCCGTATTAGTAAATATTCGCATCCTATTTTAGTTGCAATTTCTTTGTATATATTCTGCACTCAGCAATGGGATAAATTGGTTATCATAAGAACTGATTAAACAATATCGATCAGTCGCATTGAAGTCATGTTTTTACAGCCAATCGAAGTATTTGATAGGCAGTTCGATAACTGAGGAGAAATGGCAAGAGAAACAAATAACAATAACTACAAAATGAATATATTTATATCTGTCGATACAACAGTTCCTATACAAATAATATGTTATTTACATTAAAATGTTAACACGCCATGTTTCGACCTTTATTTGGTCATCATCAGGTATATCACTCTTGCTTAGGTGCTGAGTTTTTTGTTTAATATTGTGACGTATGGACCGTTTCTATAACAATAGAGGAACGTTCGTAAACATTCTCACGGCAACGAATACAGGCAACAATAGGATAACTGTCGTTTCTATGCGACGGCAGGTAAGTCTATCCCCTTAATAACGTGATAATAAAGGGGAAACGGTGTTTTCTATGTGGTCCGCGCTAAGCAAACTTTCGGAACAATAGGAGCTATTGCTAGGCAACGAAGCTGTAAACACGCATCCTGTCCCGCGCCTCTTTCTAAGCCACCGCTGTCATAAACTCATAAAATTGATGGCTCAGAAATGCAGAAGGGTAGGTTTAAAGAGATGTCCGGGTGTCATGAAATCAAAAAATTGGAAATAAACGAAATGTTGTGATATTCTCATTGTTGTTATAATGAGACACTATATCTAGGAAGATACAATATTCTAAGTCGCACGTCTTTCTATTGGAGTAAACATTAAGCCAGTATCACCTAATAGCACTTATTTCATCTACTGGGCAGCAAGAGACTACATAGCATTTTAATTATAAATTGTGCTAATTTTCTTTAAAACTGTACAATTTTTTTCAATAAATTTATATGAATTAATATAACGTGAAAGACTATGTTCTTAATTAAGAACATAGTCTTTTGAATTAATCATTTCTTTCTGACTAAGTTCCAATATCCCTAAAAATGTAAAGATCCTAATTTACATAGTTCGCATATACCTGATTTTAAGAAAATTTAGAAATTAGTTTTTAGGTCATTTTTTAAATTTTAAGTCTTTTTTAAATATTTTTTGTCAATTTATAGATCATTTTTCAGATATTTTTAGATCATCAAAATCCGGGCCCTGGTTATAACGTTACCGAAACCCGGTAAGGACCCTGTTGTCTACAACAGACAAGCTATTCGAAAAAGTTATTTTGAAAATAGTCCAAAGGCACATTGAAGAGAAAGGCCTGATTAATGCAAGACAGTTGGTCTCCGTGCCCGTCATAGTACGACACTTCAATGTATGTGGCTTACGGACCACTTAACCTTAAATTTCAACAATAACATGTCTACAGCTGCTGTATTCTTGGATATTGAAAATGTCTTTGATAAAACATGGCACACTGGCTTGCTATATAAATCATCTACATTACAATTTTCGATAAGATTAGCTCTTTCCTTTTTCAGAGAAAATTCAGAGTTTCGGTCGAGGGTGAAATGTCTACACCAAGGGATATACAAGCAGGAGTGCCACAAGGTTCTGTTCTCTCCCCCACACTGTACAGTCTATATATAAACGATACGCCCCAAACATCTGTGTCTATCTAGGTCTCTTTGCTGACGACACCTATATATATGCGACAGACCGCAAAGCTGTAGCGACGTCTCAGTGTTATTGAGACGTGGTGTGAGGGCTGGAACATAAAAATCAATGAAGATAAAACTCAGGCAATCTACTTCTCTCATAGACTTAGGCCCCCTGGGGTTCAGGTTACATNGTGCAGACAAGAAGCAGAAATCATACAAAACCATGATCATGAACATGTTCGCGGTATAGGACAAGGTGAAGCCAGACACAGAAAATATAAGAGGCTTAAACTTGGCGGTGGTCAAGCTTATGACCATTCAAATGACTAAGTTTTCATTGTAGCATAAGATCTGTAAGTTAGGCATGATCTGCTCTGTAAAGCCTGTACTGACAGGGGACTTGTGTGTAAAGCAAAAGGAAGAAGTTTCGATAACATATTACATGTGCGAAATATACACTTGACGAAAGGTCAAATGCATTCATAAGAGACAGAGCCATCTTCTCGTCAGAGAGGATGTTACATAAGGACTGTTACCGCAAGCGTTCAGTTGGAAAAAAAATCTCTGGTGGTGATCCTCAAGGGGCCTGAAGCCAAGACGAACTGATTGACGGTAAACCGCCAGTCGTAAAGTAACTCTGACTCTGACTCTGACTCTGACTACGAGTCAGTCAGTTCTCGGTAGGAGATAGTCACGGGAAGTTCGTAGTAGAAGAAGAATTATAAGTCGGCCTGAGAAGACTTAGCGTGTGATTTGTAGACTTTACTTGCAGTGATATTTGGAGTGTGATTGTTTCGTTCCTTGTTAGAATCCTTTGCCAGGAAACGGATAAGGTAAACTTTGCAGGGGAATAGCCATTGTTTAGTCTGTTACCTAGCAACGACTAGCGTAAGCAGATATAGAAGATTTTATTCATGTGTTATAATTAAAGTAAACTTGGAAATGTTATAATTAATTGCAGTTACGACCTGTAAGTATGTCACTCAATCCAATTACCAATCCGAATCCCGCCTTTAGTCACTGATAACACGTGACAATATGAATCCATATATTTTCAAATCTGACCATATGTTAAGATATTTGCTTAGTAACAAACTTTCTGGTTATTTGCTCTTCAGCTTAAGCTACATTGTGTATTAATTAAAATTATGAAGAGAGCAGTCTTCTGGTATGTGGCACCATGTATATGTGGTGATAACCGACGTTTCGGAGGAACGTATCGCCTCCATCTTCAGATCCCAGAAGACTGCTTTCTTCATAGTCACCGCCGTGAAAACCTCAAATCTTACATAATTAAAATTAGTTTAAATTAGTTAAATTAAAGTTAAGATTATAATTAACATTATATTTATGTATAAAATGTCTGTGTATATAGTTATTCTACTGTTACAATGGTTATCATGGGCTTGGTTCTTCCTTAGTGATATGATGTTATAGATTTCTTGCATGTTCGCATGCTGTATCCCTTATTTGTGCCATATCGGGGTGACAGTTGAATGTTGTGAGATTATGTGTCGTGGCGCTGTTTTCTTATGATACGTGGTACAGTTCTGATTTTGTCTTATAGTTTATCGTTTACTCTATCAGGGCTATCGTGCATGTGGTAAGAAATAATAATCGCAGTTTATGTCTAGATCTATAGCCTTGCTTTGACAACACCAGTTATAATATATTTAAATTAAAATTTCATAAATTAATAAAATGGTGACGACAGAACTCGAAGATTCAACACCACTAAAATCAAAATCCGTCATTCGGCATCAGCCTGAGTCAGCGTCATTCATATCCGATCCCCAAACTGTGGTTTCCTGTCGCTTTGAGCCACTAACATTCTGTATTTTTTCCTTGTCTCTCTCATTCCATCCACGTGCCCAGCCCATTGTGGCTGCTAGTAACCGCTGTTACTACCGTAACAATCCTGTTGCGTCACCGTTACGTTACCGTGCGGAGGAGGGGGAGGGGAGCGCTGACTCACCCGCCGCGTCACTGCTGGTGGGGGGGGTTCTCCTTTGCGCAACATGTCACAATATTACTATTGGAATAATACTAATTAACCTGTATAAGTCAAGTATTTTTTTATTGCTAGTGGAGTGGGACTAAGTCCCTTGTACTGCGGCCACTTCTGTCCTATTGTACCAGCCCCAGATGATAGGTGAGGGTGATTGTGGAGCAACTGGTGGAATGAAGATTGGCAGGGGAAACCGAAGTACTCGGAGAAAACCTGCCCCAGCGCCACTTTGTCCACCACAAATCCCACTTGATCAGAGCCGGGATCGACCCCGGGCCGCCGCGGTGGGAAGCCAGCGACTAACCGCTTGAGCTATGGCGCGGCCATATAAGTCAAGTAAGTCCCTGTTATATATTATTCTAAATTGCCCATTTACCTCATCTCTCTTCAGTGCACATATTTTCGTGAGGACTTCCTTTCCATTCACCTGCAGTACATGCTCTCTCTTCAAAACGGTAGGCTTAAACAATGTTTCACCCCCGAACACAAAAATCTTGAATTCTTTTACATTTATCCTGTCTCCACAGTTATCCAAGTGACCTTGTTCAAGAAGTTTCCGCATGAAATTCTGTAGGCATATCAATTAAATATTTCCTCAATGTTATCTAAAGGACAAAACCAAAACAAAGTCTTTTATTTCACTCTTTCACAATAAAATTTAAAGTCCCTTGTTATGCAATAGCAACAACAAAAATGATAGCCTATTCCAACAAGCAGAGTTAATTTTTAGAATCTATTATTCACTCAGGTGTACAACATATTTTCCGCATTTTATGACGTTTCATATTTCATAACCGTCTTCATATAAATCTGCCATTGGTCCTTCACACCACATTTATTTAACATCCATTTAATAGTGTCCTTCCATCTATACCTAGGTTTCCGACCGGTCCCCTTAAACTTAGTAATTCGTCATTTTCCTCATGCGTGCTAAGCCGGGCCCAGACTTGTTGCGTATCTCGGTTGCGTATCAACTGATGCAACGCGACAAAATTTCTCCTTCCAAGAAGGCAATGAAGAAATGAAAAGCTCAATCTCAGTTTCGAGCCAGATTTCAATCAGCAATGACTACACCTAATCTTATCTGTTCAGTTCCTTTCCTATCTCCTCCTATGCGTCCTGCTTTTTTGTTTTATTGTAATGTTCTGTGTTCTGGGGATTCCAGGTCACGTCCCTCTTCTTATATTCACCAATTAAATATATAAATGCTCTCCTTACTCCACTCCATTCAGAGTATAAACAGAGAATCAAAAATACAAGAACGCACCCTGGTGATGACTACTCTCCAACTGTCTTTTGTGCGGAGCTGATAGGCAAAGAGGGATGCAACCGCCTGCACGTCCAGACTGGCACCACTTCAACGCGTATCGTCCCTTTGATGGGACGGGAAGTGACCGCCAAGCGAGCGAACAGCCCGTTGCGCCATCACCGTATCAACATTTTGCAACGGAAGGATCATACGGGGTACCGTTCACTGATGCGATACGGGGATACGTAACAAGTCTGGACCCGGCTCTAAATGTCACATCCATATCATCCTCCTCTACATGATCATTCTAATATCTGTTTATGAAATTATGAAGATAAATTATGGAAACTGAATAATAATATTGCAATATGAACGCGGAATACGTCACACACACGATATATACTTTATAAGCAAAAATTTCTTGAAATTCCTGAAGTCTGTTTCAGAACTGTGCATAATTTCAGATGAAGAACAATAAGTTTGATGCGGATGGGGGTCTAGCGAACATAGAGAAGCTGCCCGAGAGCTTGAAAGGGCCCTTGAAAGAGGGGGTCACCAAATGTCGCAAGGCGGATGCAGGTACTGTGTGAAACAATAAAATCCAGTTCCACGTGAAATGGACATAACTTGTGTATTCTGTCAGTGTGCTAGAGAAGTGAATTGAGGAGCGACTGATTTTCAGCTCCCTCTGTGTGCAATTTTAATATTACCTCGGCACCTAAACACCACGTCTGAAGGTGGACAGAGTGCGTGGAGGTAACCTCCCCATATTGTTAACCATGGAACCAGTGGGGTGAGACTAAGTCCCTTGTACTGCGGCCGCTTCTGGCCTTTTGTACCAGCCCCAGATGATAGGTGAGGGTGATTGTGGAGCAATTGGTGGAATGAAGCTTGGCAGGGGAAACTGAAGTACTCGGAGTAAACCTACCCCAGCGCCACTTTGTCCATAATAAATCCCACTTGACCAGACACCGGATCGAACCCAGGCCGCCGCGGTGGGAAGCCAGCGACTAACCGCTTGAGCTACTTCGCCGGCAAGCTGCGGTCGCTCGGTCGGTATAATTCCCTTGCGGGCTAAAACCTCGGAGTTTGTTTTGTGTTAGAGCACGATGCATAAACACTGGTCATGAATTCATACAAGAGTTCAGTTTTTTATTATAATTTGAGCCAGTAACTACAAAATAGAACATCTAGAGCGAAGTAGATATCATGAGTTCTTCTTGGAACTTAGTTCTTGTTGCGATAATTGATCTCTTTTCGCCGATCGAGCAGCTGTGATTGCGGGAACAGGAACTTTGCTGTCACTATGGGCGGGGAGACCGCAATCCAAGGCACTCGTAATTCGGATCAAAAGGGCACCGCAAGCCCTTTCGTTAGGCAAAAAGCGTCCTGCTCTTGAAGCCGATCATATATACCAGACGTTTAGTGTGTTACTCTTTATCCCTTAGCCCTTAGCCCTCAGTAACTACAACGTGTGTGTCTGTTGCACTTTCAGGGACCACAGAGGCACGCGAGTCGGCCTACGCAGTTGTGAAGTGCATGTACAATGCCATACCAGATGTAAGTACACAGGAGGAGTCATGATCCGCCATGCTGTCTCCATGGAGTAGGGACCTTCATGAGAACCTACTAGTCGATCTGCCCGGCAAGAAATTATACAGCCCCCTAAGCTCATAACCGTGTTCACAACAGCCCGCCACTCGTCCCTGTCCTCACTCACATGAATCTAATTCCAACCCTCACCAGTTTTCTAATTAACCTCGTAAATACACTTAACTCTTGAACTCGGTCTCTTCACTTCCGGTTTTCTGGCGAGTGTCAGACAAAGATTCCCTATATCATGTTAACATCATTATATTTCTTTGCTCATTAACTACACTGTAAACCGCCATTGTAACTGTGTTCAGTAGAGACCACTTGCCAACGAGGCTGACCACCATCAGATTTATACACCACACTGAGTCACTTGCATTTTGTTTTAATTCCCTTAGTGGGGGGTGGAGTCCAACTGGGTCCACTCGGCACAGCGGCCATTGATTGGCCTATTGTAGCCTGCCCCGTGTGATTATGATGATGGAGAATTTGGTCGAATGCAGATTGGCAGGGGAAACCGAAGTACTGGGAGAAAACCTACCCCAGCGCCACTTTGTCCCCCACAAATCCCACTTGAACAGACCCGGGATCGCGTTGGGAAGCCAGCGACTAACCGCTTGAGCTATGGCGCGGCCTGAGTCACTTGCATTACTGGCGTCAAGAATCAGTGGGATATACATACAGATATGTATGTACATACGCATGGATTAACCAACCCACCGAAACTATACGGAACCGGGGTAGCGTAGTCGGTATAGCGACTGGCTACAAGCTGGACGACTGAGGGGTCGGAGTTCGAGTCCCGGTAGGGTCAAGAATTTTCTCTTCTCCAAATCGTCCAGACCGGCTCTGGGGTCCACCCAACCTCCTATCTAATGGGCACCGGAGGTAAAGCGGCAAGGGCGTGAAGCTGACCACTCACCTTCAGCTAGTGCTGAGGTCAAGAAAATGTGGATCTATGCATCCATTCCCCCATACGCCTTCATGCTTAATTAGTTGAGCACAGGGACTTTACCTTACCTACCGAAACTATACAGTCTTGATTCAGACAGCGTCGTTAAATAACCAACTTAACAGACACATTCGCCTGCCCATTCGTGAAGAGTGGAATAGGCTTTGAATATATTCTATACACTCTGTTCCTCTGCGTCTTCTACTCCCGCGGCCTTTGTTAACGCGACATGTTTTTACGTCGGCATTCATGCAAAATACCGTAGCGAAATACAGTTCAGCGGCCATCCGTATTTACCCTTACACACTGACCCGACCAATCGTCATGTTGTTTGGATTAAACTGTCCCGTCACGTGTTAAGATGCTACAAATAGTGGAAAGCAGTGACGCAACTCTGCACTGCGCAGGTCAGCTGTAAAGAGCCTATTTGCGGTATTGTTCGTGAGGGACCGGTGCTTTGGAAGCCTACATGTCTGTGGGTCAGGGACGGTCCTGTCACTTGTGCCATGCGGATAAACAAAGTGCAGACCAAGCATGCTGAGAAGTCATGCTGTGCCATCCATCACCAGTATGTCAAACATTGGCCAATATCATCACGCCTAGCAGCTAGCGCGGTACAATTCCCCCCCTTCTGCTCATCCCGTGTCTTTACCCAGTCATGCCAACCATCACGTGGTGCAAAAACCACGTGAACTGTCGCATTGATATCGGCAGCTTCAGGCAGTTTTGGTCATTGTACAGTTTACATAGAAGTCTGTATTCGCTTCAGCTTACGAGTATGTTGTAACTCATGACCACATGAAACGCTGCTGTAATTGTGTTGTAGGGGCGGTTTAATTTAAATTTCACCAGGCAATTCATCACGTCACAAAAGATAATCTTTAATTTGTTCACAGAGCGCGGTGCTAATTAATCTATACCATTTGTTAAAACACTGGGTACAAGTGAAAGCGAAGTTAATGATTACGATATGAACAAGAGTATATTTCACAAAACCCAGTATCTCTGTGTGTTACACACCATCGTCAGAACCCTATAGTACAACTACTATAAATGATTCATTCGTTTTTAAAACGCCATATTTTCCAACATACTATACATACAAATATGATTGATATATAAAAAGAACCGCAAACTCACGAAGTTTGTAATATGTGCACCGTTTGGCAGCATGAATTCAGTGCCTTTACAAAATGGCGACAAAGCAAGAAAAGAGTTTTTGTTTGTTGGAATATGCGAGATGTTCGTCTGTTATAGCAGTGCAACGCGCATTCAAAAGAGAGTACAGAAAAGAACCGCCATGTAAACAAAGCATTTTGCGGTGGTATCGGCAATTTAAGGACACGCTGGATTGGGCGTGTTGGTGAGGATGACGTAGCTCTGTTCACTTGGCCCCCCAGATCACCTGATCTAACGCCTTGTGACTTCTTCCTTTGGGGGTACATTAAGGATCGTGTTTACATACCCCCACTGCCAAGAACACTAGTAGAGCTGAGGGAACGCATCGATGCTGCAGTGATGACCATTGACAGGATGATGATACAAAATGTGTGGAACGAGCTCAACTACAGCCTGGACGTGTGTCGTGTGACCCAAGGGGAACACATAGAACATTTGTAGTGTGAAGAAAACTTGGTGCGTTTATGGTTCTTTTTATGTATCAATCTTATTTTACGTATATTGCTTTGGAAAATATAGCTTTTTAAAAAGGAATGAATCATTTATAGTAGTCCTGTATCTAAGAGTATCGCAAATAGAAGTGACAATAATACAGGCGCTCTGAATAATAGGGAAGATTTCCAGACTGGAGAACACAAGCAGCAAAGAACAGAAGAGATTTGTCTGTACAGGAAGAAGAATGTTAATGTATGGACTGCAGCAAAGAATAAGAAGTAGCCATTTCATTCTCAGGGACAGACTCAGAGGTGAAACCTTCTGGTCGTGTTAGAAGGCTGGTGGTGTCCTGCGTTGTCGTGTATCGTACATAGTTGTTTCTTCTAAAACACGTTTCACTCTTGATTTACACAACTTGACAGAGCGTAAACTATTAAAGGCTTTCTTTAACGAGGTTATCACAGCAGCAACTATGTAGAATGATATTTTGTGGGATATAACATCGTGTAGTCCGGTAAAAGTTCATAGACGTTTCGGAGGAACTGCCGCCTGCTCCTTGTTGCCTACTTGCTTGGCTTAGTCTTCGTCTATGATGATGGAAGCAGTATTATCACCCGAAAGTCTATAAACTTCTGCCGGACTATACAAAATTACATCCCTGAAAATGGCATTCTTCATGTCGTTTTGTACATACATTGCGAGACTGTCTGTCGGTACTGTTACGTATATTTTAGATGCGTGCCCTTATAACTGAATATCCAGCCTTGATTTCCCACCTGTCATCGAAACCAGAAAAGGAGAATACTAACTGAACATTTCCTTTATTTTCAGCAATTCATATTCCCGTAAAGGAAGCTGCAACAGGGAACATGGGTCTAGAGGCTGTGAAAATAATTCTGTTGTGAAAGGCTGCATATGCAAAAATAAAGAATTTTGTCTGCTTATAGGATGTTTTAATGTGTACTCCCTACCCTAACATCAGCGAAGAGTACACCAATTTATAACACAAGGAGTTTCCAGTCAAACTGTTGGTCAGGTCCATTGGAGTAGGGCCTTACTTGAAACGATCGATTTTCACCTAGTAAAGACATACCTTACCCATCAAAGTGGTCGTGGGATCTAAGGCATGACCGTCTTCGCCCGCTTGAACACTGGGACGTGGGGTTGAATCCCATTCGAGGCATGGATGTCTGTGAGCGTTTATTCTGTGTTTGTGTTTTTCTATGTGTAAGTAGAGGCCTTGCTACGCACTGACCCACTTCTCGAAGAAGTTCTACCAACTGTGTACAGATTAAAAACATGAAAAAGCTGCCATGGCCCACAAAGGCTGTAGAACACTAGAGAGATAAAGACATTCTTTGCTTTAGGTTATCATAAAGTTGACCACTGGTCTCATTCCTAGTTATAAGCAGCAGGTCCACACCTTTCCACAAACAGTTTAAACACACCGATATTAATGTTATACCCCTTCCACTAGGTTAAGGTCTCTCTCTTCTGAAATTGTCTACCTATAACGAAGCTTGCATTCTTAATTTCGTTTTAGCCTACAAAGAGATAGAATGGGGTGGTCGGGCTGGACTGATTTGGCTCAGGATAGGGACCAGTGGAGGTCTCTAGTGAAGACGGTAATGAATCTTTGATTGAATAATATGCTGGTAAGTTCTTGAGTAGCCGGTCACGGTAGCCGAGCGGTCTAAGGCATGCACTGTCTTCGCTCGCTTGGAAGCCGGAATCGTGGGTTCGAATCCCACTCAGGGCATGGATGTTTGTGTGCGTTTTTCTGTGTTTGTCTACAGGTAGAGGCCTTGCGACGAGCTGATCACTCGCCCAAGGAGTCCTACCGAATGTGTAAGATCGAGAAAACCCGAAGTGAACGGAGTTCATGGAGGTAGGCCTAGGCCCACTGGGGCTGTAGTGCCAAGGAAAAAAAAAGTTCTTGAGTAGCTACACAACTGGCGACTTCTCAAGAAGGGCTCAGCTCCATGAAGTCCTACTTTGTTAGGCTAGTTGAGTGAAGGGTCTTAGAATTCATTTGGGGCAAATAGAAATACGCTGTTATAGATGCCAACCATTAGTAGAAACAGGCCTATCATATTGAAGATCGCAGTAGATCCTACAGCTTGTAAATTCAGGCGAAATTATAAGGTCATCATCATTACAAAGCACAGAGACACCCAGTATATCCACACATATCCCAAGCGGAATTTGAACCAGAGATCGACGGCCTGCAAGCACATAGTCATGGCAATGATCTATATATATTGTGAAAAATATGACCTTTGCTAGGCAACGGTTCGGTAAACACCGCCTGAAAGCCGGAATAGCAACAAGAGCGGAAGTCCGTTTACTAGACAACTGCTCATTAGTTCCCACTGCAACGGATACAAGAGACGAAAACATGAACTGTTCACTGTAGTGGCCTCTCGTCGGCCCTCCCTTAGCTATAACAGGGAGAGCATTCGAATTCAATTGATTCATTCGTAAGGGAGTTCATTGTGTGAGTAGTGATTAGCCGTTTATCATTCGTCACAGTGGAAGAGAAGACAGTCGTAGGGCCGTAAGGAAGGGAGCGAGTCTTGAGCAGTCAATGATTGCGAGCTCTTGTAATTAGTTGTAATTATAAAGAAGTGTAAATAAACCCAATCATTCAATCCAGAACCCACTATTATTAGTCACGCAATATATGACAATAAGTCAAACTGTAGAAAAATTCTCTCGTTTGCATAAATAAGGAATGTGTTTGGTTCAAGGCATTCCTTTTGTGGTGACACATACCGCATTTCAGCAGTTGGGAGCACGGAACACGACGGAAGCGCAGAAATGAAACGTCATTGTAGTACATGATCTTATCATGAGATGAGGAAATATCATTTCCGCTGACTGCAACTCCATAAAATTTATTTCTCCCATCATAAAAGTGTCACAGTTACACAGTCTCGATATCCGTAATTTTTATAGCCACATAACAACTAACTCTACATAGTTGAGCCCTTTCTGAGAAACTGGGGGTCACTCAAGTGGTAAGAATGTTATACAAGGCTGCATTATTCTGTCCAAAGTAACCCGTCACTCCACAATATCCTGAGCCACTTTAAACCATCCCACACCATTACACCCTACGTGTTGAGATTCGTTTTAATATTATCCATAGATTTACGGCCATGACGTCCAATTTGTCTCTTCTCTTCGGGCTTTCCTAAAAACATTTTAATATTATTTTATTTCACCTTCTCTATAATACACCAGGTCCCGCTCAGTTCGTAATCCTTGATTTGGCGTAAGTGGGCCTACAAATTAAGACGTTCTTACGAAATTGTTTCCATCGCTTTGTTCCTTGATTTAAATACTTATAAAGCAGTATACTCTAACTGCCTGTCTCGTAGACTCTATAAGCCGGCATATATTTATGGACTGACCCCGTATTCTTGAATATGGCGTCCTCTCTTGAGCTACTGGATTCCTTCAGCATACTCGTATATCAAAATCTAATTGTAATGAGCCATGAAGGAGGGGGGGATACCGGACCGAAGAGGGCAATTTACAAGACATCGGGGTGAATATGGGGGCATGTGGTAGCGTACTTGGTTGAGGCACTATGCTACAAGCCGGAAGGTCGCGGGACGGAATCCCGATGAGGTCATTGGATTTTTTTCAATTTACCTAATCCTTCCAGCCGCACTATGGCCCTAGGGTCGACTCAGCCTCTAATAGAAATGAGTACCAAGAATATTCTTGGAATGTTCTTGGGGGTAAAGGGAGTACGGTGCGTAAGGCTGACAACCTTACCGTCATCTGTGAGCCGAATGCTGAATGCGAGAGTGCGTTTAAATGGAGAAGTTCCTCAACGAGGCGTCAAACGCTGGTATAATCCTGTAGGATTACAAAGAGCATGGAGCATGTGTAAAACTCCTAAGCTTAAAAGAATATAAGGAATTTAGGGGGGGCGAGACTATCTTTTATTGGTGGTGGGGTGGGAGAAGTCCCTTTCACTGCGGCCATTTCTGGCCTATTGTACCAGCCCCAGATGATAGGTGAGGGTGATTGTGGAACAATTGGTGGAATGAAGATTGGCAGGGGAAACCGACGTACTCGGAGAAAACCTGCCCCAGCGCCACTTTGTCCACCACAAATCCCACTTGACCAGACCCGAGATCGAACCCGGGCCGCCGCGGTGGGAAGCCAGCGACTAACCGCTTGAGCTATGGCGCGGCCAGCGGAGAGACTAAGTAAGACTAGAAACCGGGAAAGGATGTAGATTCTTATAGCCAATGAAAGGCCCTGTTAAGCCGGAAGTTGTTACTAATTTCTTATCAGTCACTGGCTTATATGAACAACACTCCCTCAACCCTTAAATCAACCACAGACGTTGTTTTTCAGTGAAAATAGAAGTGTATAGCCCCAGAGTTCAATAGAATTCCAACACGTGTTTGCACTTGTCTCTGATTTCAGGCTTGTCGCAGGTAATTTTTTTTTTTAATTTCGTGGGGTGGGGTAAGACTGAGTTTACTTGGTGAGTTGGTCACTAATTGGCCTAATGTACAACCTGCCCCGGATGATAGACAAGTATGGAGCATTTGGTGGAATAATAATTGGCAGGGGAAACTGAAGTAAAAGCATAGGGTTGTGAGACGTTGAGGGTCCCACACTATCTAGACAATCGGCTCAAAGATGGCGGTAAGGTTGTCAGCCTTACGCGCCGGCCGCGCTTTACTCAACAGGAAAATTATTTAATTCATTCCTGGTACTCATTTCTGTTAGAGGCTGAGTAAATCCCAGGGCCTAGTGCGGCCGGAAGGATTAGGTCAACTGAAACAAAATCAAGTACCCGGAGAAAACCTACCCCAGTGCTACTTTGTCCACCACAAATCCCACATGATCTGACCTTGGATTGAACCCGGTGACTATCCGCCTGAGCTACGGCACGGCCTTCGCCGGTAATTTACTGGCTGGTCGACCAAAGAGAGACCCCAGATTATAACGAACTTATTTGGACACCCTGTTCTCCAAACCGAGTACACAGATTCGTAACGGAACTGCACTGTGTTATGGACAATAAACTGACCTCATGAATTCTGTCACCCACGGTCCAGTGCCTACGGAAACGAGGAATAGCAGTGCGTGTTTATGAAACAGATGCATTCAGAACGGAGCCAGTAACAGAAGAGGTTAGCGCCAGGCATGAGAAGCAAAGCAATGGTGCTCCGCGTCTTTTGTGTTCTCGTTGTACTCGCTGTGCCCCTCGTTGTTTGCGTAAGTAATCTGCTTTGCTCTTTGGCGGAGCTGTCCATTAAGTGCGAATGGTGATTTCTATGGTTCCCTAAGACGGGTCGCAAAGTATTCTGCTTGCTGGACAACTGGGAGGCTTAGGCCTGGAATTAACATTGACCGCAGAATGACTCGACCAGCAGGAGATATGCATTTCGAAATAGAATAGAACGCCGATAATCTGAGTTAGTGACGAAGTTGGTCGCACAATCGGAAATTCGAATAATTCGCTTAAATTCTTTTCCAAGGAAAAATATTATTACAATGTATTGCGCTATGATAATAATAAAAACACCCCCAAAAATTACAACAGGTGAAACGTGAAAAATTTATAAACGTAATTATAAGTTAACATTTTTCAAACACTTTATTTGAAGAGTTGAATAATGATGTTAATCAGACGCATTTATTGGTTACTTTGTTTCGGTTAATTGGCAATTCGGATAATTGGAATTTGGATCATGGGCGTTCTACTCTAAACTGACTCTTAATGGATTAGCACCCTGTGTTCTCACACAAAGTTATTTGTCAAAATTTCGTTTTGGCACACACCGTCTCACAAAAGAAATATATAACGAAAAGTAAGTAATTATCTTGCCGGTCACGGTAGCCGAGCGGTCTAACGCATGCACTGTCTTCGCTCGCTCGGAAGCCGGGATCGTGGGTTCGGATCTGTTTCCTGTGAGGTACGAACTGAATTCTTATATATTATTCTTATACACTGCCGGTCACNGGGTTCGAATCCCACTCAGGACATGGATATTTGTGTGCGTTTTTCTGTGTCTGTGTACAGGTAGAGGCCTTGCGACGAGCTGATCACTCGCCCAAGGAGTCCTACCGAATGTGTAGATCTAGAAAAACTGAAGTGAAGGGAGTTCATGGAGGTAGGCCTAGGCCCACTGGGTTTGTAGTGCCAAGGAAAAAAGTAAGTAATTATCTTAGAAAGTGTAGCTGCCGTTCGTACCAAAAAGAAAATCTAAACGTGACTGATCACATTTAGGACTCTTGGTCTGTACTGAGATTCGGTTCGGAGAGCCGAAATCACATGTTCTATTACCGTCATTGAACAAGAAAGAAAATCAATTGTACCAGTGTTACACTGGACATTATCTGGGACATGTTTGTATCTACATCCACCAGAAAACAATTGAATGCATTTAGGAGCCGGAATAGCTCAGTCGGCATAGGGACTGGCTACGGGCTGGACGACCGAGGAATCACAGTTCAAGTCCCGGTGGGGTCAAGAATTTTTACTTCTACACAGGGTCCAGACAGGCTCTGGGGTCCACCCAACACCCTATCCAATGGGTACCGGGGGTTCTTTTCTCGGGGGTAAAGCTGTAAAGGCTTGAAGCTGACCACTCACCTCCAGCTAGTGCACAAGTCAAGAAAATGTGGACATAAACATCCACTTCTCCGATTTCATATTTAACTGAATGTCATTATAATATTATAATATTACGTATATTTTAAAATCTGTAAAGACAGTCAGATCTGAGCAGGAATCTTTTGAATGCTAGGTAATGAACCAATCACTGGACGATGTGAGTGGCCCGGTGTTAATGTACCTACAGCTCTATTCATTACTGATTCTTGTGTATTTAACACATCTCTTTCCGACGTACAGGTTATGTAGCATCTAATCATAAAGGATGATCGTGAATCGTGATTAAGATTGTGTGTTATTTGATGATACGGTGCATATATTTATTATTACTGTCCACTCTGCGCCTACATCTTTCTAGCTGATCTATTCGTGTTAGGTTCGCAAACCTAAATTTTTCAAGAAGTTTTATTTGCATGAGTTCTGCATTCACAAGCAGGTAATCCTTCATTTAACCAACCTAACAATAGTGGAGGAACGTTAAAATTCTGAAGATCCTAATTATGTGCTTTTCCTTGTTCGACATCATGTACTAACAGAACAAAAATGAAATAATGAAAGTGAAGGTAATTGTTGACTCTACTTCGCAGGAGGATGACAGCGCAGGAGCCATCATGACCAACACTATAAAGAACATAATATTTTGCAAGAAGGAACACAACGCAACCAGAGGTAAGAAACATGCGAAATGCAAAGTTCATCAAAGTAGTACATGGAATTAAGTTACTACCTCCAAAACAACTCCCCAAATTTCCTCCAATACTCGTAATATCAGTAATCTAATAAACGCTGTTTGGGGGCACGCGCTTGCGTAGTTGGTTGAGGCACTATGCTACAAGCCGGAAGGTCGCGTGATCGAATCCCGATGAGGTGAATTTTTTCAATTGACCTAATCCTTCCAGCCGCACTATGGCCCTGACACCTTCATCTTAATCTTGAGCCCATTATCTAGAAAATATTGGAGCCTCAACATCTCATAACCCTATGGGCCTTCACGGCCTCTTACACGGATAGCTTTACCTTATTTTAATAATCGCTGTCTATTCAATGAACCAAATTAAAGTAGACAATACAGTTTTTAGGTGAAATGCCGATCACTGAACGTTAAATATAGTACTAACCCCTAAATAGTTTAGTAATTAACTCCATTGTCGATCACAGTGGCAATATTAAATTCCTTCTACTGTGTGGTTGTTCTGAATTTAAATAAGAAGTTTAAGAGTTTCACACCATATTTTGAAATTCCGACACCAAAAAATTCTGCTGGAATTTGTTAAATGCCTGATATCATAAACGTTTCCAGCTTTTCAGTACGAACTGAGCTGCATGCGGTTATTTCAACGGGACACAATTAACCTTGAACTTATATTTAATTACTTTTTCGCCTATCATCATCATCATCATCATAATCAATAATCTGTCAAGACGACAGGTCCACAGTCTCTTCCAAAACAGTTCCTCCACTTAATGCGATCTAGAGCTTTCTCCTTCAAATGAGAATATCCTCTTCTGTCCCCAAGGTCATCCAGCATCTTCTTACGTCTTCTTCCTCGTCTTCTGGTCACTTCTATCCGCCCCTCTCTCTTTCTTTCAATATCTTCTTTTAGAAGACAGTTACTGCGTAAAACATGATCAATCCAATTAGCCTTCCGTTTTCTTATTTCGTGTGGGATATTCCTCTGCTCACTGACTCTAATTAACACTTCTTCATTTCTCACATAATCGGTCCAACTGATCTTCTCCATCCTTCTCCAACACCACATTTCGAAGCTTTCCAGGTGTTTCTGATCTACTGCAGTAAGATTTCGCCTATACATAAATATTATTGTGAGGGAGTAAGGAACTGTCCCCATAACAGGCTTTTGAGGCCCATAGAATTGTGAGCCATCTAGGCTCCCACATTTTCTAGACAATCGGCTCACAGATTGCAGTGAGATCATTAGCCTTACACACCGGCCACCCTTTACCCCAGGAAGATTCCTGGTACTCATTTCTGTCAGAGGCTGAGTCGACGCCAGGGCCATAGTGCGCCTGGAAGGATTAGGTCCATTGAAAAACCCAATGACCTAATAGGGAACCGAACCTGAGACCTTCCGGCTTATAGCATAGTGCCTCAGCCAACTACGCTACAGCGTGAAACAGGTAATCCTGTTAATGATACGTATAGGAACTTTGATGGATCTGTGGCTGTTGTCACAGTCACATGCCTCTCCCTTGCGCGGTGCTTCATATGACAAGTGTCTGCTGATACACGGTCGTCGTCTTGCGGTACTTAGCAAGTTGTGACACTGCTTATTGTGGGAATCCGCAAGCAAATAACTGTTCCGGTTCTTTGTAAAGATGTTTCTAGGTTGGCAATTATCTGAAGTTAATATATTTCTCTTTTGAATTCTCAAATATTGGTGTTCTTGCTGTTCGTAATGTTATAGCTCAGATATAAGACGAGACTGAAGTTCTTTTGCGTAATGCAGGGCTGCAGAATTTTCACTCGACCTAGCACTAATGGCGAGTTAACCAACTACATTCAGCAAGGCCATTCTTAAGAAGCTATCAGTTCCACATTTATTCAAAAAATTCTCCTATTTTTATGGAATTCCATGATTTATTATCGTGTTCGCAAAATCGCCAATTATCCCTAAGCTGAGCCAGATAAACCCAATCAAACACGTCCATTCTTCTTCAAGATGAAACTTTAATATCAATGCTTTCGAAGTGCTTCTCTTCCTTCGGATTTACTGCTCAAAATATTGTACACATGCGTGCTGCATACAGCGCCCAACTCAACTTCTTTAATTTGGTCTCTGATAATATTTGGAGAATAGTAACAGTTGTAAAACTCCTCGTACTGCAATGTTATCCTCCGGCCCCATGTCACTTGCTCCCGCTTAAGTCGAAACATTCTCAGCAGAAAGTTGTTCTCAGATACTGTCTCTGTCCTTCCCTTAATGTGAGAGAGCAAGTTTCACACCAATGCATAACAACAGGCAAATATTTTTTCTTTAATATTTGAATAATAACTTTTGCAGATAAGAATTAAAAGACAAGAAGCTCTGTATTGCATCGTAACAATAATTCACAGAATTTAACCTGCTCTTAATCTCTTATTACAAACCGTACAATTAGGCCTAGTTGAAAACTGCTGGTGGACAGACACGAGTTTTTGATTAGGTGTTCATTTAATTAAATTTATGCATTTATCAGACAAAATGTAAACGTTTTTAGTGTGATATGTGACTAGAAAGTAATGAGATTTATCAAGCAGAATGATAATGAGCAACATGTGGTGCAACGTAGGCTTATTCATTTTTCAGATGATTATGACGCCATCAGGAAGTCCAGGGTTCCACAAACAGATGAAGGAAAGGTAAGCATATCGCCTTACTGCTCATAAAAATTGACCAGTTTGCTATATTTATACCTGCTCGTTCAATATTCGGTTTGAAAAGCCATCATTATTAACACAATCATTGTCATCGTCTATCTTCAGGAATAAAGTAAAAAAAAAAAGTGTCTTTCAAACTTCAAGTTCATTTCTACCTCGGTCGGCCGACATCTCTCTTTCCTGTCTGTTTGAGAAATATATTTGAATCACTGTCATCATCTTAAAGCCCAGAAATCTGTCGTGAAATCTAGTTCTATGTTGAATTAAGTTTGTCAATAACTATCTTCCTTCGGGTTTCTATGTTTTCGCACACAATTTTATGCCAGTTTTTCTAAATGTTATTTGCAAAATTGTATATGATAATCTATGGTACATTATCTCGAAACTAAAATGCTTAAATTTTTGTTGTATTTATCATTTCGGTATTGTACTATTATTATTGGGGCATGCGGTAGCGTAGTTGCTTGAGGCACTATGCTACAAGCTGGAAGGTCGCGGTTTCGATTCCCGATGAAGTCATTGGAATTTTCAATTGACCTAATCCTTTCAGCAGCACTATGGTACTGGGTTCGACTCAACCTCTAACAGAAAAAGTACCAGGATTATTCCTGGGGTTTAAAGGTGGCCGGCGAGTAATGCTGACCTCATCGCCATCTGTAAGTCGATTATCTAGAAAATATGGAAACCNGGTACTGGGTTCGACTCAACCTCTAACAGAAAAGTACCAGGAATATTCCTGGGGTTTAAAGGTGGCCGGCGAGTAATGCTGACAACGTCACCACCATCTGTGAGTCGATTATCTAGAAAATATGGAAACCTCGACCTCTCATAACTTTATGGGCTTCCACGGCCTCTTACAGGGAGAGCTTTAGCTATTACCTTTTTTGTTATCATTTCTCAAAGAAATTTTACTGTTTGCAAATCACCTATTCCTGTCTGAGATATGTTTTAAAAAAGGGAATCATCAAACTTCATTATATTTTAGTTTACCGCTTTGTTGTCGCTTTGAATGGCTTTCATTTTTTGTGTTTCCCCATCAAGGGTTTCGCATCACCACAAAAACAAACATCACCATAAAAAGTGGTGCCCTGAAATTTTACAATTCCATGTTATCTTCAGTCACCTGTCTCTAAGTATTATCTATAAGTGATCTTCCAGTGTCTCGCTATATGCATACTCTGTTCAACTGTACACCGAACTTAGGTTTCTCGTATTCCTTGTCTCACTTCAAACATTTATCGATGTAAAAATTATGGTCTTCCGGGTGATAGCACTGTGTAGTCTCGTCGGCCATTACAAGGTTCACCACGAACCTGCTCTCACCGCCTTCAGAAGACACCAAACGTCTTCCCAGCACTGGTAACCGCCATCAAGGCGACAAGATGTCACAACCCACGTGATCAGAATATAATTCTTACCGCCGCGAAAGCCTCAAATCTCACATTCATGGCCATTCTTTTCTTGTCTCTAGAGACTAGGCAGTGTAACGTATGCCGGCATAAAGCTTTTTCTTCTGTTACCTAGAACTTCCATTGCCCTTATGCGTTTGGTTGTCTGTTTTTACTAATTCTATAGAAATAAAATGCATGGATATACACGTATTTGCCTTGTTCCTTCTTAATACTGTAGTTTGTCTTATTGAACTTAATGTTCTAATGCACTGATGCAGTTTGCGTCATCGTGTATCCAGCTAATGCTGTTCTTAAAGTTCCTACACGAGCCGCTACTGATATGATCTGTATTTCTTATAATTTCAAATATTTACGCTTGGATATTATTTCGCCCAATTGTGTGTCAGTTATTTCAGGCAACAATCTAAGTGTAAATGTCTAGCTCAACATGTGGTTAGAAATGCCATAATTTTATTAACCAGACCACGACTATCGTGTTCAGTTACATAATCAGCGTAATCTGTAATAATGAGATTTCCTGATGAATAAAAATTTAGACTGCAATTTTCTGGGTTGTGATATTGCAGGGTCTTTTAAATGCTTTCGTACGAACCTGCTGCATTTGCCTGCATGGAAGGGTAACGAAACCTAAAACTAATATATTATCTCTTGTGTTTTAGTGCTTCATGGCCTGCATATTCGAGAAATTTCATGTTGTAAGTATGAATGTTTTAATTTAGAGCTGATAGGAACTTACTACAGCAAGGCCGCTACATAGCTAAAGCGGTTAGTCACTGGCTTCCCACCGCGGTGGCCGGGTTCGATCCCGGTTCTGGTCAAGTGGGATTTGTGGTGGACAAAGTGGCACTGGGGGCGGGTTTTCTCTGAGTACTTCGGTTTCCCCTGCCAATCTTCATTCCATCAAATTCTCCATCATCATAATCACCCGGGGCAGGCTACAATAGGCCAATCAGTGGACCCAGTTGGACTCCACTCCCCACTAAGTGAATAAAGAAAACTTCCTACAGCAGAAGTTCCTTAGAATATAATTACTGGGTGTTGGAGACGGGATGACCAGTGCACACAGGAACTGAGTCAAGAGAGAATTGTATGTAGGCCGTGACTAGTTATATTTAAAACAAAACATTTAGGCCTATGCAATACAGTCCCGTTGAAATTTAAATTTAGAAAGAAAAAAACACAAAGTCAGTAAGACGTAGGCGTACTCTGTGAAACTTTAGTTGTAAGTCTGAGTGCGCATAGAACACGTCATCACACCCAACACAATAACGCACACTACAGCAAATGTATTAAAAATATTGTGCATGTGCTTATTCAGTCTTAAATTACAATTATACATACGCACAGTCAGTAAATATGCGTTTAAAGTTTAAAGTCCAGTTATACTGTTTCTGAACGTGCCCAGACCCAGCTGAATGCGCAGTGTTGGGTCTCAGACAGCAGAGATAAAAGTACTGTAAGGATTAATGGGACCGGAGTTCACTGATTTTTCAGTTATGTTATTCCTTTCCTAATCGGAGTTTTCTTCAGACAGACATAACATAGCTATCAGTACGGAGTCCCGGTTACTCCTCACACATTCGTCTCTTCCCATGAAAATGCCAGTGCTCACGGCCGCATGGCTGCACGCGCTGCGTTTATTTAGGATAGTTGAGCTTGAAATTGAAACCAATTTAACAGGTGCTACTTCTAGATGCCAACTCACCGTAGTGTGAGCAGCAGCTTGCCCTGAACTGTGTAAGTACACTTTCGAAAGAATAGGCTGCATTTCAGCCCTAAGTTTCCTGTATCCCACAATTTTGATATTAGTATTGTGACATGACGCCTGAAAGCCTGAATATGACCATATGCTGGGCAAAGTTTCGTTAAGTGTATTCTCATGGCAACGCGGAATATATCGTTGCTGGACTATGGTTTGGTAAACACACATTCCCGTGGCAATGGATACGCACATTACAAGAGACGAACCGTTCAAGTGTTTGTTCTCTTCGCGGTCCGCACCGGGTTATAAAAGGACACGTAATTGATTCGCAGCAACCAGTCGCAGAAGGAGAAGCAGGACGAAGAGAAGCATATTATTATTATTATTATTAGATGGGGTGGGTTTCCCCATGCACTTAGACCAGTTATTGGTCCATTGTGCGTCTCCCTTTAATTTCTACTGTCGCCATACCCTAACGGTACTGGTGTGTGCTATCAGCCCCGTTCAGCCAACGAGGTCGGCCCTCGGTACCTGATATTTCCCCCATCTACCAAAGGCATTGGAAGGGCACAAACCCACTAATGTGAGAAAGGCACGGAAGGTACACAATATTGAAGACTGTCTGATCACTTGACCCCAACATCCGTCAATGCTGTGTCACTGCAGGACAGTAGGCACACTCATCAGAATTACCTGATAAGCTAAAATTAATGAAACAGACTATGGACTGGGTCACAGAAATTAAGTAGTGGCCTTCAGACCCCGTGTGAATTATACAATTGTTCAGAGGCTTTCCCAGTCAGACCCAGAGCTAAATATAAAACAGAAAACAAATTTATTAGTTGAAGAAAGCAGTATTCTGGGATTTGGCACCGTGTATATGTGGTGTTAACCGACGTTTCGGAGGAACGTCTTCATAGTCACCGCCGTGAAAGCCTCAAATCTTACAAATTTATTAGTTATTAAAGGTTTGCATTTGATGATTGTAATGAAGTTCATTTCTAATGAGTCAGCATATCAGAATTCTGAAAAAAAAGATTTTAATGTTACTGCTTAATAAGGATTGTATATCATATACCATGTCGTATATATCGCCTCTGTGTATTTAATAATAAATTAATAAGAGAATCAAATTCTAGAAAGAAATTTCCCCATCTTTAGTCTTGCATTTCTTTATTTTATTGCCTTAATATTTCCCGGTAAATTACGAATCTCCTCTGTGGGGCATTCTTTCCGCCCCCCCCCATCATCTACAGATCCAAATATTCTTCTCAGCCTCCCGTTTTCAAACACTCTCAATCTACGTTCCTTCCTTAGCAAGAGGGTTCAATTTGAAGGAAACGACTGCAAAAACAGCATAGGCCACTTGGGAATCAGTTCATTCCTAAAGCAATATCCATTGAAACGGTACAACAAATTGAACACCTTCATTCGTAACAAACACACAAGACTAGTGTTCACCATTAAGGGCTGGAACACACACAGCGACATCGGTTGTACGGAAAAAGTCGTACGATTTTTTTGCCGTACGACCTCCTTTTCACACTAGAGCGACCAAATACATTTCTTTGTTCTCCGACTGCCGTACGGTAGATGTCGCATGTCGTCACCTATGAAAGCTAAGAATACACTTTATATTCTACTACTTGATGCGACATGAACCGTACGGACGTCGTACGACCGATGTCGCTGTGTGTGTGTTCCTGCCCTAACACAAGATGATCTTCATTTCCAGACGAGAGGTGGGAAGTACTCGGCAGATTCCTTTGCGAAGGTCGTCATAGAGCTGTACAAGGACGAGTTGCAGAAGCGCGAGAGGGCACTCGAGATGGTTCAGGATTGTGGAATACAATGTAAGACGACTTCTGGATTTAATTCGCTGTTATGTGACACAGCACTACATGATAACTTACTCGTTTTAAAGAGACAAGAAATGTAAGACATGGCCCGCTTCTCTGTGTCCTTTTATGTCATATTCTCTGGTACTTTTGTAGGCTTGTTTCATTTAAATGCGCTATGTCAACTGTATTAATAGCTGGACAAAAAGTGAAACGAATAAAATATAGCCTATATAAAATTGTATTGGCAGTCACAGTCGCCGCGCGGTCTAGGGGCATGAAATGTCTTGGCCCACTCGAACACTTGGATCGTGGGTTCGAATCCCACGCGAGGCACGGATGTCTGTGTGCGTTTATTCTTTGTTTGTGTTGTCCTGTGTAGGTAGCGCGACCTCGCGGCAGGACTGGTCACTCGTCCATGGTGTCCTACCGATTGTATATTTTTTTTTTTTGCTTTGGCACTACAGCCCCAGCGGGCCTAGGCCTACCTCCATGAACTTCTCCGTTCACTTCGATTTTTCTAGATCTTACACATTCGGTAGGACTCCTTGGGCGGGTGAACAGCTCGTCGCAAGGCCTCTACCTGTACACAAACACACACACACAAACTAAACATCCATGCCCTGTGTGGGAACAGACTGTATATAAGATCCATAATTCCGGATTATTTCTGATAGGAACAGTCCAAACGGCCTAATCCGTGAAGGAAGGAGAAGAAATTGTATTATTATATTATGAAGCGAATACAAGTTTTGCAGGTTAAGTGAAGGTATTGCACACAGTTACTGTGCACTCAGGTGTCAGGTTCAGGTTTGATGCGTACCTTAAAGTATTTAAATCATTACAGAATTAATCAAACCTAATACTTTTATTTTCTATATATCAAAGCATGGATAATCAGTTAAAACAATTCATAAATATTGAATAGATTTTTTCTTCTAATTTCTCCTACAAAATTTAAACTTCGAAACAACAGAGTTGGCCTTTAACTCATTGCCTCACCTCTGGATTCTATAAGTAACCACTGTGGTAGCTGGGCCCTTCTTTACCAAGAAGTATTTCATCATTGGTCACTGCCAAGATTTAGTTTCATCCACTCTTATTCTTGCAAATGTATACTTAATATTCATATTAGCACTATTTCTGCATATGATTCTTTGTCTTGAAATAGGGCCTTTCTCATGAGAATCACGAGTAACAGTTATAATAATTGAAAAGTTGAATGGTTTTCCTCAATGTGCCTAACATGCAAATACATGCAACGGGAAACTACGTGACTAGGTAGATTCCAAATGAGTCTGACGATGCTGTATGACACTCAGAATTACTGGGTTTTTTTACTTTGTCTATTGTCTGGTATTGCGGAAACCAGAAATCATTTCGGAAACTGGATCTGTTTCCGTCCTCAGGTGAGGGGGGAAGACGCCTCCTCTTTTGGGTCCCTTAGAAAGAGCTAACCTCAATCACCTGAGGGCGGAAACAGATCCCGTTTCCGAAATGTTGTAATTTCCCGTTTCTAGAACACCGGATGATGGACAAAGTCCAAAAACCCAATAATTCTGAGCAGATGATCAAGTTTTCTGGAACTAGCAACATATAAGGAAGAGCTTGGCTGTTGTCTTGGTTCCAGTAGCAGACGAATGGGGCGGTACTGCTGAGAAATGCTCCTACCCTGCCAAGGTGATGGAGTGTATCGCTTCGTACACGTCAAGGGTAAGTTAAGTGCTTTCTATGACACACAGTCCACATTTAATAATTACTCAGTTCGTCCAGGAATGTTCTGTGTTTGATTAATCCGTCTGGTAACTGCCGTGTTAAAACAGAGGCGAATATAACCAGAATTAGCTGAACATAGCCCATAAACTTGCAAGAACAATTTTAATGTTATTCTCACTTACAAGTGGCCCCTTCCTTGCAGACGTCCGATCGGTATCTTATAGACCTACATGTATGCATTTAACATTATCTGCACTAGAGCCTCGCGTCTCGCCCATATCAAAAGTCTCGAGTAAATTGCCCACACAGGAATAAATGAAAAGTTAAGTTATATGTCACATTCACGTGATTGTCTTCTGAGTTGTATAGCAGACTTAAGAACACTGAGAAGCCTCGTAAGTAGGTACAAATGTTTCGGCAGAACATACTGCTTCCATCTTCAAATTATATCTGGAAGATCTCTTTTACCGTGAAGATTGAGGCAATACGTCCTATAGAATGTCGGTACGCAGCTACCAGATCACACCGTGTCATGTTCACATCTTTGAAAAAACCTCAGGCCTTGGATATGTTGCATACTTTCTCCCAGATCAATATATCCTCCTCAATCTCGGCTTATGCTCTTCACTCAGGGTGAGTGACGACGTTTCGCATTCATACGCAAAAATATAAAACTTATAATTTTGCAGAACACAGCATCATTTAATAATCTTAGGATTAATGGCTTAATGACAATTTCCTTTGTTGGTTAGGTTGGGCCATTTTATCCAGCGGGAAAATTTGGCAGCTGACCATGGCCCTCAAGGGGCAAGTGTCTGTTCAGTAAGCATAAACGTTGCCCAGCTATTTCCGAAATCCTCAAGTGAACGCAGCCCCTATGAATGGAGATAAAAGATAGGGCGCGAAAAATGGTAGACCTGGTTCACAATGAGCCGACGGTTCTATCAAAAGCAATTGCGAACCTCTGGAAGCTGACAACTAATCATAAATTATTATTCTAATGGAAACAGTACACAGTTTATATACTTTACAGCAGTAATTGACTTCTGGACTCTGTGATATTCTTCTATAAAGAAGAAGAGATGCAGCTTAGACTCATAAAAGTAGGAAACAGATGTTTTGAAAATGTGGCACATTTCAGATATTTGGGAACGACGATAACAAATCAAAACCTGATTCAGGAGGAAATTAAGAGGAGACTGAACTCGGGTAATGCTTGCTACCATTCAGTCCAGAACCTTTTGTTTTTCGTCTTCTGTTTAAAAACATAAAATTTAGAACGTACGAAACTATAATTTTGCATATGGTTGTATGTGGGTATGAAACTTGGTCTCTGACATTAAGGGAGGAGCATAGACTGAGGGTGTTCGAGAACATGGTGTTGAGGAGAATATTTGGACCGAAGAGAGGTGAAGTGGCAGGAGGTTGGAGAAAACTGCATAATGAGGAGCTTCATAACTTGTACTCTTCACCAATTATAGTTAGAAGGTTCAAGTCAGGGAGGGTGAGTTGGGCATGGCATGTAGCACGAATGTGGGGAAGAGGAATGGTTAGGATATTGGCAAGAAAGATAAAAGGAGATAGACTGCTAGCAAGACCAAGATACAGGTGGTTGGATAATATTAAAATATATCTTAGGGAGACAGGATGGGGTGGTATGGACTGGATTGATCTGGCTCAGGATAAGGACCAGTGAACGGCTCTTGTGAACACGGCAATGAACCTTCAGGTCACATAAAATGTTGGGAAGTTCTTGAGTACCTGCAGAAGTGGCAGCTTCTCAAGATGGGCTCAGCTCCGTGAGTGAGTGATACAGTTTTTCGACTGCGCTCATGGATATTTACTCCGTCAGCAAACAGTAAGAGCCGGACATTTTACTGCTATATGAATGGCGTATGTACAAGTATGCATTCCCTACAGTGTACAGGAAATGGCACTACTAACGCAGCCTTCTTTGTTCCAGATCCCAATCGTCAAGGATTTCCTGAAGTACCAGAAGAGCGTGGAAGCCTGAGTGAGAAGGATACACGCTGAATCTCAGAAACAGAAGTTCTGACGGCGAAGGTGAACGGATGTGAGTGGAATAATTGGATAAATGATTCTTTCATGTAGCTGCACGCCATTAAGTTCATGGGGGAGTGGAGGTGCAGCTACACGCATTCTTAATCTTGACAGTAGATACAAGTGCCTGAAGTGTTTCACTGCCCAGCCGCTTTACCGCCGAGGCAAGAGACGCCGGTGGCCATGTGATTGCCCTCAGAGCCCATCTCGATTCACTGGTAGAGCGAAAATCTCTTCTCTTTCCGTGAATCGAACATCCGTAGACCAGCCTGTAGGACAATCACTATACTTACTCCTAATTATATGAATAACAGCATATTGAAAGCTAAAGTTTTCATCGAAATGTCTAAGGTTTTTATTTAGTAGAAAAATATAAGTTTGCGATCCTAAACCTTCTGAAGCACTAGTAACTTGGTACCCTCCAGAACCACTGCCTTATTCTGGAGAGGAGGTTTGTGCGCCCCAGTGACCAGGAGAGCAATGCTGGCGGGAGCTTAAGTTCCTGGTAGTACCACCCATTCTCGAGAGTTCAAAGGATAGGGGTCATAAGTGTAGTTCCTGGTCCTCAAGCTTTGGGGGTTGCGCGTGGAGCTAACGTACCAACCCCGGAAAGATATACTGTTACTAAACGTGGAGGAGGCCAAGACCCCCAGGGGGTTGTAGAGCCCGTAAAGAATGAGAAGTATAAGCAAATTGTTATGAACATCATGCCACTAGGAGTGGTCTGTTCCTTTATTTTAATTTATTTTAATTTCCAACCATCAATAATACCAACAAGATGACTATTATATTATGAGAGGGAAGCGAAAATAATATCACTTTATATAAGTTCCTGAAATAATATATAAATAAATATTTTCAAATTTGTGTACATTTTTCTAGAGGAATGACATGGTAATTATATTTAACTGCTCACTCATGGTGGTAACAAATAGATCATAACTATAACTAGGAAGTATGTATGAAACATTATTGTATGTGTTAGAAATTACAAGCATGCTGTCCATGTGAAACTTAAAATGGTTTTTATTTGGCAAACTTCATAAATATAACTTTCTTTCCTTGACACTACAGCCCCAGTGGGCCTAGGCCTACCTCCATGAACTCCGTTCACTTCGGTTTTTCTAGATCTTACACATTCGGTAGGACTCCTTGGACGAGTGATCAGCTCATCGCAAGGCCTCTACCTGTAGATAAACACAGAAAAACGCACACAAACATCCATGCCCTGAGTGGGATTCGAACCCACGATCCCGGTTTCCAAGCGAGCGAAGACAGTAAATGTAACTATTTTTTTTCCCTTGGCACTACAGACCCAGTGGGCCTAGGTATACCTCCATGAACTCCGTTCACTTCGGTTTTTCTAGATCTTACACATTCGGTAGGACTCCTTGGACGAGTGATCAGCTCATCGCAAGGCCTCTACCTGTAGATAAACACAGAAAAACGCACACAAACATCCATGCCCTGAATGGGATTCGAACCCACGATCCCGGCTTCCGAGCGAGCGAAGACAGTGCATGCCTTAGACCGCTCGGCTACCGTGACCGGCTAAATGTAACTATTACTGAAGGAAATTATGGAGAGAAATATAAGATTGATTCGTATAACTTTATTCTACAGTTCTTGCCAATCTATTTTAGTGACAGAAACTTCTGAAATTAGGACAGGAAGCACAGATCTCCCAGAAGAATGTGTTGCCTACAGGAACGCTACAGGTGGTTACAGCTAAATTGTTCTTAAAACATGAATAGGAAACAGTTTAAATAAGTTTACAATTCTCGATAATGAATCTATTTTCATTAATTTACAGAGTTCCTTCATATTCGTATGTAGCACTTGTTTCCTAGAGCCAAAGTAAACATCCTCAGGGCAAAGCTGCATATTTCGTATCCGGCAGCAAATTCAATGCAAATCTGTTACAGCATTGGTTTCATATGCTACATGATTATACATGAGTTTTCAGTTTAAGTAGTGAGTTTAAAAACAACGAGAAAATTAAATTATTTCAGCTAACAGACTCTAGGATCACCACAAATATTTAACTTTGTTGAAGTTTTAACCCTTTTTTTTGTTTCAGGAGCTGCTGAAGCCACTGCAGAAATCTGAAGGTTGCTTTTTATTTGTTATTTGTGACTTCAATAAAATACTCAAAATATCTTTAAACTGTCCATGAGGAATATGTCGTTGCATTAGGGTGCAAATGCATTGTTGTGACACTTTATGCCAATTCATAAGATACTGTGACTGTACTCATCTTCAAGCTGTTGAATACTTAGACCAAAGCCTAATTCTTACATCAGAGGGCTGGTACAATAGGCCAGAAGTGGCCGCAGTACAAGGGACTTAGTCGCACCCCACTAGCAATAAAAAAATTACCAAACTCTATCCAGACCTGATCAAGTTCCTAGCGCGCGTATACAGTGAATTCATAACTATGAGTCTTATTCTGGAATTCACATACCGTCTTGAGCCTTTGAAATCATAACGTTTCGGATACTGTTTCTGTTTCCAACATCAGGTCCGTCGGAGAGAGGTAGGTTGAGACTAATTCTCTAAGAAATCCAGAAGAGCAGATTTCGTTTTTACTCCTAACACCTGACGACGGAAAAAGGTCAGTTTCCGAAATATTGTGGTTTGAAACATTCAACACGATGGACGAATATCTAAGTATGTTATATTCGTATTTATGACTAAACACGATCATCAGAAATCTTTACACTGGATTGAATCGTGATTCCAAAGTGTCCCTTAAGGGTTGTAATGTGTATGATTGGATTATTTAAAGGGTTATCTGGGAAAACTTGGATTAAAAGTGTCCAATTTCGTCACTCAATCTTCATAACTTTGTATTATGCAGCTTAAATATTAAGATTGCCTAAAAGATATAATAATAGATTATTCAAAAAAGTTTCAAATAGAATTTTAACAAAATTTTATTTAAAATATTTGGAATATATATATTAGAAATCAACAACTTAGAAGGGCTATATGTATGTGGAAAGTTCATATTATAAATTCTCTGGGAAAATAGGATTTGAAGATGTATTGGATTCATGTGAAGAAGGGTAACCGTCAGTAACAGGTTCACTTGAACAAGATAACGGGCATGGAATTCCATAAAACGCAAGAAACTTGGTGGATAGCTGAGACATTATTAGCTTCACCAGAAGGACTATGCTCCGGGGTTCATTAAGTAGTTATTTATTACATTACGTACATTGCAGAAAGCATATGTACTCTTTATATTGGTTATATTTGAAGGCCAAAATTAATCTGAATAACATTTAAAACTTTATTTTCATATCTATAACAAACATACTGTGGCTCCATTACAGGGTAAACCTATCTCTGTAACAGGCAGTGAAGACCCATAGGGTTGTGAGACGTCGAGGCTCCCACATTTTCTAGACATTCAGCTCACAGGTGGCGGTGAGGTATTAAGCCTTATATACCAACCGCAAATTACACGTACACCTCAGGAAGATTCTTGGTACTCATTTCTGTTAGAGGCTGAGTCGACCCCGGGTCCATATTACGGCTGAAAGGATTATGTCGATTGAAAAATCCAATGACCTCATCGGGAATCGACGCCACAACCTTCCGAACTGTAGCATAGTGCTTCAAAATGGTTAATGCTGTTTACAGACATATATTTAGCTTGTGTCTTTATTCCTGCGGCTCCCACTTGTTTCCTAGGTTATCTGTGAAGCGTTTCGTTTCTCTTAATATCAGACAGTCGATAGGACTCCTTGGACGGGGGATCAGCCCGTCGCAAGGCCTCTACCTAAACACAAGGGAACACAAACATAGAATAAACCCACACAGGCATCCATGCCTCGAATCCGAGCGTTTGAGTGGCAAAGACAGTCCATGCCTTACACGGCGCGGCTACAGTGATCGGTTGATTACGGGCAGAATAGACGCGTATTCCAGGAATGGTGATATATAGTGTATTTACGTATAATATATTATAAGTCAAATATGCACTATGTAGGAAAAAGTAGTTATTGAACGTCAGCTATTGGTAAGGTGAGGAATTAGACACCCGTGACGTAATTTCATCTTTCCTAATATGCCACAAATCTCTCTAGTTAGTTTGTATATACGTTCTATGCACAAATTGCATAATATTAATGCATGACAGGGAAGCTGTGTCTGTGCGTTCTTTAGAAGGTTCGCTTAAGAAATACAAATAAATACATAAACGAGCAATTATGATCTTCAAGAAATCTTGAAGACGCCAAGCAAGAGTTCGCAACTCTGTAAGGAACAGTTGGACCTCATTACAAGTGTCAAGCAAATCCTGGGCTGATTTTAAAGTCGACCTTATAGTCTCGGAGTGGAACGTTGTATGTTTCGAGAAGTGAATAAATATTAGAGAATGTTGGGATGGTATGGAGAAATATATTAATTTACAGCACTCAGAAATAAAGCAAAGAAATTCGTACACCGCCATGTTGGTTGCACTGACAGACACAGAAAACTATGGAAGAAGTAAAGAATGAATGCAATGGTTTCGTTCAGACTTATGGAAACATATGCTGCTACAGATATTTTGCAAAGTCATCTGGTAAAGGTAATAGGTACAGCTATTCCTGTAACCATAGGGTCGTGGGACGTCGAGGCACAGATGGCGGAAAATTTATGAGCCTTACGCGCCGGCAGCCCTTTAGCCCCCAGGAAGATAACTAGTACTCATTTCTGTTACAGGCTGAGTCGGCCCCAGGGCCGAAGGATTAGGTAAAATTAAGGAAATCCAATCACCTCATCGGGACTCGAAACCGCGATCTTCCGGTTTGTAGCATATTGCCTCAACCAACTACGATACCGCGTGCCCACCAAGTCATCTTGTACGAGATCTAAATTGTCAGGAGAGTTTTCTCGCATAAGTTACAAGTATTAACCCTCCCCCTTCACCCCCCCTTTGTTGTTTAAGTAACGACTCTTTGAGAAGTGAGTCTACAGAGCGTTAGAAGGTAGAATGACTGACGAATGACCAACTGAAAGAAAACCGGAAGGAAGTAGCTGCGGCCTATGGATTTACTATGGCGGCATTTGCCTGGAAGGACTAAGAAAACCACAAGAATCTCGGTTCAGAATAGCCAGTGGCTCGGCTGAGATTTGAACCGAGGAGCTCCTGACAAGTTTAGAGAGTCACATCTAGACGAACCTATCTGGTAACGGCAATTATTGAAGTTTATTTTTATCAAATAATTAAAACTGTAATTGCAATAATGTATATTCTATGTTAAGTAGTCACCATATCTGCTGCCAATTATCGTAGATTTCCTTACATGTAGAGCCCTAACTATCAAACTTCACGAGCTTGGCCCGTCCTGTGAAGTCGCCAGTTATGCAGCTATTCAAGGAATTCCCAGCATTTTATGGAACCCGAAATTTCATTACCGTGTCCACAAGAGCCCTCTACTGGTCCCCATCCTGAGACACATCAATCCAGTCCATACCGCCCATCCTATCTCTCTAAGATTCATTTTAATATTATCTACAGACCTACGTCCAGGTCTTTCTAGTGATCTCTTTCGTTCTGGTTTTCCTACCAACATGTAATATTCATTCCTCTTCTGTCCAATTCGTGCTACATGCCCTGTAGAGCTCATCTTCCATGACTTGATCATTCTAATTACACTTGGAGAAGAGTACAAGTTATGTTCCAATCCATCATCTACAGTACCAAGGAGTTTCATGTAACTTGGCCCTAGGAACCGTGGGCAATTGTGTCGTATTTTGTTGAAACTACTAACACACATTTCGCCCATTTTAAAATAGACATTATTATTATTATTATTATTATATTTTAATTTTTTGTTGTTTTTTATTGTGATCAGCGGAAATGCACATAATATGATGAGTAGTCTCCTATATGTTACATTGTGAAGTTTACGTTTTGATTTTATCAAAAGCTGTTATGCAAGCTAGTCATAAAAATTACTTTATTTCAATGAATGCTTTTGCGTTTCTGAATAGTGACAACACACGATAGTCCTCTGGCAAACAACAATATATATTTCTGTTCATGTGAGCACAAAGCAGTGCTCGAAGCGGAAAGTTATTATAAATATATTGATATGACTGCCATTATTCTGATCTTCCCCGTGGCTGACAAAGCAATTTTTATAGTATTCAGTAAATAACTTCATAGAAAAGAGTCCTTTTCCAGAAGCTGATAGCCACTCAGCTAGGCAAAAGTTGCACCACTTACATTGCATCCGTATTCACTAGAGCTAACTTCGAAGCTCGGTAAAATATTTGATAGCATGCTTGCGTGTCACGGTAAGGAGTTGCAACCCCCTCTCCGTCCCCTTTCAAGGCCAAGCTGCAGAAATACCCCTTGTTCGCGACTGCCTATTCAACATATTCTCAGTTACCGTTCATACGTGGAAGCCTCCAACATCTGCAAGCTGAGGACATGCCGTGGAGTTGAATATTGAAAATACTCAGCAAGGGAGAGAAGTCTATAAATGTATCTCCATACTGTATCACAAGAGAAGTCCCTTGAGAGCATTTTCAGCAAGAGCCTCTGTCAGTTCATTACAGTCCCCTTCTGAAAATCAAACCACTTATTTCAACCATGAAAGTGTATTTGTGGTAATTATAAATAAACACGTAATTATGTGCAGGCATATTTTTGTTAATAAGGCACTGTTATGAAATGTATCTGGGGGCACGGGGCACCGTATGTGATTGAGGCACTATGCTACAAGCCGGAAGGTCAAGAGTTCGAGTCCCGATGAGGTGGATTATTTCAACTGACCTAATCCTTTCAGCCACGCAATAGCCCTGGGGTTGACTCAGCCTCTAACAGAATTGAGTACCAGGTATCTTCCTGGAGGTAAAGGGCGGCCGGCGCGTAAGGCTGACAACCTTAGGATCTGTGTGCTGATTGTCTAGATAATGTGGGACCCTCAACGTCTCACAATTCTATGGGCCTTCAAGGCCTGTTACAGTGATAGCTTTTTACGAATTGTATTTACACTACTGCTTTGTAGAGGACTCAACATGCTACAATAACGGAAGTAGTCGCGATACGTGTAAATAAACACAAACCACTCCATTCATTTATTTCACCTACTGAGCTAATGGAATATTAGCCGACCAGGTTTCCGCCTCTGACATCACAGCCTGCCGATGAGTACAGATCATTTGATCTCACAACCTGTTTTGCTACAATCAATTTTAAAATTGTCTTCCCATATAGTTTTGGCTTCAGTACTGGACACAATTCTGAGCCAGTTCGATCCCTACACAATTCCCGTAAACTGTTTGCTTAGATGCGCTGTTGCATTATCTTTCCATTTTCTTCTCAGTTTCTGCACTCGACACTTTCCAAATGGATTTCAGGCAAAGAAAAGGAATAAATTAATTGTACTTTTACGAAGTTACATAACCAGGAATATTATAATTTATATAGATTGCTGGATATAAGAGTGAAAGTAAAGCTATCCCTGTTACAGGACGTGGAGGCCCATAGGGTTATGAGACGTCGAGGTTCCCACATTTTCTAGACGATCGGCTAACAGATGGCGGTTGTAGCCTAAGCTGGGTAGTTGGGCTGAACACGTTATTTGAATACGAAAAATATATACAGATTTTCTTGGAGGGGAGGAGGAAACCTCTTGGAATATAGCCACTTAAAAACCAAAATTATGATTGGAGAATAATGTAATTTTGGCATGATCTTGTCCTCCGGCGAGCTTCGATATTAGCGGTACTGAACATTCATGTTCTGTTACTGTACAGTAAGTTCAATTCGAGAAAAAATAGTAGAAAAATTTTATTAAATTTACTTCAAATTACGAAACCTTGTTAGATATAAGAGTATGGGACACTGTGCATACCGCAAAGCCGGGTATCAAATTGTCTCTGGCATGAGAGCAACGCTTTGTGTAACACAGCGAGTAATATAAGTAACAGAAGCAAATACAGAAGCCAGTAGGGTAAGTCTGCGATGCTTGTCGTCTAATTTTTGAAGCCAATTAATATAACCCTGTTGGAAATGTTGTGGTTCATAGATCAACGTGTGCACCAACGTTGTTCAGAGGTTCAGCCATAGCACAGCAGTATTGAAATTTGAAGTCAGAGCGCCCCCACATTGGCCCCACCCAGAGCCAGTTTACGTCACATCACTACGAGCACTGCCCGTTTCCTTATCAATTATCATCCATTTCGGCCCACAATTCCAATCAGTCAAATGAAATGCAAAAATATACTTTCCGAATATTTCCTATCCAAAGTTTTACATTTAGTTCTTACCAACGCAGTCGCTATAACGGATAGTCACGTGCTGGACGGCGGAGTTCGAGTCCCGGTAGGGGCAATATTTTCTCCTTTCCACGTCGTCTTGACCTGTTCTGGGGCTCATCCAGCTTCCCATCCAGTAGGTACCGGGGAATCTTCCCTGGGGGTAAAGCGGCTGAGGCTTGAAGCAGACCATTGATATCCAACTAGTCAAGGTCAAGAATACGTAGATGTACATATACACTCCCCACATGGAGTAGTGTTTAATCAATTAAGTACAGGGATACTTTTTATAATTTTTTACCTTTTTACCCATTTATGTTTCCCACGTGTCCATGTCAACTTAACCTCTCGATTAAGAACATTACGCACCCTGTATCACATTGGGGCTATCAAAACGCCTGATTCTACTTCGAGAGGTCAGGGGGTACAATTCTTGGCACAGATACGTGTTACGATTAGCCTCTCTCTGTAGTATTGAAAGTATACCTTAAAAATTCTTCGGCAGCCTTTATAATTCATCGGTCACAACCGTTTTCTGAATCTAAGAAGACGATAAGACTTCATTTATATTTGTCGGGATCAGATCCTGTGAATGCGGTGTCGAACCTTCGGGCTCCACTGTAGATCAGGAATTTCTTGTCGTAGCCGAACGACTATTTCTTTCTCGAGAAGGACTTTGTCGCTTGTAGTAAATTTTAGTAACGGAGCACGTGTTAGTAAAGTGACTGAATTTTCATCTTTCGGAAGAGCTTATCAGACAATAGTATTGTCATGTGTTTATGATTGTCACTAATAATAATGGGTTTTTGATTGGATTTCATTCATTCATTCATCTGTAATCTGTCAAGACGACAGGTCCACAGTCTCTTCCAAAACGGTTCCTCCACTTGATGCGATCTAGAGCTTTCTCCTTCAAATTAAAATATCCTCTTCTGTCCCCAAGACTGTTTTTGGAAAGAGACTATCCAGGAAAAGTGATAATGTGGTAGTTTTTCCATCGCAGTACAACAGCCGTTCAAACCACTCTTGTCACGCCTGTTGCTATACGAACTTGAACCATCTCGAGCATCATTTGCTCTGTGCTTCAAGTCGCTGCTGATGACGCTGCTTCCGGCATCAGTTTTTGGTGTCTGCCTCTTCGTCTGATGCCTACCCTTTGACCTGTCCAGCAAGGGAGGCTCTGCCAGTAGCTACACTACCGCTGGTATAGCTCTCAGGGTCCTTGGCAAACCCCCTCACCACGATAAGGTGGAGCCACCAACGAGGGGGATTGGATTTATTGACAGCTTATTTTACAATGTCTCTTAATCCACATCAAATTACAATAAACCACAATCAATGACTGCCTAAGACTCGCTCCATCTGCCTGGACTACGACTGTCTTCTCTTCCAGTCTGTCTACTGTCCTCTCCTGGTTTCTGTCTTCTACTCTTACTGACTATCATTTTGTTGTTATTTGAACCGCCGTTTATGTAGCTTATCGGTATATTATGAAAATGTCTGTTGATTGCTCGTATCCATAGAAACGCCTGTTGATCCCACAGCAACGAGCTGGTTTCCAAGAACCTACATCTTTCATTTTCTTATCCCAGAACACGTGTTTGTCAACGCGTTTCCTACAATTATTTACCTTCTCTTGTGAATTTTCCTTTAATTTCACTTACACCTGTTCTGCAATATTTTTTTTTCCTGTGGCGCTACAACCCCAATTTGGGCCTAGGCCTACCTCCATGAACTTCTCCGTTCAGTTCGGTTTTTCTAGAACTTGGATATACGGTAGGACTCCTTTGGAGGGTGATCAGCTCGTTTCAAGGCTTCTACCTGTACACAAACACAGAAAAACGTATACAAACATCCATGCCCTGAGTGGGATTCGAACCCACGATCCCGGCTTCCGAGGGAGCGAAGACAGTGCATGCCTTAGACCGCTCGGCTACTGTGACCGGCAGTGTATAAGAATAATATATAAGAACTCAGTTCGTACCTCACAGGAAACAGATCCGAACCCACGATCCCGGCTTCCAAGCGAGCGAAGACAGTGCATGCTGCCTTAGACCGCTCGGCTACCGTGACCGGCGTTCTGCAATAAATCGGAACATAATCGCTTTTATATTGCATGAATTACTTATAAAACGTGATGAGGTTTGTGATATATGAACAATACAATAACCTTCAGCAGATATTTTGAAATTGCAAAGAAAAGCCTTGTATCAGTCGCTTGAATCGGCGGAAGCATGATGTTTACAGCAGTATTGTGTGGCTTCCTGATAAATAGCAAACTCACTGGACACTTCCGTATCAACAACAGAGTGAACCCCCTCAACTCCATTGCAGTCCAGAAGATGAAGCTCCTAGCCGTGGTGCTGGTGGTTGCACTCAGGTAACGGAAGTTGTGACGTGTTGCTCTACAGAGTGGATTTTCTAGTTTAGGGACAAAATTTCGGGTGGTATAGTCCAAATGCTTCGTTTGTGATCTCGCATATTACATTTGCATGACGTCTATTTATTTCTGACATAAAGCTATTTCTGCAAACGTAGACATGTTTTTGAGCCATAAAGGTCATGTCCTTACCTCGATGAGCTAAAGAGTTTAATGACAGTTACTGGGCAAAGCCGAGAGGCGTCCGGACCGTGACACTACTGTGCCTAGACCGGCTCTAGGATTTTCTATCTAGTGCTGCTAGGAAGCTCGACTTCAAATCTAGTAATATCTAGACATCTCTTGCAATGTTACAGCACATGTCAGTGACATCGGACGTGTTTTTCTGAAGAAATTGTAACGCAATATTTAAACATGTTATTCGACAAAGGGTTTCTGAGAAGAATAAATCCCATAAAGATGCTACTTGACAATAAATATTCTGGCGCATAGACCCGTTTCTAGGCAAAGACCTCGAAACGTCACCACAGCTGTTGCTATGCAACGGTGCGGTAAGCACACCTATATAACAGTAGAGTTACTGTTGGAAACAAATGTCTCCGTCCGTGCAAAGGGGTTACAAGGAAGATAATTGAAGCGACCCAGTTAGCTGACTTCTGCAAGGGAGGTGGAGAATAGAGGAGCGCGTGAATCTGAAGTATCTCCACTGTTAGAAGCCGTTGCCAGAGAACGGCTGGTGAAGACACAGCAGACTGGAGAAATCTTAGCGGGTGGTGTGGTGACTGTGAACTGTGGATATTAGCGGTGTTGTTGTAATTAGTTGTACTTCCGAGTCGTGTGTATAAGTAGTCAATAAATCCATTCGCCAACCCGAACCCCGTCTATAATCACACTTAAATTGTAACAATATTTTCTGTCATATTATAAGACTCATTATTTTACATCGAAAGATCTTATATGGGCTTACATCCACGGTAGTAGATCTGCAGTGATCTCAACTTGGAAAATCAGGTTTATGTGACCACACTAGTGATAAAAAGCTTGAAGATGTTGACAATATATCATACTTTCGTAACTGGCAATCCGATATAATATACAGACCTCAGAATTTGCTTCATGTTTCAAGTTTTAATCAGCCACTGAGCTTCTAACAACGGTGAGAAACCGCGTAAATAATTGCAAAATGTGGGGCTTATTCTTTGTAAAGTTTCGACAGATTACTATGGATTACAGCAGTGAACTATACAACGTAAATATTCTTTGTGATTTTGAATCTATGGATAAATAAATATTAGCGTACCCGAAAAATAAAATACCAATCAAGAATAATGAGATGCGTCTCTTTTCGACAAAATTTGGTTCTGACGGAAATGTAGGCATCAGTATTTCTAACACTGTTTGACTTAACTTCAACAAGCTGGGTAGGAACAAAATGGCACTGGGCCTATCACCGTTTTGGCACCATTCTATATTTTCTCAACAACATTAACATGGCGGAGGTACGACCTTGTGAAATGGAAGCAATATTAGTGCTGTTTAGTGGAGAATCCTCAGTTCTGAATATTGATAGGGCTTAGATAGTTAATTGAAATTTATTTAGGCAAATAAGTAAATAGTTGTCGTGAAAATTATTTTTAAGGCAATGACAGTTGAAGAATTGTGAACTGGCATGTGAAAAACATACAGTGATGTGCTAAGAACTGCTAATATCAAGAGGACAAAGTGTTGTTACGCATCCGGGGTTCCGTGACTAACAATAACGGCTTCTAGATTGATTGATTGGATTTAGTAACACCATACACAACCAACTTATACTTACAAGCACTACAGCGCTATCGCTCATTTACAAAATTTACAATTCACCGTTACACACGAACTATGATTCTCAGTCTTCACTAATCGTATCCTGGCAACGGAATTAAAACAGTCTCACTGTGACTAAAACTTCTAATCACACATTAAGTCTTCAGAGAATGCCTTCTAATTCTTCTTCAGCCACTAACTTCCCGTGGTTATCTCCTACCGACAACTGACTCAATTCTCATTCTCGTACTCTCTGTTGTACTCCGTTGTACTCCATTGTATTCCCGTTCTCTTGACTTTCTTGTTCCTTCAAACTGTCTCCCTTATATAGTAACGGCACGGAACACGCAGCCTCGGCGTTTGCCTACAGAATCTGCCTGCATCACTTCTTCTGTTGTTGTGTGACGTCACCGCGCACGTGTAGCTGCACGCTCTCCTTAGCAACGGTTATACGCGTCATGTATCGTGACGCCTCCTCCACTGTTGCGTGCGGGCATCACCTAGCAACGGCTGATGTTTGCAGAATCACCTCCTAGAAACAGGTCTATACGCCACAGTATAATTCTTCAGAATCCAAAAATGAACTGCACCAGAGGAATGCATTTAATACTTCTCAGATATGCAAATCTATTACACTTCTTACGGTGAAGTACGAGTATATCACAGTTCTGTATCATCACTTCGTTTAATATACACAATAGTCAATCAAATATTTAAAAAAGTTAGACGTTTATTCTCTTTACGACGCAGCACCGGGTAACTTTCTAGACAGACACTAAAGTTTCGCCTCTGTGTTCATCCTGAAAGAAACTTACAAGATTACTTATATTTTATCTAATGCATATTTATCTTGTAAGGTAAGCCATATTTTATCGTTGGAAAGTATAAGTTGCAAAATTTCTTCTACAAGCTTCGTCTGCTTGTCTATCTGCAATTCGCAATTGCGAAATCGTTGAAAGGGTGGACTGACCAAAAAAAAAATTTTGGTTTGAGATTGAGGAAAAATAATGTAAACCCCTGAATTTCATAAAGATAAGCACAATCTCCAAAATACGGTTTGAGAACCTAAAGGTAATAAAGGAGTGAACTCATCAGAGCTATTACGTCCTCCGTACATTTTTAAACTTGTTCTTAATGTGACATTTCTGAACTTAATGGGTTATACTGACTCTGTATGAATCAAGATTAACTGCGTCTCGTTACAGTTACACATTCACCAGACGCTTACAGAGTGACTGACGCGTGTGAGGTCTCCATTATGTCTCCGTGATTGAAATTCACGCGGACATAATACATTTTTTTCTTAAGCTTGTAAGTCTTTTTAAACTCAGTGATTTAACCTGTTTTTGCATTGATATTTAGGTTACAGTCTGTTACGGTTCAGGCTGATGAGGAAGTTAAAAAGAAGTTTAAGGACGATCTCGAGCCGATTTCTAAGGAATGCTTGGAATTACATCCCCTGAAGGAAGGTACTCTTTCTGCGTATATTTACTTGTATTTAATATCAGCGCCAGTCACGGTAGCCGAGCGGTCTAAGGCATGTACTGTCTTCGCTCGCTTGGAAACCGGGATCGTGGGTTAGAATCCCACTCAGGGCATGGATGTTCAGTTTGTGTGTGTGCGTTTCTCTGTGTTTGTGTACAGGTAGAGACCTTGCGACGAGCTGATCACCCGCCCAAGGATTCCTACAGAATCTGTAAGATCTAGAAAAACCGAAGTGAACGGAGAAGTTCATGGAGGTAAGCCTAGGCCCACTGGGGCTGTAGCGCCAAGGAAAAAAATTAATATCGGCTGTATGAAGAAAATCATTACCGGTATTTCCATCTTCCAGTTTCTATGGAGCCAACGAATTATGAATTTGGAAATGTTGGCTATTACAAGCTGTTTCCTAACATTCAGTCCACAATAGTCTCTCTTCCGATCTGGTGTTCTGAGCTGGGTTTGTCTCATTTAGGATACGTTCCGATGGAAAGACTTTTGAACGCCGTAATGAGCCAATGGACTTCATAAAAACGTGGGGATATTCTGTATTGATTGGGCGACTCGTAGCTTCTAGAAAAGCGCTCTGCTCCGTGGATAAAGTTCCCAACTGCAGCTTAAACCTGTTAAAGCAGTGGGGAGGGGGGGGGGTCCTGTGGGACATACCGGTCAATGTAATTTTCTATTTCAGTGGAGAGTACGAGGTTTGTCTCTTTGAACAATGATAAAGAGATATCATAATCGGAGACAGAGAGTTGTCATGAAGTCCTTGAAATCTGTCTCAAGTTACTCTTTATTACATGAAGGCAGAAATCAATGCGTGAAAAGCAATTACAGACTTTTTAACTCCAGCTATGAAATTCAACAGTATTTCAGACATATGACTACCACATACGAAAATAATTTAATAATTTGAAACAACAAAACAGGAAACGGAATATCGTCCTGGAAGAAGGTAGTGAATTGGAGGACAAAGAAAGAGATGGCTTGAAAATATCTGGTAGGAATATTTTGAACTTAATTATTGATTGATGCTAATGATGAACACCAAGTAAGCTAGGCAGTATGGCAGCCAGACACAAACGCTAATACGGTAAAGAAAAACGAAAGGACGCAGATAGCTGGTAAATTCTCACAATACCGTATTTACGCATGTAGAGGCCGCAGCACAATTTTCAGACAGAAATTATAGAAAAAATAATTTTCTTGGAATATTATTTCAGGAGTAGAACATCCTGTATTACTAATTATGAATATAATTTTTTTTTAAATGAAGTGTGATTTCGAATATTTCGAATATAAGCCGCACCCCAGTTTTCCTCTTGAATTTTTGGCAAAAAATGTGCGGCCTATACACGCGTAAATACGGTATTTATTTTTATTTGTTTATGGTTTATTTATAAACACTGTTAGTAGCTCGAATTGTAGCATTGCTTAAATAACAATTCATATTTCTCTCTTTGTTTGCAGAAGACAAGACAGCTATGGTAGCTTTCGAAATCCCACCAAATGAGGAAGGAAAGGCAAGTACGAGTAATTTATTGTCATCACGTTACCCCACCGAGCAGGCTGCAGAAGCGGTACACTTTTAGGCCAGGTTACTCTCAAGCCCGACCGCGCCATAGCTCAAGCGGTTAGTCGCTGGCTTCCCACAGTGGCGGCCCGGGTTCCAGCCCGGGTCTGGTCAAGTGGGATTTGTGGTGGACGAAGTGGTGCTGGGGCGGGTTTTCTCCGGGTACTTCGGTTTCCCCTTCCAATCTTCATTCTACCAAATTCTCCATCATTATAATCACCTGGGGCAGGTACAATAGACCAATCAGTGGCCGCCGTGCCGAATGGACCCAACTGGACTCCACCTCCCCCACTAAGCGAATTAAAATATTACTGTCAGACCCGACTTCAGTCGCTCAAGACAAATGCCGAAACAGAACTTTAAAATTTACAATAATCCCCTGCTCCCTACTCATAAATTACGTAAAACTTCTCGTTAAATTCGACGCTAAGTAAATTCATTAATTTAAACGCTGGCCTGAAGTAATCCAAAACCCAATCAATTTCTTTAACACTATTTATGTTGGCCTCAAAATTCAGCTTTAGCAGGACAATTCTGATTGATGCGTTGTGTAGTGTGTGGTTCCTTTACTGCATTAATTCACATTAATTCAACGCTTTCCTGGCGTTGGGGGGGGGGCGGGGATGAGGAACTCTATAAATATTTCCATGAACTTAACCGGACTCAGGACAGAGAAATGTACCTTCAACGTAAGCAGCCGATGTTCCAGCCTCTACATCTTACCGCTATGAATTGTGGGCAGACGGTCACTCACAAGAAGAGTAACAATGGTCCCCTTAAGTGAAGGGTTATAGTTTTTCATATTGTGAACGAATGTAATAAACATATTTCTCTTATAGATTCCAGAGGATTCTGACAATGGTGAATAATACGCGGGCCTACTGGGGTTTCGGGCATTAGCCCTCGTATACTGAACCATGGACAAAATCGAAAATCATAGTATTCTCGAATATCTCTGAGGTAGCGTAGTCAGATGGGGGGCTATGCTACAAGACGGAAAGTCGCGGGTTCAAATCCGATGAGGTCATTGGATTTTTTCAATTGACCTAATCCTTCCAGCCGCACTATGGCCCTGGGGTCGACTCAGCCTCTAACAGAAATGAGTACCAGGAATTAATTAAATAATTTTCCTGGGGAGTAAAGCGCGGCCGGCGCGTAAGGCTGACAACCTTACTGCCATCTTTGAGCCGATTGTCTACATAATGTGGGAGCCTCAACGTCTCACAACCCTATGGGCCTTCAAGGCCTGGTACAGGGATAGCTTTACTTTACTTTTATCTCTCCTATTAGTGTGTGAGATACACACGGTTATCCTTGTTGTGTTATTTTGCGATGTTACTCAGACACTCCAGAAAACTTTCTTGAGATTATGTTGAACTGTGCCACAACCAAGAAATTTGTACTATTCTGTTATTTGATAACTAACACTTACAATTAATGCAGTTTCCTCAAATATCGTACGAATGAACCGTCCGAATTCCCTCAACAGGAAGAAACTTGAAATATGAATAGAAAGAAGGAAAATCTTCTGCGTTATCAAAAATATCTGTCTTACTTGAGTACAGATGCCTTTTACTGAAAATGTAATGGCAGTGATGTTGGTATACATGTCGAATATTGTAAAACAAAAGAGAAACAGCTACTAATTATTCTCTTCTCTTACTCTTACAGTGTTTCGCTGGTTGCGTCTACTCTAGGCTTGGTATGGTAAGTAAGTGTATGCAACACGGGATTATTGCTCCTTTTGACTCCCAGCTCCAAATTCTGTCTCTTTGCCATGTCCCCTGATTCAAATATTACCAATGTTACAGAGAGTAATTTATAAATATCATTAAAACTTGGTACAGGCAAGATATTATTAGAAAATTCTGCATCTTTGAAATATTTCATCTTATGCTAATCATACTGACGTGACGGCAGGGCGAGGTGGGAGGTGGGAGGAACACTAGCGCCTTTCAAAATAAGATCCTCAAGTTCTGCAGCATGAACATTTCTTCAAAGCATGCGATTTTGATTTGTCCACTTATTTTTAAGCATGAAATATTTAGATATTAAAATGTTAACCACGAATCATTGCCTTGAGCATCGGTATGTTTAAGACACTTTGTCGTGAACGTAAGTATTGTCACGTGTCCTGGTAACGCGACAAGTGAATAATGGGTTCTCTGGACTGATTAATCGCTTTATTGGACAATCACCAATCACCCTTCAGAAGGTTACTGGAACAATAACACACAAAGTCTTCAACACTTAGATGCTCCTTGTACGAATTCGGTGAGCAGGTCTGTACCCAATCTCTTCCCTTCTGTCTTGTTCTCGGACTGGGCTTCTACTACTCGGTAGGACTCTCTCTATCTTGCAGTCTCTCTCTCCCTAAGGTAGGTTTTGGTCGAACTGTATAGTCACCATCTCCAAGGGTTCCTACTTCCCGTATCTGTTTTTGTTGCTGTGTGAACAGCCTTTACCCATGGGTTGTAAAGGAAACGTTTCTGTACGTATTGCCTAGGAATCGATATCTTTCATAAACTCGGAGACGTTTTTCGGCAAGCCGTTACCTAGTAGTGAATTTAAATATCACAGTGCTGAGCTTAAAAATTACACTGAAATATGTAATTCTACGAAAATACGTTTTGCCAGTAGCATGATTATTTAACATCTATTCTTGTTAGTCTGTAACCATGTAAAAAGTAATATTAATTAACTGTCTTGCTGAGACATTTTCTTGACAATATTATACAGTACTGTAAATACATTCTAAGTGCTGATTCCCAGTATCTTGAATGTGATGTATTTGTAAAAAACAGCTTTGACTTCGGTCACTGTAAATATAAAACTACGACATGTTTCATGTTACATTCAATTTTCACAGATCGAAGGAAACAAGTTCGAACCTACGAAGTTCAAGGAAAGAGTCAAGGATTGGTTGCAGAAATACCCAGAAAAGTACCAAAAGGTGGAGGGAGTACTTGACACGTGCACAAAGAAAGGTAAAATTAGCGTTTATTGATTCACGTCTTTGATTAATTTCTTCGCACGTATGGGAAAGGTAACTGTTTTTTTTTCTTCAAAATTTCATGAATTGCTTACTTTAAAGTATAGGCTAAGTCTGGGTATGAGCTAGACACTACAAAAGATCTCAACATTCAGTCTTCGAGAAACAAATTTGAAACAGACAAGTAAGTGTAATTAAAATCAACGGTTAAAGATTCATGCATTTATGGTCCAATTTGTTGGCGAAGGACCTATTATTAGAGCTAAATAACAACACAGATTCAAATAAGTAAGATACCTTAATTTTGCTTTATTTGGAAAATATACATTGCAATATAAGACCCTACACTTCAGAGCACCATCACTGAAGATGACACTTAATAAAATATTCTAAAATAAATTGCTTAAGCTGTGCATTCGACAGAAGAAATTTAACGACACGCTAACATCGATAATCCAGTAATTATTGTGATAAGATTAAATGTTTTAAATGTTTATTCAGATTAGCGAAAATTTACTTATATTCTTCTTTATTATTGAATTATATATATATATGTAGACATAAATTTTCAGGTCACAGTAGCCGCGCGGTCTAAGGCATAAACTGTCTTCGCTCGCTCGGATGCTGGGCTCGTGGGTTCGAATCCCACTCAGGGCATTGATGTTTGGTGTGTGTATATGTATATTCTGTGTTTATGTTCTATGTTTAGGTAGCGGCCTTGCGACGTGCTGATCACTCGTCCAAGGAGTCCTACCGTCTGTAAAAAATTATAACATAACTGGGCCCTGAATGGGTTCGAAGAACCATTGAAGAAATAAATGGTTATGTAGTCAGATAGGTGGAATATTCGTTTAAATATTATAGAGAATAAACCCCTTGCTGTGCAACTGTCTCCATGTACACTTCACTCCTGTCTCTCAGATTCAAATAATCTTAACAGCCTGTTCTCAAACACCCTCTGTCCTTCCCGCTGGTGAGCGACCTAGCTCCAAATGTTTCTGCTAGTACAGGGAAGAGTAACACTCGATTTCTGTCTTCTGCAGTTGCAGAAGCCAACCCCAATGGTGGCACCGAATGCGCCCTGACTCCAAGCATCTTGGAGTGCTTCCATTCTCACCCGGAGGAGGTGAGAGAAAGTTTGTGTTTCTAATAGAGGGGATAATGCAAAACAAATTGTTTGGTACTCCATGTTTATACATTAACATGTGTAAAACGCATTGCTCCAACCTGCATAATTCTTATTTGCGAATTTTCCTTGCTATGTTTCTTGTGTTTTCTGCTTCGATGGTAATTTAGTTCTATTGCAGACAAAATTCTACCGCTGTTGATATCAGACTATTGCTACAGATAAAAGTCTATTATTGCAGGTATAAATCCGTTATTGCAAACATAAAACCATTAAGTTTTAAAATATGCATTATTATTATTATAATACTGAATTACTATTATTATTATTATTATTATTATTATTATTATTATGTATGGGGAACGCAGTTGGTTGAGGCACCATGCAAAGCCTAAAAGTCTTGGGTTCGAGTCCAGATGAGGTGGATTTTTCAATTTACCTAATTCTTCTAGCGGCACTATGACCCTGGGGTCGACTCAGCCTCTAACAGAAATGGGTACCAGGAATATTCTTGGAATATTCAGGGGAGTAAAGGGTGGCTGGCGCGTAACGTTGACAATCTTACTGCCATCTATGAGCCGATTGTCTAGAAAATGTGGGAGCCTCGACGTCTCACAACCCTATGGGCCTTCACGGCCTGTTGCAAGGATAGTTTTTATTAACTTTTTAATTAATATTTGTTGTTATTATTTACGTTTTCCAGACGGACTCTTTCAGGAAATTCCTGGCATCTGTCTACGGTTCTTAAACAAGGAACATGTGTATGATCTTAATCACACTGAGAGATGAACTACGGGTTTAATAACAGACCTGCCGTTTCCCAAGATTTTTAATGAGATTACCGATATGTGAATTCTTACGCAAATGAAAACCTGAACTCTTGAAGACAGATAACAATTAAGAAAATATATGTTGCAGGAAAAGAAACACAGTAAATAAAGTGCTTATAAATTAAATTAAATATATTACGAACTTTATTTGTTGACATACGTATCTATGTGAATTTGATCCTCCGATAAACCAGCTCCTTTCCTAAGGTTCTCATGAAACTAATGAATCTCGTTATGAGGTCAGTCAATTATAAGAGTACAAAATACGTACTTCATACGTTCTATGCGTCCAGTGCAAACATGGATCCCGTTTACGGATGGTGGCAAATACAGACCGGTTAGGCGGCACTGCCCGAGTATTAGCAGCTTTCGACCAGTGTACAGTCACTTCATCTAGAATATGGAGACAATGGCACCACAAATGCCGGCAATACAGAGTACAACTACACAGTACCGCTGCTCGGTTACTGTCTCCACAAGAAGTTGTGCGGTAATGCAACGAACAACCACGCTTCTTGGAGGCTTGTCATCAGATGACACTTTGTAGCGGTATCAGAATGCTAAACGCAGAATCCATTAAGAATATAACAGCAGGGCATGCGCACTTCACAGTCGCATTCGGCATAAAAAAAAATATATTGCTAACATACATGCTTGAGAGTTTATTGTGATATATTGTTGTTCTTACATGCCCCGAAATTTATGCTGTGAGGTATAATTTTTTTTCCCCTTGGCACTACAGCCCCAGTGGGCCTAGGCCTACCTCCATGAAGTTCTCCGTTCACTTCGGTTTTTCTAGATCTTACACATTCGGTAGGACTCCTTGGGCGGGTGATCAGCTCGTCGCAAGGTCTCTATCTGTACACAAATACAGAATAACGCACATACACAAACTAAACATCCATGCCCTGAGTGGGATTCGAACCCACGAACTCGGTTTCCAAGCGAAGACAGTACATGCTTTAGACCTCTCGACTACCGTGACCGGCTGAGGTATAAGTAAAAATTCTAATTAAATATATATCTATATACAACACATGCAGACCTCAAGTGTCCATAAGTTTCATATTAAGCAGACTCACTCGGAAATAGAACAGTCAGAAATACTAATTAATGAATGGAAGGAGATGCGTAAACCCGTAAATTCAAGTGGGACGAGGGAGCTTTGTTTGATTGTAACTCAGAATAAGTTAGATCTCAAAACTTCAATGTGAGAACTGTATAGAAAGCTATCGTGTGCGATGCGACGCCGTGTATGCTGTTAAAAAATATTCAAAAGAACATCAAATTTTGCCAGAATACACGACGTCATGTCCGAGAAGATAAGTAGTACAGTGTGATTCGAAATAATTGTCGAATTTTCTGTGGCCTATAGTTTCAAGGAGTAAAAAATGAAATAAAACTGGGTATGGAATATAAAAGTATAAAATAGAAAGTTTTATTACTTATAGAATCAATACTGCATACTTAACAACTTATACGCCTTTATTAGCACGTAAATAGTTTTATTTTGTTTCCGGTTTAAAAATTATAGGCCATGGAAACTGCCACAATAATTTAGAATCATCATCAGAAAAGAAACTTTTGGTTACCTTCGATGTGTTTGGAATACCGTATTTACGCATGTATAGGCCGCGTGCGTGTATAGGCCGCAGCACAATTTTCAGACAGAAATTATAGAAAAAAATAATTTTCTTGGAATATTATTTCAGGAGTAGAACACTCTGTATTACTAATTATGAATATAATTCTTTTAAATGAAGTGTGATTTCGAATATTTCAAATATAAGCCGCACCCCAGTTTTCCTCTTGAATTTTTGGCAAAAATGTGCGGCCTATACATGCGTAAATACGGTATCTTTACTGGTTTTACCGTAATCTTCGGGTGTGCTGAAGAGACCAGTGTTGAGTGTCGAATGCAGAAATCAGGAAATGGCAGGTTAGCTTCGATTTAATTAAGACTGCAATAATCTACGTCCTATCGTTATGCAAAATAATGATTTCCGTTTGTCATCTCAAAATTGAAAACAACTACGTAACCATAGTCTTCCAGACTTCGATGCTCTTTACCGTGGCTCGGCACTGTGACAGGAAGTTCAAATTATCCCTTTGCTTAATTAATTAAACATGACGCAATGAAAGCATATGTGTATACAGCTCCACCATGCTTAATCTCGCCAGAAGGAGGTGAGTGGCCCACGTCACACAAGTGCAGCTGCATCCCAGGGGAAGAAGCTATGGGGAAAATTATGTAGGAGTATTGGTGGGCCTTAGAGCCGGTCTGGACATTTTGGAGAAAAGAGGAATCTCTAAATCCTGCCTGGAATCGAACCTCGATTCCTCCGATGGCAAGCTCGTAGCCTACACCGAGCTAAGGGAATTTACTTATTCTCCCTATTTAAGTTTAATATGAAGTTGTGACTAATTGGCTAATTCCATGGAGCTGAGCCCTTCTTGAGAAGCCGTCAGTTATGCAGTAACTCAAGAACTTCCCAACATTTTACGGAACACAAATGTTGATTACCCTGTTCACAAGAGCCTTCCACTGGTCCCTATCCTGAGCCAGATCCACATAATTCATATCACCCAATCCTATATCTCTAAAATCCATTTTAATATTATCCTTCCACTATGTCTAAGTCTTCCTAGTGGTTTTTACTTCTGGCTTTTCCATTAATAGCCTTATTTTTGCATTTTTCTTCCCCCATACGTGCTCCACGCCCCTCCCATCTCACTTCCTTGACTTTGTAATTCTAATTATACTCACATGAAGTGCCGACCGGTTCCTTAAATAAACTACAAATATATGACAGAAATTTACAGCCAAATATATGGCTTAATTTATTTTGGAGGAGCGACTCGGGATATAGGCACGTAGCACACGGACAGTGTTTCGTGATACGGTATTATAGCACTGTCAATTTAACATTCTTCCTTACATATGTATTGCCATTAATACTGTCACAAGTACGAGTAACTATAGACGGGATTTGAATGGGTGATTGGATTTACTGACCACTTACAGATGGTAACTACAACTAATGATAACGCTCTTTCTAATTCATACATTCATCCTCTCACTACAGCACGTACGAAGTCTTCTCAGTTTGTTTTCTGGCTACCGTTACCGTCTCCTGGTAACGAATTCTAACAATGACCTATTCTTACTGGCTGGCGAATGTCCCACAGCTGACTTTCAGGCTGGTGGCCATCTAACACTAACCTTCTACTCTTCTGAATGACTGAACTCAACTAGCTACAGCTTCAAGCTTGTCTCACTTAAAACATTTCGTCATAGACTGCAGAGGAAACACCTTTCCTCCCTATTATAGTTCAACTTTTGACGTCGGAGCGTGTTTTTGTGCGAAGCCGTTACGCAGTAACGGCTCTTGTATATTTGCTTATCTCTTCATTGCTGCCCAGCAAAGGTCTACATGCTAGAATACTATAGTCAAATGTGTTCAAACACATTTAAGTTCAAAATGTTCTTACATATTTAATTTCCCGTGTGGAGGCGGGGTCGAATGCCCCCACCATAACCCCGCGAGTCGTAGAAAGTGACGAAAATGGAAGTCTCGAATCTGAGACAGTAAAATATGGTCGCAAGACCCAAGGAACTCGAACCCGAGAATGACTGCGCTGACGAGGACAAGCAGCAATTGTAAACGACAAACCCGTGCTCTCGTCAGAGAGAGCGCCCCACATCAACAAGCCTGCAATTGTCTGACAGTAATAAAAATCTGGCCGTAAACACCAGACGGGTGCTTTATTCCAAAACAGACTGGCCAACTGACCGTCGGTCGTAACACAAGACTCGACTCGACTGTTACATACTCATTTCATGGCACAGGTATACGAAATATTAATGTGAAGAATCAATGTTTTCAAGACAGAGTGTAGTGATGTAATGTTCGCTATATGGATTGTAGTAAGTGAAGCAGTACTTCAGAATCTGCATGTATAAATTTAGTTTCCTTCGTCTACCGCTATACGTCCCACTCCAGAGGTTTGCGTATAATTAGATTTGTTTTGTGCATGAGATCTCTAACAATTTTATTACATCCGAGTTACTTTAAGAAAAACTCAAAGAGATCATTCAATTACCTGCTTCCAAAGCCACTCCGGTTCAGAAGAATTAGATTCATTCTCTTTTATTTTTATACGTTTCTCATTGGGTTCCCTTAAACCAATGAAATACTGAAAGATAAGTTAGGATCAGAAAGTAACAATGTTCAAACTTCTGTAACATGAGTTAGGTAACTGTGGAATTATCTTGAGGGTGTGTGAAAACAGGGCACTGAGGAGAATATCTGGTACCGTGGGAATTATAATAAAATGCAGAAAACTGCATAATGAGGAGCTTCATAATTTGTACTCCAAATTCTATTAGTACGAGAGTGTCAGGAAGATGATAAGAGCAAGCCATGTATCATGCATCGGTAATATTACGCATACAGAATTTTTGTCGAAAAGTTTTATCATAAAAGACCGGTTGGAAAATGTAGGTATAAATATGAGGAAAATGTTGTGACATGTAGAACTATTGCTAGGAAACGACTCGGTAAACAGACCCGCAACCAATAACGGAATATACCCATTTCTAGGCAACGCCCGCAGTACACGCACACAACAATAGAATCGGTGTTGCATGAGGTGTTTTCTATGTTGGTTCGCATTTATCAATTGCTAGGCAGTGGATGTATTTTCTGTGTTGTGGTCCAACCCGAGACTATATAACGAGAAGCCAATAATAACTGACAGTTCAGTTAGAAGTCAGAATACATGTAATTCTAGTCGAAGTAGATGACAGCGTGTCAAACAGTGATTTGTGAACCAATTTTATAGATATCCAATCAATTCAATCATCAAATCAAAAATCCGTCTTACTAGTCACGCTAACCGCGGATACGTGACAATATTAAGGAAACATTTTCACTGAAAATCACATGATGCTGGGCTGTACGTAAATAGTTCTACCTAGACCAATATTTGAAACACACAAAAATAGGATAGTGCATGTAAATTTAGCAGGAATAATGGGGTGGAACTGTTGGTTTCGTGACATGCGTCTAAAAGCAGAATATCGGGGTCAGAGTGGGCGTCCATTGCTAGACAACGGCTCTGTAGGCATAT